CCGAAAGTAAACACACAGATGGTCTGATCACAAATTCCAAACGGGCAGGTCACAGCAGGTAATGTCCCAGGCCTGTAGCAAGGGTTAACATTTACCTTAAAAGTGAGCCATGACCATGCTTTTTATTCAGTTAGGATAACATACCATTGAAATGTCAGAGTAATTTTCTTTTCCAGATCCTCTCAAAGGCACAACCACAGGCACCAGAACATAAAACCACCAGAGCAGGAGACCACAGAACCCCTCCTGGTTATCTTGTTCCCACATACTCTCTCTGTGGGCTGTAAATGTTAATTATTAACTATCTAGTATACTTACCAATGTAAAATAAGTATGTTTCTCTGTTTTGCTTTTTAGCCAATCCTAGAGATTTTTCTGCTTTACTTTCTCCCACCTCCTTAACTTATGACTAGATTTCATGTATCTTCCTTTTCTCCTGATCCTAACTGCATAAAAGGAACTACAAAACTGCCATTCTCCAGAGCACTTTTTTAATCCGTTGAGATCTTGCTTCCAGACACCTCCTATAAAACTTAGTTCAAATAAACACCTATAAAACTTTTCTATAGATTTCAACGTTCTTTCCTGGACACTTGCTGTAATTATCCATCCCCATTCCAGCTAGGCAGGGGAGGGCAGTTGGGGGAGACCAGCCCTGCAGGAGAGGATAGTTAGGTAGGGGCAATTGGGCCTACAGGGGAGGGCAGTTGGGGGTGACCAGGGCCTGCAGGGGAGGGCAGTTGGGGGTGACCAGGTCAGCAGGGGAGGGCAGTTAGGGGTAACCAGGCCAGAAGGGAGGGGGCAGTTAGGGACAATCCCGCGGCAGAAGAGCAGTTGGTATCCATCAGGCTGGCAGGGGAATGGTTAGGGGTGATCAGGCAGGCAGACAGGTGAGCAGTTGAAGCCAGCAGTCCTGGTCTGTGAGAGAGATGTCCCAGATTGGAGAGGCTGCAGGCTGAGCTGAGGGACACCCCCACACACCCCGTGCACAAATTTCATGTACCAGGCCTCTAGTTACCAGTCTAGTAGGCTTATATTGGCCTTTGGAGGGCTGTGATACTGAAGATAAAGCTCCTTCCTGATCTGAGGAGCTTTGGGTGTAGTCAGGGAGACAGCTTCCCCTTACCAGGCGGTCCTGGAAGCATATAAGACCACCACAGGGGACGGAGGGGGCACAAAAGTAGGGACACAGACTCCAAGGGCCAACAAAAACCTAAGGCGCGGGCCACCGGTCCACGTGCGTCACGCCTGGTGCCCCGCCCCACCTCACTCCACCCCACCCCACCCGGAAGCCTCCGGGGCGCGCCGAGCGGGATTAGGCCGGAAGTCCAGCTGCTCCCAACGGCCTTGGCGCTGCCGGCCACCTGCTGCTGCGGCCCGGATTGGCTCCTTCCGCCGACGCGACGGCTTTAACCAATCCCCAGCGAGGCCGGCCGGGAGGCCCCGCCCTGCGGGAGCCCGCGCTTGCGTTCGCGCAAAGGCAGGCGGCGGTTTGCCGAGCTCCGGGGCACAGTTGGAAAGGGCCTTGGCACTGAGCAACCTCCGCTTTCCCCTGGCGTCAGTCTTGCCATTTACACGACGTTGGCGGACTCCGGGGGAGGGAATGGCCACGGGGTGGGGCGAAAGGACCAGAGGGGTGGACGCGGGAGCCCGCCCGCTCCCACGAAATGGGAGTGGTGGAGGGCGCGCGCAGCGAGCGGCCCGGCGGCGGGAAGGCGGCGGCGAGAGCAGGTGGGGTCTTTGGCCCCGCCCCGCAGGCCCCGCCCTTCCGCAGGCCCCGCCCCCAGAGCTTAAGCCGCCGGGCAGCTTCCGCACGCCCCACTGCAAGACTGGCCGACCGCGCCGTCCTCAACCGCCCGCCTCCCTCTCCGCGCCCTCCGACCGCCCGCCGACCGGCAGAGCCACCCGCCCTCTCGTCGTCTCGTGTTCTCCCCGCGGCCCGGTGAGCCCGGCGCGCCCCAGCCCTGCTCCTGCTACACGTGCTCCGCACCTGCCACCGCGATTCCCTCTCCAGTTTCCCTTCTCTGCTCCCAACCTATTCTGTATTTTTCCTTTCTGTCCGTTCTGTCTTTATCGCTCTTCTTTCTAACCCTTTTCCTATCTCGCTTTTGTTCTTTACAAACTCTGGCGTTCAGTTAGCTGTAATTTAACTCTTCAACCCCCTCACCCCTTCCTTCCCTCGGCCTTGGGTGGGGACCTTCTGGCGCTTCAGCGATGACCAGAATGACCCCTCCCTTTCCCGGGGGCTCCCGGCCTTTTTGGAGCTGTTTCTGCTCGGAGGGGCTTTGAGCTGCTGGAACCCGCCGCTGCAGGGCCTGATCCCAGCTCCTCTCACCTCACAGCCCTGCTTTGGGCCCTGGTGGACTCTTCTCTCAACGCATCCTGATACCCCCTCACTCCGTCCCCCCAACACTCCTACTCCCCAATCTGCTGACTGGGTTGGGGGGTGCTTTCCAGAGTGCCGCGTGCCACCAAAACAGAAGTCCGGAAGAGAGCCGATGTGTGGTACTAAGCAGACAGGGAGGGAGAATGCCTGGGTTTATTTCCTCCCTCCATTTTGTGCACTGAATTGGTTCCTAGGGAGAGGGACCCTGTCCCCTCTCCCCGGCACGGGTTGAGTGGGCTTTGTGCCTTTGCACACGTGCCCTTTCCTTAACAGGGTGTGGTCCTCTAAGGTGAATTTCCTTCTAAAACTTCACCCTTCTTTGCCATTATTCACAGGACACATAGTATGACCTTTGGGTGTTTCGTCTCCCGGCCATTTTCTATGGAAAACCAACAGGATCGGAGCATGAAAGCTACCGGCAGCTTTGAAGAATGGGACGCCTTTAGAGAAGCTTGATCTTGGAGGCCTCAGCGTGAGACCTTCCAAAGCCGGGTGAGACTCCAGTCTAAGGGAGGGTCTCCTGCGGCCTCCTCGCCCTAGGGTCTGGGATAGAGGTGGAGAGTCAGCAAGACAAAAATAACTGCCCCCACCACCCCAGGGAAGTCACTCTTCAGAGTTCACAAAGCACTGACATGTATGTATCCCTGGTCTCATTCTGGCTCTTGGGCTGACCCAACAAGCCAAGGTTAAAGGTTCCCGTTTTACACAAGAGGAAATTCAGGCCCGGGTGGGAGTGATTGGCCCTGGGTGACCCTGGGAATCAACAGAACAGGAACCTATTGTTCTAAACATATAGTTTTACTTCAGTTTTGACTGCCCCTGAGACTGAAACTTGTAGTAAGATATATGGCTTTCAGACACTGAAACTGGTTATTTGCTTGGAACCACAAAATACGATTAATTCTTCCTAGGCCTGAGTTTTACTCTTTTTAGTGGGGTCTTGAGCAGAGGTGTCTGTCCTTTAACCCCATACCGATGCCCCTGAAGGACCTGACTTGTGACAGACCCAAGGGTGGCCATCTCACAGGGCTGCTCTGAGGGCTAAGTGGGCCAATAGAAAGCGCTGGGATGGAGCATCTTGGGGGTTGGGGGGTGTCAGGGTAGCAAAGCAGGGCAGCTAGGGAGTCTGGAGCACAATCCACCCATTGTGCCATTTGAGTGCCCATCTTAACAGCCTCAAGTGGGCCAGGCTCCAGGGAAGGGAAACTAGCCCCGCCCTATAGGAGCTCCTGTTGCAGTTGAGTGGTGAGGCTCCGGATTTCCCTGTTTGCCCCTGCCACCTGGGCGATGGAGCCCAGGAGGAAGCAGCTTGTGAGCTGTTTATTTCTATGGGTCACTGTATTCACAGCTGACTCTCAACAGATCCTCCCTTTCCTGCTCAGCTCTTCCCTCCTGGCCCAGCAACAGGGGCAGCCAATCAGACTGGGTTCAGAGCAGCTGCTCCAATGAAATAGGAAGTGAGCTGGGGAGAGAGAAGCAGGTCGTCCTCCCCCACTAGGTGCTGGGCTCACTTCCTCCTTCTGCAGCGGGGGAGGGAAGGGTGTTGTTCCAGCTCTAGGAACAAAATGTAACTTTTGGTTTCCTGTGTCACTATCTCTGACTTGCATCGTCCCACCCCCATCTCTTGTGGTGGCTTGGGAACCCCTATGGTGGAGGAGAAAGAGGGGGAGTGGGTTTCCCTTAGTCACACGGTAGGGCTGGGGAAGAAAGTTGAGAGCCTAGGCACTACTCTCAGCCCCCAAAATTGCCTAGGATCCTTCAAGGTCCAGCTAAGTGTTCCCTTGCCTAAGTCTTCTGATTGCCCACTCTTCCTTACCTCTCTCCTAATAGAGTCAGTTGTTACCTCCTCTGCAGTTTGACAGTATGTCTTGCAAGTCCCAGTGCAGCTTGAATCACCTGCCTACTCTGCCAGACAGTAAGCCCCCTTAGGGTTAGACACTGTCTCCTGTGTCTCAGTGAACCAGGCCTACCTCTTGTTGAAAGGATGATTCAGGGGAGCCCAAGCTGTGCACGGGCTGGGGGAAAGAAAGAGACTGATGGATGGGAAGAAACTGAATGCCCGTTCCTTTTCTTACAGACTTAGACAATTCCAGAGCCTTAGGAGTCTTGCTTGCTTAAGAAACCCAGGTGGAAGCCTTCAGGTTTTTATGCCTGTCAGGTCTTGGTCTGGCTGAAACCTTTTCCTCGCCCTCCAGATAGATCCGCAGAAGCAGGAATGTGGGCTTCATGAGGGAAATCTCTGGGCCAAGCAGACGGAGGTCTGGGCCAGGGCCTATTTGAGGCAACACTAGGATATCTGTGATCCGGACTTCCCCTGTAGTGCAAGCTCTTCACAAGATTTGGACGCCTTGGGCAGGAATTGCTTCCTCAGCCCCTATTTGAGTGCCTCCAGAGCTCACTATTTTCCCTCATAGGGTTCCTCTGGTCCCTGCTGAGGGAGGTGTTGCTGTCAGAGGAGGCAGGGGTGGGGGTGGTGAGCAGGGAAACTGATGGGGCTTCTCTCCCCTTGGCTTAGATTCCGGCAGAGTTCCTCTATCTCGTCTTGACGCTGGTTAAAGGTGTCCCCTTCTCCAACTTTTCTTCATTTCCTGGAAGACGGCAGAAAATCGGCATCATGGTTGGGTTCAAGGCCACAGATGTGCCCCCCACTGCCACTGTGAAGTTCCTCGGGGCTGGCACAGCTGCCTGCATTGCAGATCTCATCACCTTTCCCCTGGATACCGCCAAAGTCCGGCTGCAGGTGAGGGGGTGAAGCCTAGGAATCCTGGTGGCGTCTAGTCTGTTCCCTCCCCAAGACGCAGGCTCCTCAAGGGCCAGTGGGTTGTTTGGGACTGTAAACGTTGGAGCTTGGGTATGCCAACCTGTCTATTCCTATACCTGTCTTGGCCTTGCAGATCCAAGGAGAAAAGCAGGGGGCAGTGCGAGCTGCAGCCAGCGTCCAGTACCGCGGTGTGCTGGGCACCATCCTGACCATGGCGCGCACCGAGGGTCCCCGCAGCCTCTACAATGGGCTGGTCGCCGGCCTGCAGCGCCAGATGAGCTTTGCCTCTGTCCGCATCGGCCTCTACGACTCTGTCAAGCAGTTCTACACCAAGGGCTCTGAGCGTGAGTGTGGAGCTGGGCTGTAGGCTCCTTAGCCTTTTCTTCTCAGTGGTGATTGATCCTAGTTCATTTCCCTGCCTAACTCCTTTAAGGCCCTGATTCTCATGATTTCTGAGCTTTTGGGCTGTGCCAGCTCTGAGCAGGGCGTCCTCCCATGATAATCCTCACAACCATTTTGAGAGTAGGTGGTATTCCGTGTTACAGATGAAGAGACTGAGGTTTGCTGGGGGGTAGCATGGAGGAAGGACTTGGTCAAGCGCCCACAGAGAGAAGCAAAAAAACACACCCAGGACCTTAGCTTCCAAAGGCCAGCACTCTGGTTTCTCAGCATGTCATGTCCACCCTCTGCTTTACACATGTGGAAACTGAGGACCCAGATTAAAGGTTGACTTTTCCTAAGATCACCGGGCAGAGAGAAGTAGATCAAGTCTTAGGTGTCCCAATCCTTGGAAAAGCCACTTCTCTCTGAACCTAGATTTTCTCATTTGTCAACTGGAAATGACTGGTTTCTGAGGGCTATTGAGCAGGTTAAGTGAAGTGAATAAAAATATTTTATGAAAGAAAGCATAAAGTCTCCTTTTGTCCGACTTCCTGCTGTGTCCCAGTGCCTAGCAAGTGGTAGACAAAGTAATATTTGGTTTGATGTGGGAACTTCCTAGAGGAAGAGCTGGTCTGGTCCTATTCCCAAAGGCAAGAAGGGCTGTATTTGGTGAGGAGAGGCAGAAAATGAGTGCAAGCCAGCTGGACACTGTCCTTCCTGGTTCTTCCACAGATGCCGGCATCGGGAGCCGCCTCCTGGCAGGCAGCACCACAGGTGCCCTAGCTGTGGCTGTGGCCCAGCCCACGGATGTGGTAAAGGTCCGGTTCCAGGCTCAGGCCCGGGCTGGAGGTGGCCAGAGATATCAGAGTACTGTTGATGCCTACAAGACCATTGCCCGAGAGGAAGGGTTCCGGGGACTCTGGAAAGGTGTGTACCGGATGTTTCTTCTTTCCCTTTTTTTCTTCTTCCTTCCCCCCATTCCCTGGTCTCACATAGACACTCCTTCCTTCTGTAGGAACCTCTCCCAATATTGCCCGTAATGCAATTGTGAACTGTACTGAATTGGTGACTTACGACCTAATCAAGGATGCCCTCCTGAAGGCCAACCTCATGACAGGTGAGTTAGGGTAAATGATGCGGGGCTCTCCCTTCCCCCGGCTCAGGATCAGATGTGGTAATCCGGTTGCCCAAAAGCCACATCTTTTCATCCTGTTTCCTTTTGGGTTATAGAATGAGTTCCTCTCACTAGCATATTGAAGCCAAGTGGAATGAAGTTCCCACTTAGCACACTGAGGCTTTGAGGCAAAGTGACTTTAGATTCTCAGGAGAGGTCCTAGTTGGAGTCTCTCTAAAATCACAAGACCCCAGCTACGTAAAAACCTCTCTCCTTCTGGAATGATGGGGTGCGGAGTCCTGACCCCCTTGCCTGTTCCTCCTCCTTGACAGATGACCTTCCTTGCCACTTCACTTCTGCCTTTGGGGCAGGTTTCTGCACCACCATCATTGCCTCCCCTGTCGACGTAGTCAAGACGAGATACATGAACTCTGCCCTCGGCCAGTACAGCAGCGCTGGCCGCTGTGCCCTCACCATGCTCCAGAAGGAGGGCCCCCGAGCCTTCTACAAAGGGTGAGCCGTGATCCACCCATCCGGTTTCAGACCTTTTACACTTGGAACTGAGTGGCAACCAGGATCAAACTTTCTGATCATGGTCCTGGGATTTCATGGGCCTTCTCTCATGCTCATACTCCTTCCTCTCAGAGTTGCTGCCTGCTTTATGGGTGTTTAAATGGAGGCTCACGGGCATTCTTGCACAGCCACACAGCTGTGAGGCTTTGGTCCCTGGGCCCTCCCAACCTCGCTTTGGGACAAAGCACTGGGTTGGATTGGATGCCAGGGCCCAGTGGGGTGAGCAGGAGGTGGAGGTGCCCCCTATGACCTGTTTTCTCTCCCTTCTAGATTCATGCCCTCCTTCCTCCGTTTGGGTTCCTGGAACGTGGTGATGTTCGTCACCTATGAGCAGCTGAAACGGGCCCTCACAGCTGCCTGCACTTCCCGGGAGGCTCCCTTTTGAGCCTCTCCTGCTGCCAACCTGACCTCCTGGCTTGGCTTCAGCTCCAGCCAGGCCCTCCTTTTCCTCTTCCCCTCCTCCCCTCCCCTCACTCTCCACCCCTTCCTCCTCCCATTTCTACCATCTCCCTTCCCTCTCCCCACATTGTTACCTCTCCTCCCTACCTCCCCCCGTCCCCCCCATTGCCTCTCAGTCCTGGTGGAGTTGACCCCAGTTGACACTCTGGAGGCCTGTCACCAACCAGGATCCCAAACCCCTCAGTCCCTTGAAAAGTTCAGCCCATCTCTTTATCTTGTTCCCAAGCGAAGCCAGCATGTCACCCATAAAGCAAGCTCAATCTTGGTGTCTCCTCCCTCTCTTATAGCTGTTAGCAGACATCTTGGTTTGATGGGCCCTTTGGCCCCTGGTGGCAGTGGGGAAGACACCCTAACCTGGAAAAGGGCGGTGTAACCCTTTCCACCTCCGGTGTCCATTCTGGGGCCCATGGACATCATCGAGTCTGTTCCTCTTTCCAGAACCAGCCTGGTGCTGAGGGGGCAAGAGAAGGCGCGATGGCTTTGCTGTCACCAAGCTCCTTGAGCGTTGACTCACCCAGTGCTTGGTGCTCCAGCATCGGCCTATCTAGCCCCTCAGCTGGCCCCAGGCCTGCTAATCTGCAAAATGAGTGTTCCTGTCTGCTCTCCCACCTCCTGTGCTTCTTGGAAGATTTAGAGGAACTTGGGACTCGGATGCTGTGGGCTTATTTTATTCCATTTTATAAATGAGAAACCGACCTCCCCAAAGTCCCAGACCTCGCGAGGGCAAGTTGGGCTGCCTCCCATCCTCGGCAGACAGTATGGCTGCACTGGGAGGGCAGGCTGCTGGGCAGACATCTGGCCTCAGCCTGAGGGTCCTTTACGCTTGGAGTCTCACCCTCTCCCTGGCTAGAGATCCCCCGGAAGCAGTGGCAAGCCAAGGCTTAGGCTGCATTGGGATCGACACATTTCTGTCCTTCTTCCTACTTCCTGTCCTCAGACAGGAAAGCAGGTGGGCAGGGACTCTGAGGTCCTAAAATCTCAAATATCTCAGCCCTGCATGAGCCCTTCGAATTGAGCCCACCAGGCCATCATAGATGTCTGAGGAATCAGGGCTGAGAGGTCATGCAAGGAAGGGCACAGGACCTCAGCAGCCAACCTTGGACTCCCCTCCCCCGTGGACTCTCCCACAGAGGCCCTTGCTGGGGTCCTGAAGGACTCCTGTTGGGTAGCTGTGAAGCCAGGTTGAGAACATGATACTCATCGCAGCCTAAAAGCTGATGCTACTGCGGCATTGGTCAGATCTGGAGGCTAGGCTTTCAGCACCTGGGCAAGCGGTTCAGGATATTAAACAGGTTCCTGAAGAAGAAAAAAGGGCCCAGCTTCTGACAAATTAAGCCAAGGTCTCAGGCCCCAAGAGGGACCCAGCAGGTGCTATGAGTTGATTCAGAGCGAAGCCCGGCAATTCAGCCATGCTATTCTCTACTGGGCTACAGGCAGGCAGTGTAATTGGAGGCACCGTGTCACTGTTCTGCACCAGAGGACTTGAGGGGCAATTGGTCACTTTGGCATGTCAGCTGGTTCCTTTCGGCAGGCTTATGTCCCAGACATGGACAGGAGTGCAACAGGTCTCACCATGGTTCCGGGTCTGATCCAGGGGCAGTGAGCCGGGAAAGGTGGTAGGAACCACTGGATGGGGTGCCACCAGTAGGCCTCTAACTGTCCTTAGTCCTTAATACTTGTAAAATGGGTGTGGTGAGCCCTGCTTTGCCCAGCTCATAAGGTCTCACCCTGGGGAAGAGGTTAGCAGGCTTTCCCTCAGACCTGGAGTGCTGGGACATCCCAGTGCAGGTCCACATGCCCTTCCTGGTCACTTCCCAGAAGAGGGCTGCTACCACCACTCAATCACCCGAATTGTTCTTCAGAGGACATAGTTGGCTTCTCCATCTGGTTTGCACAAGGCTGCAAAGTAGGGGTTGCAGTCTGTATGAATCAGATTTCAGGGAAGGGGAAGGGGTTTACCTAAGGGCTCGACTGGTAAGCAGCACATCTGAGGTATATCTGACTCCAAAGCCATGATTAGGCAGAATCGCTCCCTAGACCCTGGGTCCACATCCTACGCCTTGGATCTGACGGGTTAAAAATGGTTGACCATTGCTACTGAGTCCCCATTGAAGGGAAAGCCTTAAGCTAATGGTGCCTTGAATGGGGGGAGCCCCTTGTGGCACCTCTGAAGTCTTCACAAAAGTCTACACTCATAAAATTGGACCTATCTTAACCCAAACCTGGACCCAGGAGAGTCTTGGCACAGAAGAGGTGCCCACCTCACTGTTACTGACTGATGAAGGCAGATGGGGAGGCAGGTGTGGTCTGCACAGGCTCACTGAATCTGGGGGCTGGCGCTCCTGCAGGCCACTTGGACAGCAGCGCTGGTCCTGAAATCAAGTACACCAAGCACTTTCACGCAATGACTTGGTCCTCACAAATAGCTTGAGGAAGGGTCAGTGGCCCAGCTCTCCAAGGCGACCAGGCCTAGAGACAGCATAGGATCCACTCAGCTCAGACCAGGGAGTTGAGGCTGGCAGGAGAGGAAACGGCCATTTCCAGGGCTTGTGTTCTTTATGCTGCCTCTCTAAGGGTGAGTCTGTGGGAAGTGGCCTTTGAGATTCTGATGACAGCTGTCCACTGAGTCCTGAGTATTTCAGTTTTCCAAGTACAAAGTGACATCACACTAGACTTGAGCCCTTTTTTAAAGATTGTGTGTCCTCAGAAATCAGCAGAGCTGGGGACCCTTCTGCTACACAGCACTGCCCCAGGCTCTCAAGGTGGGAGCATAAAGGCTCTGAACCCTCAGGGACCCAGCTACACCCACAAAGTCAGGGCAGGGACCCAAGAGGGGCTATAGGAAGTTTCTCTCCAACACATTCTCCTGGGTGTAATAGCTAGAATATAGCAAATCTTTATTTAAATAGCCATCCTCATGTCACACTGCGCAGTGGGCTGGCTTCCCTGAGCACCCTGAGGCTGTGGGAAATAGAAGTGGGGTAAGGCCCTGCCCCCACCCCCACAAGCCTCTGCTGACACTTGCTGCAGCCCCAGCCCACCAGTTACGTCAGCAATGCCTGGCGCAGCATCTGCTTCTTCTGGGGGGTGAGGCGGGTGGGGAACTGGATTTCAAAGTAGATGAAGAGGTCCCCCTTCTTGGTGGGGTCCTCGGGCAATGGCATCCCCTCACCTGGCACCTTCTTGCAGTACTTAGGACTGAGGGAAGATGAAAGAAGAGAGTTGAGAGGGCACCCCAGAACAGCATCTAGACAGAGCCCATGCCCTCCCCCCAACGCCTCCCGCTCACATCAGTCGTGGGGCAGTCGCTATAGCTTCCACCATGGGCAGTAACTTTCTTCAGCCAGAACTGGGTGGGAGGAGAGGAGGCTGGCTCGTTCCAGAGAGTTTGCTCCCTGAGAATGCATTACACTGAGTCTCTGGGAGCATTTCAGGAATCTCATTTTAGAGATGGGAGACAGGCAAGGAAGGAAGGGAAGTGAGTAGACCCTGGTTTGGTGGGGAGTGCTGGGCTGCTGAGCAAAGCTTCCCATGCAGAGGGCTCTCCTTGGAAAGGGCTCATTGGGATTAACTCAGAACTCCACCGAGAGCTTTTGGAGGATGGAAGGTGAAGGCAACAAGGATTGCCTAGCACTGGGGGCCCCTAGCCTCTAAAGGGCCTTTGTGAAAGTGAAAAAAAGGCACCCTGTTGGTCTGGAGAGGCAGAGTGGAGACTGGATTTTAGTCCTCTCCCGCCCTCTTGTGCTTAGTGCAACCTTAACAACTCTACTAGGCCAACCTGTCTGATGCTACCCTCTAAGGCCCAAGCCAGCCCTGCTGCCTGCTGAGGCCCAAGCAGATGGACTCACTCAATGATGTCATTGATGGGGATGTTGAGTAGCCGGTCATCTAGGGTCTTCACCTCCACAGTGCAACAGGTCAGAGCCTAGGGGACATTAGGGCCAAAGGCAGAAGGAGGGAAGTTCCCCATGGCCATTCTGTTTAGAAGGCACTTTATAATCCTCTTTAGTACCAGGCCCCAAGCTGGGCCTCAAGGGAAATCAGTCTGGTAGACAAGACTGATGTTGATATGTTATGATAGAGGGAAGTAGAGGGGTTAGTGGGAGCCAAGGAGAGCTCTCCTCCCCCTCCCACCCCCAAACCATTTGGGAGTGAACAAAAGGGTTGCACTGGGCTGGTAGCAGTTGATGAGTGCTTTAAGGGGTGAGGAGGAGCTTACCAGTTAGAGAAGGTGGGTAGATAGCATTCCAGTCAGAGGGGCCAGAAAAAACAAGAGAATGAAGGTGTGACAATGTACCAAATGGGCAGGAGCTCTAAGTGGCACGGTGGCTGGAGGGCAGGGGATGAGGTCAGCAGAGGCCAGATTGTAGAGGGCCTCGAATGCCATGCAAAGATGTTTAGACAGGAGTGTGGCGTGACCAGATGAGGAAAGACTGCTGTGGGCAAGAGCCTGGAGGAGATGATGAGCAGGGAGCCAGGAAGGCCCAGATGGTGGGGTTGAACAGAAGTGGACCAAGGGGAGAGGGACTTGGAGATGGAATTAACAGGACTTAGTGACTGAAGCAGGTGGGTGAGGGAAGAGAAGCAAAGTCTAGGCTGGTGCTGTTTCTTGCTTGTGTTGTAAGGGTGTGGAGGGGACACTCATGCTCAGGAGTGAACCTGGCCATAAAGATTCCGTGTGGCACCTGCCACATTCTGAAGGCCTGCTTGCCTCGGAGCCCCCCATAGGGCGGGAGGAACTCACTCTGATCCACCCACCCCCTACTTTTCCACTTTAGCCACTCACCTTGCCCAAGGGGATAGAGTTCACAAAAATGAGGTTGTCATTCTCCCTGCGAAAGCGAGGATGTAGCTTCTCCTTCACGATGAAGATGATGTCTGCTGGGATGATGTTGGGGCCCTGGACAGAGGGAGCCAAAAATGGACAGGACTAATTGGCGTGTGATCTTGACCAAGTTATTGCCTCTACTAGTCTCCAGGTCTTCATCAAACAATGAAATTAGACCATTGTTCTTTTAAATTTTTTTTGTTAATCCTCACCTGAGGATATTTTCCCATTGATTTTTAGAGAGTGGAAAAGAGGGGGAGAGATAGAAACATTGATGTGAGAGAGACACATTGATTTTGGTTGCTTCTCGCACATGCCCTGACCAGGGCCCGGGATCAAACCTTCAACTGAGGTACATGCCCTTGACCAGAATCGAACCAGGGACCCTTCAGTCCCGGATGATCTATCCACTGAACCAAACCAGCTAGGACTAGACCATTCTTAATGGGCCCTCTCATTAAGATGTGCCTCTTCTCTGAGAAAATTTTCCTGATGAACCTTTCTCCTCCGAGAAAATTTCCCTAATGAATTCTTTTTCCTCTACTGAGCATGCCCAAATAGATGCACTCAGCTGAAGGGAGACAGGCTTCCGTAGATGGTGGATGAAACACTGAGCTGGGTGTCCTACAAAGTCTCTGTCCTATCAAACTTCACCAAGTCATCAAAATTCTCCTGAGGACTCTTTTGCACCCTGAGACAGAGGAATCAGACCTGCCCCTCCGCCCAGGAGCTCCCTTCACTAGAGGCACATGTGAATCCTCGGCGTGTTCAACAGTGATGAAGGGAATCCAAGGACAGGAACTCAGGGAGGTGCTGACCCAAGGGGGAAGGTTGCTCGGAGGGAACATTAGAGTTGGGAGTAGAAGAGGTTTTTTGGAAGTAAATGTATTACCGGTGAGAAAGGGGGTGAAAAGTACCAGCAGAGAAGTTCATCTCTCTCAGCTCTGAAGACACCATCCACTGCCTTGGACAATAATTTTATATTTTTATTTAAATAAGTATTTAAAATCATTAATAAGTGATTTCTGAGTAGTTTCTATAGTTGGATTTTATTCAGAGAAACATTGAAGAAATTCAAGCACTAGAGTTAGGACAGGGTTCTCTTTTCAGCTCTTGTGCTCTTGCCTTGGGCAAGGGCCTCCCCGCTCTGGGCCCCAGTTTCCCATTCTGCAAAATGGAGAGAAGCCCTAAGCTGGCCATCCACAGAAGCGCTGTGAGGCTCTGTCCCATGGGAGGGGCTCTGGGGATCATCTCACCCACTCTGCAGACTGCTCTCCCTGCCAGACCAGGGTTCACAGGGGCAGAAAAAAGTATTGTCTCTTTGCCCCACCTCCCTCCTTGGCTTCCCACCACCTGAGCCCAGGTAACTGATCCTGGAACTGACCTTAATCAGCTTCCTTCCCTCTCACCTGGTCACCTTCCTTCTCAAAGGTGATCCGTGTGCCTTGCCTCCAACCAGGCTTCACCTCAATTGTGAGGATCTTGTCCTTGATGGTGGAGGAATACCCATCCTCGTTCAGCACCTGCAGTGGGATGGTGGGGGGAGAATTGTTCAGGGTTTCCCAAGGTGAAAGAAACGCTGAAGGATCAATCCTCTAGCAATGGGGAGAAGCTGCCTTGAGCCATTGCCACTCCCACCCCATTCCACCAAAACAGGGATTTAGGATTCCAGAATGGCGGGCATGTTATGGGGCCAGGACCTGAACTACCAAGCAATCACCACTTGTGGATCAAACCACTCCAGCCCACAAATCATGTGGCCCTGGCCACTAACAGATGCACAATGAACATGTACTTAATTCCTCTCTTACATCCCAGAGGATGACACAGAGCTTAACATATCTGAACATCAGCTGAAGCATTCCCCTATTATGTCATCCATCCAGTCCCCAATCACATGCCCACATAGGTGCCAACTGTGGAAAGCATGACCACAGTTGGCATCTACTCTGCTGGGCAAAGTTTTGAGGGACCTTCTTCATGTGCTAGCACAGGGCTGGGCCATAGAATTGAGGTTCTTCCTCAACCAGTCCCCTCAGGGACTGTCTCCCAGCCCACCCTTAATCTCCACCTGCTCTTTCTTACTCATGGATCATACCCCAGATGAAACCCTGAGGGTATGATCTGGTAACATCCAGAGGGCAGAAGTCACAGTTTTAGCTCCTCCCTTTCAGAGCCCATGGGGATGTGGCTGAACTGAGAAGTGAAAGATCCTCTCCCAATGAGAAATGTTGCAGAGGGAATTCCTACACTAGGAAAGAACCAGACTAAAAACCCCCAATTGTTCCTTTCAAACTCCAGATTCTAGTATTCTTCATCCTAGGTCTCCGAGTCTAAGATTGCATCATTCCATCAGAGACCATACTTGAGGTCTCTAGAGACAGGGTGACTGTTAGGGCTGGAGGGGACAGTTGATGGCTCCCCGTAGGAACAAGCCAAGTACTCACCCTGCGGGAGATCTTGATTTTCTTGGTGCATCCAAAAAATAAGTCCTCCAGGGAAAGGTAGAGGTCTCTCTGTATTGGGGGGTCTTGTTTCTTGACCCCTCGGCCCCGGAGCCCCCCAAAGTTCAAATCCACCTCTTTTCCTTCTATATCAAAAAACTCTGCAGGAGGTGGGGAGAGGAATAAGAGGAATTGTGTCTAGAGACTTGGATTAATAGAACTTCCCCTCCTCTTCAGTTCCCAAGGAAAAACCGGGTGCTTGTAATAGCATCTGATTTCCATCTTGAAGACTCAGACTTTGGCCAAGAAACTGTACTCAATTGTAGATCCCATGATTATCATCTCTTGTTGATCCCCATCCCTTCATCCCCCACTTTTGACCCCCCCTCTTTCCAGTCTTCCTTTCCCCACAACTATGAGCAATGGACTATTATAGCCTCTTAATAGTGAGGAAGCTGAGGTTTTAGAGAGATGAAGAGATTTGCCCAGGATTACACAGCTCATAAGTGGCAGTACATGGATTTGAAACAGGCATGAAAGTAATGCATAGTGAGAGGGGTGTCTGAGCTGAAGGGGCAATGGGCTGTAGTCCACTTATAGTAACATGGAAATGATGTAGATTTGCGGGGGTGTCAAGTAGGGAAGACATATGTAAAACTTTAGACAATAAATAAATGAAAAGAAAAGAGGTTGAACTTGAAGTGCTAGGAAGAAGGGGCCGAGGGAGTGAAAAATCTACTCTCTTGAGTTGCAGAACTGGAGCCAGGAAGACAGGTTTGAAAGTTAACTCCTTCCAAGGTGATTCTGAGTCTCATAAATCAACTCTTTGTCAATCTGTATGAGACCTGGGACCTGTGATCATCCACCCATCCATCCATAGGTCATCTAACTAACACACACACACACACACACACACACACACACACACCTGTGCAATAAAATCTTATGCAGCCATAGGAATGAATAAAGTAAATTTGTATATAATGTATAATAAGACAAGTGAAGAAAACTGTGTGTACAATGTGGTCTCACTTGCTTAATAAAAGGTTTATGTAAAAAGAAAACCATGCTCAGAAATGCATAGAAAATCTCTGGAATAATACATAAAATGTTAACTGTGAGTGGCTGCTTCTGGAAAGGAATGGAAGGCTGCAATTTATTCAATAAATTATTTCTTAACCATGACACATATATATGTAAAAGTTAAAAAAAAAAAAAAAACTATGCAAAGAAAAAGCATCTTTACAGTTATGTCCAAGGCAAGGGGATAGTTAGAACCTCTTACCACCAAAGGGGTTGTTTCCTCCGAAGAACTCATGGAAGACCTTATCAGCGTTGCCATGGAAGACATAACCAGTTGACCACGGGGTCTCAGACCCAAACTCCTGAGGAATCCCGCCCTTCAGACCCTCCTCTCCAAACTTGTCATAGATGCTTCTCTTCACGGCTGTGGATATATGCCACTTTGAGAAGGAGGCAGAGTCTTGGGGGGCTAAGAAAGCTAGAAGGCTGAGGAGGAGGAGGATATGGGGAAGAGCATAGGACAAAAGCATCCATATTTCTAGCGTCTACAGTCTGGCAGTCTTTGGAAGAAGACATAGAGGTTAAGGGTTTAATTTTGTTGTGGTGGATCTGGGCATGCCCCCCTCCAGAGAAGAGATGGGAAAGACTAAGTTTTGCTGAAGAGGGATGGGGATTGGAGTGGAAACAGGGAGAGTAAAGGTCAGGCTAGCCTTCTGGGATTTAGTTTAATCCATCATAACTGCTATCTCATCTGTAAAGTAAAAATAATCTTAGAACCTTGACATTTTAGAATCTAATAATTCTAGAGCTTCCAAATTTTAGAGTTTTGAAACCCTAGGGTCTTAAGTCCTAAAAACTTTGGGCTGGAAAAAACTTAGTGATCTGCCCATTCTCCTGCACAGTGTCCCTGAGAATAGTCTCCAGGACAAGTGCTTTGGGAAATCCATGCGGGCAATGCCCCAGGCCAGGGTGGGAATAACTTCCTCTACTCTTCTGGTTTTCATCGGAGAAAAATGTCCTAATTATTGGCCCCTCTCTTCTATATATATATATATATATATATATATATATATATATATTTTTTTTTTTTTTTATTTTATTTTTTTTTTACTGGTTTCAGAGAGGAAGGGAGAGGGAGAGAGAGATAGAAACATAATTGGCTGCCTTGTGCACACCCCCTACTGGGGATTGAGCCTGCAATTCAGACATAATGTCCTGACTGGGAATTGAACCATGACCTCCTGGTTCATAGGCCGATGCTCAACCACTGAGCCATGCTAGCTCACTCGCTCTGCCGTTTTATGCTGTACTCAGGGAAATGGAGATTTAGCTACTTAGTAAATTCTGGAAGGACAATCTCAGCCTCAACCTTGTCCTTTCTCCCTTGGCAGCAAGCATCGAGTTCTCTCCATCCCTGTAAGGGATAGTGGGGGGTGGGGGATCGGGGGAGTCCTGCTCCACCTCTTGCTCTGATGAGACCAGGTGAGCACACTAGCTTAATCTGGGGGTTCTCCATGCCAACATCCCCCACCTTAGCTTGTGTCTACTGAGAAAGGCAATTCTTCATTCTCCTCTTTCTTAGCTTATTTAGATTCTGCTTACTGTATGCTGAGGCTCCTCAGAAAGCCCAACGTTCAGACACTTAAGGAATGATCTTAACGGAGAGGTGGGCAGAGCAGAGGTCCTGGAGGCACTCCTCCAGACTCAGCCCAGTCACTCACGGTCGCTCAGCACGTCGTAGGCCTCTGCTATTTGCTTGAATATCTCCACTGAGGCTTGCTCATCGGACTTCAATGGATGGTGCTTAAGGGCAAGTTTCCGGTACCTACAGGAGGGAGGGTTAGAACAAGTCTTAGCAGACCTGGCTCAGAGCTGGCTCTGCTTTCTATTGCCTGGTGACCTACTAGAGCTTTGGTGTGCCCAGCTGTAAATCAGGGCTGTGGTGGCCAGGGAAGCACATTGTTCAGACCCCCTTGAAGAGAACCCAGCGAGGGAGCAGAGCTGACCGACAGCCCCAGCGGCTGCCCCCACCCTGGGTCTTTGTGCTGATCCTGTACCTCCACCCAACCCAGCTGCTCCCAGCCAAGGAATCAAGATGCTGGGAATATTGGTGCTGGCTCAGCTCTGAAGGACACAGGGCTCCTCATCACACAGCCTCTGCTGCCTGAGGCCTCCTCTTCAGCCGGGCTGAGATTTTCTGCAGACCAGGCTGCAGCCTTCCTTCCCCAAACCTTCCTTCCCTCTCCCCTTCCACAGGTGTCAAACCTACACAGTCCTGCTCCCTGGTCACCTCAAGTGTTTCCCCAACTCATATTTTTGCACATCTAATCCTGTCTAGGTGTCTGAACTGACACACAGGCCTCTTGGGAAGATTAGGTAAAATAAGATGTCAAAGGGCTTGGCACAGAGAGGCACTCGTGTATGTCAGGGCTTTCCCTGTCTCCAGTTACTGTAGCCTACAATCTGAGCCTGCTCACATTATAACTCTTACTGAGCGGGGATTGCTGTCCTGGGACCCTACCTCTTCACCCCTGCGAGTCCTGGCTCAGCCCTCGGAAGCCTTGCAGAGAATCTGCTCTGTCTACTTTCAGAGACCTAAAGATAATTGTCACAACCTCCCAGAGACTTCTAAACAGCCCTTCTCAATTACAGAGGTTGCAATCAGTTATGAGGAGATTTGCAAGTAAATTCTACCAGTGAGTAAAAGTAAAGATATTTGAGAAGAGTTCAGTTTTTCATATAAGCTTGAGTGGTTTTAAAATGATCTCTGCAGTAGTATCACCTACTCTCATTCACCTGCTTTCCTGAGTGGGAGACGGGGTGGAGTCACAGTACCATTGTGGCAACCTACAGTGAATGAGCGATACTGAAAAGGTTAACTGGCGATTGATTATGAATCATTGTTATATAAGTTTAAATTGGGGGGTGGTGGCAAAATCGAGGTGCTCCTATGGGAGAGTGTTATACATGTGACTTATCCCTTAAGAGCTGTTGCAGGGGAGAAGGGTTAAGCACTATTGTTTGAGACATATGCAGTTCTTTTATTTTTTAAAAAAATATATATTTCTTTGATTTCAGAGAGGAAGGGAGAAGGAGAGAAAGAAACGTCAGTGATGACAGAGAATCATCTAACGGCCGACTCCTGCACACCCCACTGGGGATCGAGCCCGAAACCCAGGCACACGTGACTGGCCTATGCTCTATCCACTGAGCCAAGCTGGCTAGGGCCATATGCAGTTTTTTTTTTTGTTGTTTGTTTTTTAAATATATTTTATTGATTTTTCACAGAGAGGAAGAGAGAGGGATAGAGAGTTAGAAACGTCGATGAAAGAGAATCATCGACCAGCTGCCTCTTGCACACCCCCTATTGGGGATGTGCCCACAACCAAGGTACATGCCCTTGACCGGAATCAAACCCGGGACCTTTCAGTCCGCAGGCTAACGCTCTATCCACTGAGTCAAACCGGTGCTGGCTGCAGTTCTTTTAATCACTATATGATATGGTATCAGATGCAAATGAGTGCTAGCATATTCATGTTCATTATCTTGTATAATCCCATTTCAATACCATGACAACCTTCCTCTCCTTAGGAAGAGATGGGAGAACTGAGGCTCAGAGAGGTTAAGTAATTTGCTCATGTCACACAGCTAGCAGGTAGGAGAACCTGGACTCAGACCTAAATCTTTCCAATGCTTAAGTTGGGCTCATCATTCTGGACTCCTTCCTCATGACATTTCCCTAGACAGGACCTACAGGCCAATGAGCTGCTCCGAACAAGTGGTGACATGACACACTGTCCTGAATTGTTCTTTGTTTCATGAGTTTGTGTCTTGTTTCTCAGCCATACTGTAGACTCTCTCCATTTACATCACTCAGATACCTAGAGGACCTGGCCCACGGTAGGCACCTCTAGCGGGCATGGTGTTTGAGTATTGGCTCTGCTGCTTCCTAGGCATGTGACCTTGGGATAATAATGGCCCCTCCCTCTCAGGGTTGTAGTGAGGAGTAAGTGAAATAATGATGGAAGGTTCTCAGAACAACATCTGTACAATTCAATAAATGTAGCTAGTATCATTATCCAACCTTAATTGATTGAATCATCCTAGATTCCTCCCTTTTTTTTTAATCCCCAAATTATCCAATTGTCAAGTCCATCCTCTCCCCTCTCACAGCCCACGGCCCTACTTCAAGCTTCAGCTTTTGCCTTATCATTACATCCTCTGAAAGGGTCTCTCCCCTTCCAGTATAAGCTTCCTCAGCACCCTGCACTTCCCCTTTTGTAGCACTCGTCACACTTGTATTCACCAACAAAATTAAGCTGCATCTCTGAGTCATGCTTCTATCTCCTAACCCATTACGTAGTTGCTCAATAAATATTTGTCCAAAGAGGTTTTATGTTTTTTGTTTTTTTCAGAAAAATGTGCTAACTCCTGTCCTAGACTTCCTTAGAAATAAACCATAATGCCCCTAAACTTGATGGAGTTTATTTAACACTAAGACCCCATGTGATGGCCAAGATAAAACTTGTAACACATCCTTCTGGCCAGGTCACTCTTCTGTTCTCAATCATTTAGTTCTCCATAATATTCAGAATAACATTCAAATGCCTCCTTTGTCCCCATTTCATTGTTAGGAAAACCAGAGCATCTAAGAGGGGAGACAGGGCTTGGAGGGTAAAGGATGATGGACTGGGAACCCTGACACAGCAAAGCCAGGCTAGAAGTGTGCAAGGAGCAAGAGAAGAAACAAGGTTTACTTTGCTTGCCCAAAGCTGTGCAGGAAATATCAATTTGAAAGAGATGGGGCCGGCCCCAGCACATAACCCAGCTCCTGTCCCAACTTACGCCTTCTTGATCTGGGCATCCTCTGCATTGTGAGTGATGTGGAGTACAGCGTAATAATCCTGGCCCATGGCTGGCTGGCTAGCTAGTAGTCCTCTATAGCCCTGATTCCAGCAGGGCTGTTAGTCTGCATTCCTTGGTTGCTCCTGGCAACTGCACAGGGGCACTCTGGGAGTTATAGTCCTTCCTGCCTAAGCAAACCACCTTCTCAGCTCTGTCTTATGGAAGAGTAAATGAAAGGACTGAGAGAACTGGGGCTGATTCTGTGACCCTGATAGAGATCACTCAACTCAGAAACATGAGAGTTAAGAGAGTAGCAATTAGTTTTAATTAAAAATTTTTCATAACATGCATTTTGTTATTTTTTTAAATAATTTTTTAAATTTTATTGATATTTTACAGAGAGGAAGAGAGAGTTGGAAACATCGATGAGAGAGAATCATCGATCAGCTGCCTTTTGCACACCCCTTACTGGGGATGTGCCCGCAACCAAGGTAGATGCCTTTGACCGGAATCGAACCTGGGACCTTTCAGTCCGCAGGCTGACGCTCTATCCATTGAGCCAAACCGGTTTCGGCTAAAATAAAATTTTTAAGAAAAGTTTTAGATTTTCAGGCAAGCTGTGAAGATAGAGTTCTCAAATACCCCACACTCAGTTTCCCCCATTATTAACACCTTACAAGTTCTTTGTACATTTGTCACAAATAATAAACCAATATTGACACGTCATTTATATCAGAAGTTCATTCTTTATTCAGATTTCCTAGTTTTTAACTTAATGTCTTTTTACTGTTCCAAGATCCCATCTTGGATCCCACATTACATTTAGTTGTCGTGTCTCCTTAGATTCCTTTTGACTACAACTGTTTCTCAAACTTTCTTTGTTTTTAATGCCTTTGACAATTTAAGAAGTACTGGTTATTTCGGAATGTCTCTTAATTGGGATTTGCTGATATTTTTTGTTTGTTTGTTTATGATTAGACTGGAGGTTGTGGGCTTTGGAAGGAAGACCACGGAGTGCCATTCTCATCGCATCAGTTCAGAAGTATATCCTGCCAATAGGACCTGTCACTGGTGATGCTGACCTCGATCGCCCATAGAGGTAGTGTTTCCAGGGTTTTCCGCTGTAAAGGCACTTGGTCTTCCCCTGTCTGGACTGTACATTTTGGTGGGAAAGCATTTTGAGGCCCACCCCAGAGTGGGAACTTTTGCTCCGTCTCCTTGAGGGCTGCAGTGCACCACTCACAAGCCAGAAAGAGAAAGGACGGGGGGGGGGGGGGGGGGGGAGAGAGTGATAAAGCAAATAATACAAAGTTCAATCCTGTGAGATCTGGGTGGGGATACGTTGGAGTCCTCTGTACTACTCTTGCAACTTATTTGTAAGTTTGAAATTATTTCAAAATGAAAAGTAAATTAGAAAAAATATAAAATACATCCACAGACTTGTTTAAAATAAACCTTCACTTTGCAAGGCTTCTGTGAGGACTGTGCTTGGTACAGAGTCCTTGCTCCATAGCTGATGCTACCGTCAGCTCAGCTTGAGAAAGAGGCACTTCTCACAGTAAGTCACAAGGGGGCATCTGAAAACCAAGAAACAAGGTCTAGCACAGCTGCACTGGGCCTGCAGAGCTGCAGCTGGGGTTGGCCACCCTTCCTTACCCAGAATGCACTACTCAATCCAAAAGGAAAAGCAAGCTTTGTCTGTTACAAACGGTATCAGTCCATTCACAGTGCCCAAGGCTTGGTGTGGATTTCACAGCAGCTCTTAAGGGTCACTGCACCCATCACAACCAGGATATCCACTCTGGTTACCTTTCATGACCTGCTATGGAAAGGGGGTTATGAATGTGATAGCAGTGGAGAAGAGTGAGTCCAAGAATGGGAACTCAGACTCACTTGCCATGTGATGAACTCAAGCCATAATCCTGTTTTCTTTGCTTTCTTTTTTGAGAGAGGGGGAGGGGCTGTGGGAGTGAGGGAGGAAGGAACATCAATTTGTTGTTTCACTTATTTATGCATTTATTTGTTGATTCTAGTATGTACCCTGACCAGGGATTGAACCTGGTGTATCAGGGCAATATCCTAACCAACTGAGCCAGACCAGCCAGGGCTCATCCTGGCTTCTTAATCTGACTTCGTAGAGTACCCCTTAGACTTCCTAGGAATTATTGTTTCTCAGCTCTAGAATGTCTCTTTGGATCACCTGACCCTATCACAAATCACTTTTTAAAAAAAATATATTTTTATTGATTTTACAGAGAGGAATTGAGAGGGACAGAGAGTTAGAAACGTCGATGAGAGAGAAACATCGACCAGCTCCTCTTGCACACCCCCCATTGGGGATGTGCCTGCAACCAAGGTACATGCCCTTGGCCGGAATCGAACCCGGGACCTTTCAGTCCGCAGGCTGACGCTCTATCCACTGAGCCAAACCGGTCCTGGCGACAAATCACTTCTTAAGTGAAACAGCTCTAGTCCCAGAAGTCTCGTGACCACATGCTTAGGTGGAAGGAGCACAGGCCTTGGAGACAGACTGAGCAAGGTCCAAATCAAGGCTCTGGTACTTAATGTCTTGAGCCTCAATTTCCTTATCCGTAAAACAGGGATTTTTCCTTTTTAACAGTGTTGTAAAGATTAAATATATAAATACAGAACCTAGAACAGAGTAGATTGCTAGTAGATATTCAATGAATGACAATATTTTATTTTCACAATTTTGTTTAGGGATTATCAACAGGTAGAAAAAAATGGCATTTAAAGTTAAAATAAACTGTTCAAGTTCCTGCTCTCTATGATCCCTGGCAAATCACTTCATCTCTCTGAGTCTCACCACTGGTATGTCATAGGTAGCAATAAAGACTACATGAGAACATGCCTTTAAGTACTCTGTAAGCCATACTGTTACCTGAGTCAGGAATTATTTTCTTCCCTTAAATAAATTCCCGATCTCAGCCTACATGGCTCAGCTCCAGGGTTTCATGCTCTAAGAAACTTTTTCTTTAATAATCTCTAAAATGTAAATGATATGGCTTTCATGTTCTGGAAATTGTTTTAAAAAAATGAAGGTCTAAATGTAAAAGAACCAAGATACTAAGTGAAAATAAGCCATGGAACACATAATTATTCCATTTTTATGTTTAGAGACAAAAAAAAAGAAGTAACCCTGTCACACTTTTGCTTAAAAACCCCTTCATGATTCCCACTGCCAGCCAAATGAAGTTCAAGCTCCCTATCTGGCATTCAAGCTCCTTCACTATTCGGGGCCTGCCAACCTCTCCAGCCTCATCTCCCACAGACCAGCCTGGCCATCCTATGAGCCCTGGGTTCCATCTATGACGCAAGTGCCCCATACCATCTTTCTCTAGATCTCAAACTTCAGTACGCTTCAGAATCATAGATTTGTTAAAACAGGTTGTAGGCCTACCCACAGAATTTCTGATTTAGGTCTGAGGTGGGCTCAAGAATTTTTATTTCTAATTCCCTGGTTATACTGAGAAGCTGTTCTAGGAACCACTTTCACAGCCACTGCCTTCACTTCATCACCTGTATATAGGCTGACAGACCATGTTGGTTTGCCTAGAACTGAAAGCCACAGGTGGCCGAAAATCCCACGATAGTAGTCATCCTACCTGCACAAAAGTCTTTTCCAGGTTGTGCCTATGGGATCTTTACTGCTAATGTCAACAGTCCTGTATGACCAGGCCAACAAGAAAGGACTTCCATCAGCCTGACTGACTTTCTGCTGGAATAAGAACATTTAACCAAGTTTTCAAATTCTGACTCCTCCAAACATACTCTCTTTATTCCCTTCAGAGAACAGGCTTTAGTCCCTGGTCCTATAAACATTTAATACAACGATGTGTGATCAAACTAAGCATTCCATAATCCTGCCCTGTGTGGCTGCGGTGAGTTTATAGAAGAAGTTGGGGCAAACGCAGTGAGCACATAAGAGCTTCTAACTCAGTTCACACAAGTCTTGTGTGGAACGAAAGTGGAGCTCTCGGTGACTTCCGAAAGGTGCCCAAGACACCAAAGAGCAGGGACCTCGGGAAGGACTGATGATGCTTCTGCTCACTGTTGGTCATGGCCAGTCGTTTTCATTAACTGGGACTCCTCCTTTCAGGAGTCAGAGGTCAGAGAGCTGATAGCGCCGCACCAGGCCATCTCGGCAGCATGTGTAGATCTGCTTCTCCCACGTGGCTACCTGGAATACAAGAGTCACAGCTCACAGTAAGCCTGGAATTCTCCCATTCCAGACAGAGCCTTGTCATTCACCCCCACTACAAGGAAGTCAGAAGCTTTGTTTACTTCAAAGACAAGAAAATAATTACATCTTATGTATTTTTAAAATGGCTAGCCATTATCAAGAGCACTATGATTAGAAACACTAATTAGCCAAGTAGAGAGCAAATCCATTAGTGTTGTGCCTGCTTAGAGAATCTATACCTGGGAGGAGATAGATGGTCCATAATGGCTCTTGGTATGCCTGAGCCTCATAGAATTATACACAAAAGAAGTTCTCAACATGAGCCTTTTATCTGAGGAGAATTTCATAGACTCACAAGAGTTTGAGACCCAAAGAAGGTTAAGAGCCACTAAATTAGTGAAAATAGCATTAATTCAGGAGTTAGCTGAGTCTCAGGTTTGCTTATGCAAAACTGCACGACCATGGGCCACTTTCTCAACTCCTCTGGGCCCCAATTTCCTTATTTGTAAACTGAAAATGATTTATTAATTCACAATATAGAACACTATGCAGAAACTTTTAGAAATAAAGTGTATCTATATGCATTTGTCTGGAAAGAGCTCCAAGATGATAAGTAAAAAAAAGCAAGTGCCTGGCTGGTTTGGCTCAATAGATAGAGTGTTGGCCTGCGGACTGAAGGGTTCTGGGTTCAATTCTGGTCAAGGGCACATGCCCAGTGTTGGACATGCAGGAGGCAGCCAATCAATAATTCTCTATCATCATGTTCCTCTCCCTCTCCCTTCCTCTCTGAAATCAATAAAATTATATTTAAAAAAAACACATAAAAAGTCATAAAGGCAATATATATAAGATGATCCCAGTTATGTACAAACTAAGATAAAACTGTATTATTTACATAAATACATAAGCACAAAAAAAGTCTTGAAAGATATGTGCCAAACTGTCAATGCTAGTAACTTCTGGGAAGAAGAGCTGAACTAGCTCAACCAGTGTGGCTCAGTGGTTGAGTATTAATCTATGAACCAGATGGTCAGAGTTCAATTCCCAGTCCGTGCACATGCCCAGGTTGCCGGCTGGATCCCCAGTTTGGGATGTGCAGTAGGCAGTTGATCAATGATTCTCTCTTATCATTGATGTTTCTATTTCTCTCTCTCCTCTCCTCTCTCTGAAATCAATAAAAACATATTTTTTAAAAACAAAAACTCTAGGCATGTATTAATTACACAATTTTTTTTAATTATAAGAAAAATAGGAGTAATAATACCTATACTTCAAGAAATGAAAACACTTAATGAAATAATACATGTAAAACTTCCTGCACAATGACTGGTCAATATTATTTCCCTTTATTTTTCTCTTTCCATTCTAATCAAATTAAATAATCAGTCTTGAACTTTAAATAATAATAATTCTAATATTTATAGAATATTTTTAAATATATATATTTATTGATTTCTGAGAAGAAGGGAGAGGGAGCGAGAGATAGAGATATCAGTGATGAGAAAGAATCACTGATTGGCTGACTCCTGCACACCGGCCACTGGGGATCAAACCTGCAACCCAGGCATGAGCCCTGACTGGGAATCGAACTGCTACCTCTTGGTTCATAGGTTGATGTTCAACCACTGAGCCACTGGGGTATACAGTACTTTAAATTACAAGGAGCTTTCATATGCATTATCCCAGTATTATCCTCATTTTACAGAGGAACTGACAGATGAGAGGTGAAGTGATTTTTCAAGTTTCTAGATCTAGTAAGTGATTAAGTAATTTCTGACTCAAAATTCTGATTTCTTTCTATCCCATCTCTAAGTATTTTAACACCATAAAAATCACAAAGTAACTGGATTCAGTCCCCTCCAAAGCTCTAGATCCCAGGTGAGAATCATCAAGGCTTAGTCTCCAGTCAGGCCTGTACCTTGTACACAGGGTCACAGTCAGCCCCAGTGAGCTCAATGACATGGTCTAAGTCTTGCTGGACAATGAAACAGCTTCCATCACCTAAAAGGCAGAAAGAAAATTTAGAAAAGTGAAGAGAAATCTGCATACAAAGGAGTTTTTAAAAACCTCAATATTTTAATTTATTTCTGTATGTCACTAGCATAAAGAAGATTGCCCTAAGATATGGAAAGGCAAACATGTTTCATTATGTAGACCAACTCTGAGGACCTATAGTGGCTGGCTGGAATGCTAGGCTACAGAGGAGCTGAAGGTCAGTGCCTTCTGCGGGAAGAAGGTTTGTCTTTGAGGAGCAATACCTGCCAAGGGCACAGAGCAAGCAACTACAGATTTATATATCTGTATGCAAACTTATTCTAAGCAATAACTTTTAATAGCACCAACTACATAATGGGCACTAAGTTAAATGCTGGAAATAATACAATGAATAAGTCATAGTCACTACTGTCAAGGAGCTTGGACTGGAGGGGGACATAGACAATTACAATGTAGGGAGATAAACACTATGTGATAAGCACAATATGGCAAACAGTTGTGGAGGCCCACGCCCTTAGCACAACCACAGACCAGACGCTTAAACCTATGTTTAACTGAATTGCATGGAACCATTCTCTTGATTGGCCCTGGACCCACCTTGGCTAGCAATGAATCCGTCTCTGAACCTCAGCAGGGATAGAACTGGTGCTCCTGATCTGTGGAGGACTTGAACTGGATCCCTAGGATGCACAGTAAAAGGGGCAATTTTAGTTTTTTTCTTCAAAAGCAATGCCTGATTATATAGTACGAACCACATAATAGCAAACAGGATATAAGTAGAGATTAAATATTCATATGGCTTCTTTCCTGCAAGATAATTAAATGGTAGATCAAGACAACCCATTCTAAAATACCGTGGAGTGAAAACAAAAAAAGTAAAAAAATAAAATAAAATACTGTGGAGTGAATCTAAATCTGTCTCTAAACATATCATTGAACTGAATAAGCCTGGTCACCACCAAAATCTCTAGTTTTGGGGGAGACATTATAGTGTTAACAATATGTAAATCTTTTTACTTCTAGATAATTAAAACAGTTGTGGAATATTAAAATTGTCAGGACTCTAAAAAACAAAACAGAAAGGTGAGTGAACATCAATTATATATATATATATATATATATATATATATATATATATATATATAATACACACACACACACACGTGTGGTTTTATTATTATTTTTAAAAATAGGTTTTAATTGATTTCAGAGGAGAAAAGAGATTGGGAGAGATAGAAACATCAATGATGAGAATCATTAATTGGCTGCCTCCTGCATGCCCTCTACTGGGGATCAAGCTTGCAACCTGGGCATGTGCCCTGATGGGGAATAGAACCATGACCTCTTGGTTCATAGGTTGACACTCAACTACTGAGCCATATCAGCTGGACAAGAGTAATTTTATAATAGTGATCAGAGAGTCCCTATCTCCAGGGAGGCAAAAACAAGTATAAAAATAAAGTAACTTGCCGGGACCGGTTTGGCTCAGTGGATAGAGCGTCGGCCTGCGGACTAAAAGGTCCCGGGTTCGATTCCGGTCAGGGGCATGTACCTTGGTTGCGGGCACATCCCCAGTGGGGGGTGTGCAAGAGCCATAGATCAGCTATGATTCTCTCTCATTGATGTTTCTAACTCTCTGTACCTCTCCCTTCATCTCTATAAAAAATCAATAAAATATATATATATATTTTTTAAAAGAGTGACTAGCTTATACCTTTTCTTCCATAAGTTAAATTACTTTATTTATTTATTTTATAATATATTTTATTGATTTTTCACAGAGAAAAATAAAATATATATATATATATATATATTTTAAAAGAGTGACTAGCTTATACCTTTTCTTCCATAAGTTAAATTACTTTATTTATTTATTTTATAATATATTTTATTGATTTTTCACAGAGAAAAAGAGAGAGGGATAGAGAGTTAGAAACATTGATGAGAGAGAATCATCGATCAGCTGCCTCTTGCACACCCCCTACTGGGGATGTGAGCGCAACCAAGGTAAATGCCCTTGACCAGAATTGAACCCGGGACCTTTCAGTCCGCAGGCCGATGCTCTATCCACTGAGCCAAACCGGTTTCGGCAGCTAGTCACTCTTTAGTTGGAATTTCTTCACTGCTTTTGGAATAAAGTTCAAAGTCCTTAGGCTGGTACATAAGTCTTTTCTAAGCAAATTCCCACTTTCCTATCTGTTGCCCTGTCCGCAGGGGACATATCTGTCATATCAAACTATTCAGAGGTCCCTGAAAGTGCCATACTTTCACACACCTTCATGCTTCTCTATATGCTATTCTACCCTTTTGTCTTGACTTGATAACTCCCCACTGGACAAGATGCAGTTAAAGCCTCATTTTTTTGGGAAGCAATCTCACCTTCTTCCCTCTCCTTGGTGCTTCCTCATATCCCTGTCAGACACTGATCACACTGTATCATGACAGTCTTTTACTTATTGGGTGTTACTACTAGACTCCAAATGCCTCAAAGTCAGAATCTATATCTTGTCTGGTTTTCAGGTGCCCACAGAAGCTATTCAATAAATATCAGTTGAACAAAGGAAGAAATAGAGAGAGGAAGAAGATGTAGACATGTTAAATCCTGGGACAGAAGGGTTTTCTCTGGATAGCGTTAAGATCAGAATAAGGCTTGTTTGAGATAGGTTATGATAAAAGCTAAGTAAAGAACCAGAGCTGGCTTATTTCAAACTGAAAAATGATCAATTTTAGGCCAACCCAGATCTAATACCATAAAGAAAATTAGTCGGTATTGGTGGCAGAGTGGTAAGCATACTGCCTTTCATAAAGAAAATTACTGAGCTCCTTAAAATTAAGTTCTACACAATTTTAAAGTGAAATATTAGTTCATGTTTAACCTTAATTTCCAAAGCAATCACCACAATAGGACATTCATGACAGTATGAATCAAACCACCTTTTAATGATTCCAAGAATGATAAGGATTCTAGTAATAAGAACAATCAGACAATTCACACCAGAAAACCTTTATAAATGGAAAAATATACCCTTGATTCAATAATCAACTATATGCTATGCTAAACCAATGTTAAAGCCAAAAAAATTTCCACTCTGTAGAAGGTCTACATCATGCAAAGGGATGGTGACTCACCTTGGACTTCTCACATCCAGCTGATAAATGTTTCCATCCTGTGTCCCAGCCAAGAGCAAGAAGCCAGAGAGAAAAGTACAGCAGTTGAAGGCATCTGAGCCAATAAAGAGGAATACCTGGGAACAAGTAGAAGACAAAAATGCTGTTAAAGCTTAATTTGTTTCCAGGAATAAACAGGCACCAAAAAATAAAAATTTTACTATTTTTAGAGATATTTTCTTCCCCCTTTAAACATTCCTGTTATTTATTTTTAAGAATCAAATTTCCGCTCTAGCCAGCTTGGCTCAGTGGATAGAGCATTGGTCGTCAGACTGAAGGTCCCAGGTTAGATTCTGACCAAGGGCACATGCCCGGGTCTCAGGCTCTAGCCCCAGTAGGGGGCATGCAGGAGGCAGTTGATCAATGATTCTCTCTCATCATTGGTTTCTCCCTCTCTCTCTCTCCCTTCCTTTCTGAAATCAATAAAAATGTTAAAAAAAAAAAAAAAGAATCAAATTTTCTGCTTTACTTATTTTTATTTTTGAATCCTTACCGAGGAAATTTTCCCATTGATTTTTAGAGAGAGTGGAAGAGAGGGAAAGACAGAACTATGGATGTGAAAAAAGCATATCAATTGGTTGCCTTCTGCATGGGCTTTGGCCCAGGTCAGGGAAGAGTCTGCAACTGAGATACATGCCCTTGACTGGAATCGAACCCGGGACCCTTCGGTCCGCAGGCTGATATTCTATCCACTGAGCCAAACTGGCCAGGGCCCTTTAAGCATTTTTTATCTAAACCAGGCCCTCACCTCACCAACAACTGAGAAAGAAGCACTCCCAGGATTTCAGGAACCTGAGGTTGGCTGAGGACTTCAGCAGTTTATATAATACCTTAGTCTGAGGCAGCAATTTTTAAACTACTACCCCTCAACACATTGACACAGAATCCTCAACACCAAAAATCATTCTTTTCCCTCTTTTCATTACAACTTTCCATTTGAGAAACACTTGCAATGCACACATTTAATATTTGCTGCATGTTACTTATAATCACATTTTGAAGGGAGATAAATTTGTAGGAAAAAAACTAACCTTAAATAAACTGGCAACTTAAAGAATCACAATTCTCCTTATGTACTTGAGAAAAGAAATTATCAGATTTTTATTATTCCTGTTAGCTGACATTGATCATTTCTCCCCTGAATGTTCTAAAAAGTAAATACACAAAGCTAAACAAAACAAAAATCCTTGATTTAAAAGCCAGCATGTAAATTCAGAGTGCAAAGGCAGTATGATAAAAAATAGTGATGTTCCTGGAACAACTTTGAATATGGAAACATTACAAATACAATGAACTAAGGAGATAAAATGAAAATACACAGCTTATGGCCAAACCAAATCATTAAAATTATCTGGCGATGGAGTTGAAATTTGAAAAACCTAATCCCAGGGAACTCAGTTTAATTAAAAACACAATGTGCTCAGCAAAACTTCAGAGGATGAAAGAAGAAAATTCAACTAATTCTTCTATAAAAGATATTATGATCATTATTTAGAGCCCTGAGTGTGTGAGTTCTTTACTCAGAATTTCTTCATGTTACCTGAGAGGTGGAAAGGAATCTATAAAACCTATCATTTTATAACAGCACATGGAGGCCCAGAGGGAAAGTGACTTGCAGTAGAGCATGTAAGCCTTATCACATAACCCTATGAGGTAAGTCCTACCAGGCCCAGTTTAGTGGTGAGAAAACAGGGTCAGACAGGTTAAGAAACCTGTGTGATGTCATAGCCATTAAATGGAAGAGCTGGAATTTAAAGGTTGCTCTATTCTAAATTCCATGCTATTAATCACTAAATGAACTGCCTCTCACTCATGCAGCTATCTCAAAAGTGTACATGCAGAGATGTTTCTCAAACAGCCTTCCAAGAATCAGAGTGACCCAGCTTTCCCCAGAGTTCAAAGAACTTAGAGGAACCACTTGCCGGCTGCCTGCTCCGTAGTCCCAAGCACTGAAGCTTCTTATCTTCCCGGGCCAACAGCAGCATTTTCGATTCTGTTCCAACCTCCCGTTCACCTGCATGACACGTGAGCTATGTCAATAACTGGTTGATCAGCTGGCAGTACCCAGAGAGCAAGACACTGATGGCTGTTTACTGAATTACTCTGTTAGTGATTCACTCATTAATTTTTTAAAAAGTACTTTTATTAAATTTTAAAGAGCAAGGAAGGGGAGGCGGAGAGAGAGAGACAGAGAAACACTGATTGGCTGCTGCCTATGTGCCCCCTATCCGATATTGAGCCCACAACTTAGGCATGTACCCTGATCGGGACTCAAACTGGCAGCCTTTTGGTGCACTAGTCGATGCCCAACCGAGTCACACCGGGGTCAGACAGTGTAAGGGTTTGTGATAAACCATGGTAAAGGGTTAAGATTTTAATATATGTGTAAAAGGAGGCCACGGGAGAAGAGTAGGGACAAAGAACAGTGACATGACTTGATTAATGTTTTTTTTAATTAATTATTTATTTATTTATTTAATATATTTTATTGATTTTTTACAGAGAGGAAGAGAGAGGGATAGAGAGTTAGAAGCATCGATGAGAGAGAATCATCAATCAGCTGCCTCCTGCACACCTCCTACTGGGGATGTGCCCGCAACTAAGGTACATGCCCTTGACCGGAATTGAACCCGGGACCTTTCAGTCTGCAGGCTGACGCTCTATCCACTGAGCCAAACCGGTTTTGGCTGATTTATGTTTTTTAAATGACCACAATGGTTCCTCTGAGGAGAACGGGTTATAAGAGAATAGTACAAGCAATAGAGGATGGTAGATTGGACCAGGATACTGGTAGGAGGGACAATGGGAGGGAGAGGACAAGGTAGAAAAATTCAAAGCACTTTGAAGGTAGAGTAGACTTTGCTGAAGTGGGACATGAGGAAAGGCAGGGGTGGACTGTGAATGAATCCCAGGCTTTGGGCTTGAGCAATGGCAAGATGGGGAAAACAGATTGGGGCTGGGAGAAGGAATAAAACACTCTTTGTCAGACAAGGTAAGTTTGAGCTATTAGACATCTAAACAGAGTCTAAAACACAGGTGAGAGGCCTATACTTAAATGTACTTTTGGAAATCACCAGCTTAAATATAATACTTAAAGCCATGATCACCCAGGGAGAAACTGTCGTTAGAGCAGAGGGCCCTCCAATACTTAAAGGAGAACAAAGGAGATTTATAAAAGGAGACCAAGAATTAGCAGCCAGTGAGATAGGAAGAAAAGCAGTATAGTGTGGTATCATGGAAGCCAAGACAGAAAAGTTTCCTGAGAAGAAGGGCTGACATTGAACTCTATTCAGAAAGAAAATTCAGAAAGAAAAGCACAGAGAAATAACATTGAATTAGGCAACGTGGAGTCACTGGTGATCCTGCCCTAGCTCCCATCCTGCCATCCTTATTTTATTTTATTTTTTTTAAGATATATTTTATTGATTTTTACAGAGAGGAAGAGAGAGGGATAGAGAGCCAGAAACATACAGAGGAAGAGAGAGGGATAGAGAGCCAGGAGGCAGCTTGCACACCCCCTACTGGGGATGTGCCGTAACCAAGGTACATGCCCTTGACCGGAATCGAACCTGGGACCTTTAGTCCGCAGGCCGACGCTCTATCCACTGAGCCAAACCGGTTTCGGCCCTTCTTATTCTTATCTATCCACCTGGAATCCATCCTTCAAGATTCAAGTCAACTTCTTTTGTGACAACTTTCACATCAACACTAACCCAAAACAGTGTCTTCTAAGAATCACTAAGTTATTTCAGCCAAAAATGTATTGTTCTTTGTTTTATAGGCATTCATCTAATCTGATGTTAAACTGTAATTATGCAAATGCACTAACTATGACACATAGTTCTTTTGTAGATTTTAAAGCAACAGAAACAGAGTAGGTTTGCAATATTATTAATCTTATGGTGAAAATAGAAATACCAGCTATAGAGCAAAAAAGGATGAGGAAGAAAAGGAGAAACTAAGGCTAATACTGAAGGGGCCTAAGGAAACAAAACAGCTCATAGATCATTATCAACTCACTGGGCACCTGCTCAGGGCAGCCGAGGTTGATGGAGTTGTCAGCAGCACCCACAGCCACTCCGTTGATGGAAGAACCACAATCTGCAATGACTCCCAGGCAGGCTGAGCGCCCACAATCCCAAAGTCGTGCTGTTCCATCTCGAGAACCAGATAACACATTCCTCCCCCGATCAATAATGGCTGTATCTAGGATACCTGGCAAGAGAAAAAAAAAGACCCTGAGGTAGAATAAGTGATAAAGGAACTTCAAGGGTAGAGAAGACAGATCTGCATAAATGACTCCATTCCTTCACAAATATACTGGATATATACTACATGCTGGGCACGCTCAAGTGCCCAGCAAATAAATAAATAGAACAACAACAAAAAAAACCCAAATAAATAGAACAGAGTCCCTGCCTCCCATTGGTTCAAACTAGCTGTGAGAAACAGACATGGAAAAAGCGTTGGATTTAATTTTTAGTGGGTGTCCTAGAGCAGTGGTTTCCATGATTTTATTTTGGCTTTAAAACCTGTTTTTTAAACAAAAATTAAGTAGACATCTTAGAGTTCCATTTGAAAAATCCCTTTTGAAAAGATCCTGGTGCTTCCATTGAGAACTAATTGAAATGGTTAGTCTCCCCATCTTAAAAGAAAGAATATGACTTCTGGTCCAGCCAAGATGGAGTAACCCCATTCCTCCCAGGATCCTCCTCTCACAACTAAAAAAAAAAAACCTGGACATAACAACACCCAAGCCTAGGAAGACTGAAGGTTGGAAAGAAGGCAGACCATCTAGGGACCTCAGGACTTGAGCAATGAGTTCCCTGGACTTCCTTATTGCTTCCCACGTATACTGGACAGGACTCTGCAGAAGTCTGCGACATGCAGCTGGTTAAAAAACCAGACACAAGACCATCTTTCCTTCCCTCCAGCAGCCACAGCCATGAAGGCTGAGCTGTGCAGTTTCAGTGGGCACAAGATTTACCCCGGACACGGGAGGCGCTATGCCAGGACCAACAGGAAGGATTTCCAGTTTCTTAATGCAAAATGCGAATTGGCCTTGCTTTCCAAGAGGAATCCTTGACAGATAAACTGGACTGTCCTCTACTAAGGAAAGCACAAAAGGGAACAGGAGGAAGAAATTCAAAAGAAAAGAACCGCCGTGCTTTTTCGGCTTTCGGCTCGGAGGAGACTCAGGTGCAACTTCCCTCGGTCGTCCCGAATCCGGGTTCATCCGACACCAGCTGCCTCCACCATGCCGCCGAAGTTCGACCCCAACGAGGTCAAAGTCGTATACCTGAGGTACACCGGTGGGGAAGTGGGTGCCACGTCTGCCTTGGCCCCCAAGATCGGCCTCCTGGGCCTGTCCCCAAAAAAGGTTGGTGATGACATCGCCAAAGCAACTGGTGATTGGAAGGGTCTGAGGATTACAGTGAAACTGACCATTCAGAACAGACAGGCCCAGATTGAAGTGGTGCCTTCTGCCTCTGCCCTGATCATCAAAGCCCTTAAAGAACCTCCAAGAGACAGAAAGAAGCAAAAAAACATTAAGCACAGTGGAAATATCACACTCGATGAGATTGTCAGCATTGCCCGACAGATGCGGCACGGATCTTTAGCTAGAGAACTCTCTGGAACCATTAAAGAGATCCTGGGGACTGCTCAGTCTGTGGGGTGCAATGTTGATGGCCGCCACCCTCATGACATCATAGATGATATCAACAGTGGTGCAGTGGAATGTCCCGCTAGTTAAGAACCACAAAGGAAAAGAACTCAAATAAAGATCATTTTGACAAGCAAAAAAAAGAAAAGAACCCGCCGTGCAGTCAAATTCCAGAGGGCCATCACTGGTGCATCTCTTGCTGATATCATGGCCAAGAGGAACCATGTCCTGAAATTAGGAAAACTCAACGAGAACAAGCTATCAGGGCTGCCAAGGAAGGAAAAAAGGCTAACCAAGCATCTGAAAAGACAGCCCTGGCTGCTGACAAGGCTCCCACAAAGGCAGCACTAAGCAGAAGATGGTGAAGCCCGTGAAGGTTTCTGCTCACGGGCTGGTGGAAAATGCTACGTTGGCAGATGAGATTCTTAAATAAGGACCTGACTATAACTAAAAAAAAAAAATAAGAAAAAATACTCGCATGCTGGGTTAAAAAAAAAACAAAAAACAAACAAACAGGCACAGTTTAAAAAAAACAAATAAACTCCAAAAAAAGTCTGTTGCCCCTTGCAAAAGATGGGAAAAGGGTAGCCTTCAGAGCAGAAAATCTGTTGGCCATATCTCCCCCACTCAAATAGCCGGAGGAAAACTGCAACTTCTCCCTCACCCAAGGTTTCCATGGGGCTGAACAGGGAATGACAGCACTCAAATTTACCCAGTGACACTGACCAGGCCAAGCCTAGGTATTGTCAGCAGGGTTCAGAGGTGAACTGAATCTCTACCCTCACCTGACACAGCAACAGGTGGAAAAGAGGTAGAATGAGATAGTGACAAATAGCACCCCACTTTCTCCAATCACCCTTCATACCTCCTTTGTGACCTTTGAAGGTTGCCACACAGCTAGCATCTTCAGCTGACCAGATCTTCAGCTGGGCATCCATTCCCCCACTCAGAACCACAAGGCCTGATGGGAAAAACCTGCAACAATTCACATCAAACACATGTCCTTCCAATACTCTCTGGAAAAACAAAAGAAAATTCCAGGCTAGTTCTTTTGTCCATCCCTTGATTTCTCTTACCTCCCATATCCTTGATCCCTTAAAAGAATTATCTACATTTCAAAGCCGGTTTGGCTCAGTGGTAGAGCGTCTGTCTGCGGACTGAAACGTCCCAGGTTCGATTTCGGTCAAGGGCATGTACCTTGGTTGCAGGCACATCCCCAGTAGGGGGTGTGCAAGAGGCAGCTGGTCAATGTTTCTAGCTCTCTATCTCTCTCCCTTCCTCTCTGTAAAAAATCAAAAAAAAAAAAAAAAAAAAAAAAAAAAAAAAATATATATATATATATATATATATATATATATAAAGAATTATCTACGTGCTATACTCGCATGCTGGGTTTTAAAACGAAGGAGGTCCAAATAGCTCCTCCTCTTTAGCACATTTGTCTACCAAGTAGTGTTTTAAGAGTTAGGCTCCCTTTCCGGCTTTGGCTACAGATGTGGATTTGAACTCCATGGCTCTCACAGCCATGTGGGAAGCAATAAGGAAGTCTAGTTCTACATATAAGAAGCTGAGGAGGGCCCTAGCCAGTTTAACTCAGTGGAGAGAGCATCAGCCTGGGGACTAAAGGGTCCCAGGTTTGATTCCGGCCAAGGGTACATGCCCAGGTTGCAGGCTCAATCCCCCCCATCAGGGGACGTGTAGGAGGCAGCCAATCAATGATTCTCTCTCATCATCATCTCTCTCTCTCTCTCCCTTCCTCTCTGAAATCAATAAAAATAAAAAAGCAGCAGCAGCAGCTGAGGAGATTGGGGGGCTATGCCATATAATTAATGTAATAGCTAAGCTACTCTCTCTTAGAAACCATCACTGAAGGCAGTTCATACCAAGGGACCACACACTTAGACATTCGCTGGCCTGGCTCCTCCACTGTCCGAGCCCCAATTTGTTCTGGCAAATCACCTAGCTTGAGGATGGTTTTCAAATTTAAAAAGGGAACAAAGATCCACTGAAGTGCAGTGGTACTATATTTATAGAAAGAGACATTCTTCTTTCCATGACCCAGTCTGAAGGTTCTTAGACCCCTTCATGTATAAGACCCTGAAAGTGTATCCAAAGCCTTTACTCTGAGCTCTCCATTGGAAGCCTGCCAGATTTTCATGCTCCCATCAGCACTAGAAGACACTCCGAGGCCTCCTCCACTGGAAATGTCCAGGCACGTTATCTGTTCAAAAGACAAAACAACCAGTGTTACTAATAATAAAATGCTCCTCTTTCCCTGGAGTGTGTTATAAATAACCCGTTTCACACTCCTCCAAGACTTATCCCAACACAAAGGACATGTGTTTCATGTAAGGTTGACTATCACCAATCTCCCAAATAGGGTAAAGCCAATGCCTTTTACTTATGGAAAAAAAAGGGGCAGGCTGGGAGAGGTCAATGGGGGGAAAGAGGGACATACTTTCCACAATAAAGATTTAAAAAAAGATAATGGCCGGGACCGGTTTGGCTCAGTGGATAGAGCATCGGCCTGCGGACTGAAAGGTCCCGGGTTCGATTCCGGGCAAGGGCCTGTACCTTGGTTGCGGGCACATCTCCAGTAGGGGGTGTGCAAGAGGCAGCTGATCGATGATTCACTCTCATCGATGTTTCTAATTCTCTATCCCTCTCCCTTCCTCTCTGTAAAAAATCAATAAAATATATTTTAAAAAAAAGATAATGAAGTAAAAATAAGATTGTTTATATGCTAACCCAATATGATTAATGTCCTTGTAAAAAGAGGAAATTAGGACACAAACACACAGAGTGAAGACCATGTGAGGATACAAGCAGAAAATGGCTATCTACATGCCAAGGAGAGAGACCTCAGAAAAACCAACTTTGTTGAAACCTTGATCTTGAACATTAGCCTCCAGAATTGTGAGAAAATAAATTTCTGTTAAGCCAAAACAAAACAAAACAGGAAAAAACATACAAAAAGATTCTATATAATAAAGACCTAATATGCTAATTAGACTAGATGGTGGAATGACCTTCCAGAAAGACCAGTGGACCAGAGGGGGAAGGCAGGGCTGCGGAGTTGCAAGGGCAGAGACAGCCTGGACTGCGAAGGCCTACTCCTGTATGAATTTCATGCATTGGGCCTCTAGAATACTTATAATCATCTATAGTTTCCTGTTTCAGCAATGAAGTTTTCCCTGTCCCCATATCATTTTCCATAGTTTCCAACTTTTGCTATTTTATTTTAAAATTAATATACCACTCCTAATTCCTAGGAACCCACTTACACAAAAGATAGTCTTTCAAGATGCTCCAAAAGAATTCAAGCAAAGTAAGCTGCTTTCAATTTTCTACTTCACATTTCCTCTGAAAATCCTAATTATATGTGTATGTGTGTGATTCCGAATAAGAGAATCCCCAGATTTACTTAAGTGGTTTCAATATGAGCAATCACTTCATGAATAAGCCATGATCAGAATGCCAAGTCTCCTTCATATATATTCATAAATACATACCTTTTTTATTTAATAACACCCAGTTGCAAATATTTCAGAAATGTAAAACAGACATATTCCCAGCAACAATGATTCACATATGACCTAAATTATTAAGAAAAAAGTAGAGACTTTTGCAGTAATTATCCAACTTTCCATTTTACTTTGCTCTTTGACAGTTAAGCCATTATAAATAGGATTAGCAAGAACTAAAGAAATATGTCAATTCTAACATTTTCTAAGATTTTTTTCTTCTTCATATTGGTTTCTCAGAATATAATAAAAGAACTGTTAATTTAATTGTGAAACATTTAATTTTAGGAATTATGACAACTTAATTTACATCACATTTTATCATTTATAAAACTCTTTCAAATACATTACATAGAGCCAGGATAGAAACCTAGGTCAGAGTCTAAATCTATAGATCTATTCCTTAGTCAAAACAAAAGAACAGACAGGTCAATGGAATAATGCTAAATACTGGATAAAGATGACAATTCAAACCAGTGAGATAAAGGACGAATTACTTTATAGTGCTGTGAATCATTTCAAAAAGAATTAAGTTAGACCTCTCCTTCAAACCAAATAACAAAAACAAAGTTTAAAATGTAAAATGTAAAAAATAGCCGCGACCGGTTTGGCTCAATGGATAGAGTGTCCGCTTGGGGACTGAAGGGTCCCAGGTTCGATTCCGGTCAAGGGCATGTACTACCTTGGTTATGGGCATATCCCCAGTAGGGGGTATGCAAGAGGCAGCTGATCGATGACTCTCTCTCATCGATGTTTCTAACTCTCTATCTCTCTCCCTTCCTCTCTGTACAAAATCAATAAAAAAAATATTTAAAAAAATGTAAAATGTAAAAAATAAAAATTAAAAGAAAACACTATATTTACACTTTTAATTAACACTTATTTTATGTTTACTATGCTCCAGACACAATTCTAACTGCTTCAATCCTCATAAAAATCCTAAAGATATACATTATTTTTACCACCATATTATAGTAGTCTGTAGCACATGGTATGTGGCCTAAGGTTACACAGTTAGTAAGTGGCAGAATCCTGGGAGTCAAATCAATGAGTCTGTCTCTAGAGTCAATGTTCTCATCCATCATATTATGCAATTAAAGTAAATTTATATATATAATCATGTACTGCTCTAAGCAAGACTCCAAAGGCAGTTACCATAAAGGAATAAACTGATAGGTTTTTATTATCCAAAACCCAGTAAGTAGCTAAAACATTTATAAGAACATTTCATTTCAAAATTCCTTTCTCTAAGATTACAAGTGAGTGGTTTGTATATATATTCTACTAGAGACCCAGTGCACAAAATTTGTGCAGAGGGAAGTGGGGGGGGTGGGGCGGTTCCTCAGCCCAGCCTGCACCCTCTCTCAATCAGGGACCCCAGGGATCAGGCCTAACTGGCAGTCATCCTCTTCGCAATCCAGGACCACTGGCTCCTAGCCATTCGCCTGCCTGCCTGCCTGATCACCCTAACCACGCTGCCTGCCTATCTGATCACCCCTAACCACGCTAACTGCCTGCCTGATCTCCCCTAACTGCTCACCTGCCTGCCTGATTGCCCCTAACCTCCTCTTCTCAGCCCCTGCCGCTGTGGCTTCATCCAGAAGGACATTTGGAATGAGGTCCGGAAGGTCATTCGGCTGTCCAGTCTAATTAGCATATTACACTTTTATTATTACAGATGTGGTCTCAAGTACCAGTTTTGCCTATCATTATCATACTTCATCAGCTGTTATCTTATAATCAGAGAAGTGAATCACATTAATTATGAGTGTTTAAAGCACTAAACAAGAAGATAAAATGGAAAATTAATTAATGATATTACATTTCTCCTCATTTTATCAAAATACTTACACTCTTTGTATGAATTCTGGAAAAAGTAGTGTATGGTGTCAAAAACTTCGAAGATGCATTTTCTTTTGGACATGAAATATGAATGCTTTTCTAAACAGAAAAGAAAGGATGAAATACATCAGTAAAGCTATTCCAATTAAATTAAAGCCTCGTAAAGAAAACATTAGGACAACAGGAAATTCTCATCTTTTAAGTGTGACCTCTCTAATCCTCCTTCCCCAGCCTACAAAACTACTATTCCCTTGTAGAGTATTAGTAGTCTTTTCACTGCAGGGGCTGCAATGTAATTGACATCACTGTGATGCCATTATCTTTTTATGTTAAGACAAATCAATACTAAAATACAGCTGACAAACATGAGAACATCACTTTTTAAAAGAAAATTTAATATCAGCACTCTTAATTAGCAGTGGGGCAAGGAACAGGATCAAAAGATATGAGAAAATAGCACCAGCCCAGAAACCTAGACTAAAGGACTAGTCTAAAAATAAACTTGCTGCCTATAAGAACTTTTAGATAAAAATGTTAGACTACTGTACAGTTACATTGAAAACTGGTAAAGTAGCCGGGACCGGTTTGGCTCAATGGATAGAGCATCGGCTTGGGGACTGAAGGGCCCTGGGTTCGATTCCAGTCAAGGGCATGTACCTTGGTTGCGGACATATCCCCAGTAGGGGGTGTGCAACTGATCAATGACTCTCTCTCATTGATGTTTCGAACTCTCTATCTCTCTCCCTTCCACTCTGTACAAAAATCAATAAAATATATTTAAAAAAAAAAGAAAAAAAAAAGAAAGAAAACTGGTAAAGTAAATGTGGTACACTCTTACAACGTGTAGGGCCTGGTCAGGCTTGCAGTACCCATTCCCATGTAGGACTTAAACTGGCTGTACATATTTTTAGACTGATCATCTTCACATCCATAGCTGTATTATGTGTTTTGCCTGGTCATTATCACATATCTTCCAGCTACTCTAGCAAGGTAACACTAGTGACAGAGTAAGAAATTATACCTAGAACCAGATGTTTGATTCAGATGACATGATAAGCCGAAGGCAGTCTTTGTAACCATTACAAGTACGTATGTTGGTATTTCTAGGTAGCATGTGTAGAGGTATAAAAGGCTTAGCAAACCCTTTCTCAAGGATTTGATAAGACAATTCCTTACTTGAAGCCAGTGTTTCCCAAACTTTTGACATATGTGTATCCCTTCTATAATTTTTGTAATGCTGAGTACCCCTCGTATTCATGAGAGTGTAGAATTAGGCACAGCTAAGTAAGCACGGTGCAGTGCACATCCCCACCAAACTTCAGTGCAACGCGTACCCCCACCAAACTCTTCCCGTACCCCTGGGGGTACGCGTACCACACTTTGGGAAACACTGCTCTAAGCGGTAGGATACCAACACCAACATCTACACACAGCTGAGGAGTTGCACTCATCAAATGGCCCCAAACCTATTAACTATCTTTTCCATGGAAGTATTTCAAAGTTTCTGAAAATTCTGCTGTGCGATGAAAATATCTTTAATAATCAAGATTTTCAGAACTTCTTTATAAAGCTAATCTATGTACAACAAGCACAGTCCTCACAGTTCATTAGAAAGAACAGTTTCAAAGTCATAATATTATTATCATTGAAAATCAATATGCACTTATTACAAGTCTTCTACGCCTTTAAAAACACAATTAGAATATCTATACAAACAGTACTTTCTTAGCCAGCATATCTATGCCTGGCTGCCTGCAGGCCTTTCATTAAATGAGTTTTTGCTTCTAACCCCGTGACAAAGCCCACACGCTGCCAGAGAGCTGACCTGGATTTGGAATTGTCTCTGTACCTAAAACTAAAGCGTCAGCTAAACTCTCCTTGCTAAATATTCATTTCAAGCAAGGATGCGGGGGCTCTGAGAACTTTAGTGTTTGGGCCTCTGTAGGTATTGGTTTGTTCTCAGAAGAGTTCATTTCCTTGGGCTAATTATGGAAAGAATTCAAGAATCAATGGTTTTTCTCCTGCTTATCAATCCTGCAAATCAACCTTTGACCCATACACATACTATGAAGGAAGATAAATGTTGAACTACCTTCCGATGTCAGGAGTAGAGTCATGCTGTTAATGAAAATATTTTAAAGAAAAGCTGCAGAAGGTATCAAAACATACAGAATTTAGGGGTGAGGGGATAAGAAGGGGGAGTGTGAGTATTCCATACTAAGGTAAAATTCAAAGTCAACCTTTTTATCTTCAGGGGTTAGGTTTTTAAGCATACTAACATCTGTTTTAAAGAAAAATGTAGCAACATCAAATAGCAAAGTGACTCATGGCAGTTAGGAAACAAATGAATGTTTAACCATAAGCACTTACTGTCTGACCCAACAGGTACACAGCAGAAATTAACAATGATGTTGGAAGGTAAGAATTGTATCAGGGCCTGAGTACGAAGGGAAGAAAGGAAGTCAGCACCCAGGCTATGGATAGATACCAGTGAAACACCTAGAAAAAATGTAGGCTTGCAAGGCGGTATTAACTTGCAAGGTGGTTACACATATTTTGGGTTTCAATTCCGACATGCAGGCTAACTAGCTTTGATTATTAGGGATTAATGAGTCTTGTTTGTTTATCTACAAAATGGACATTAAAAATGCTAATCCCAAAAGACTATTTTGATAAACAACAATAACTCATTTTTATAATATTCTACAGTTTCATTCATATACAGTCTCATCCCCTCTAATCAGCCTACAAGGAATATTAACTAGGTTTTTAAAAAATATATTTTTATTGATTTCAGAGAGGAAGAGAGAGGGAGAGAGAGAGAGATAGAGAAACATCAACGATGAGAGAGAATCATTGATCAGCTGCTTCCTGCATGCTGCACACTGGGGATCGAGCCTGCAACCTGGGCATGTGTCCTTAACCAGAATCGAGCCCAGGACTCTCCAGTCTACAGGCTGACACTCTATCTACTGAGCCAAACCAGTCAGGGCTTATCTGTTTTATAGATGAGATGAGAAAACTGAGGCTCGGGGAACTAAGTTATTTTTCCAAAATATCTTTTCTTTTTTAAAAATTTGAATTTATTGGAGTGACATTGATTAATAAAATTATATAGGTTTCAGGTGTATAATTCTATATAACACACCATTTGTATATTGCACTGTGTGTTCACCACTCTAAGTCAAGTCTCCTTCTGTCATCATTTATTCCCCTTTACCCTCTTCTACATCCTTCTGGTAATCACCTTACTGTTATCTATGAGCTTGTCCAAAATCATTTTGCTAGTAAGTATCAGAGTTAACTATGAGCTGGACTCAGATCTTCTGACACTTTCTACAATTCCAAAGCTGTCTATAGAAAACAAATATAAGATATATAATAACATGTAGCCTATCATCCTGCACAGAGGGTAATGAACATTAGCTAAACATCTTATGTAAAAAAACAATGTATTTGCTATTCTTGTCAGTATACCAGAAATGTTTACAACTAAAAAAGTTTAATTACATTAAAAAAAAGAAAAAGGAGTTTACCCATCTCACCAGAGCATATTGACTGCAGCCATCAGGATGAATAAAGAAAATCAGATAATGGGTTCTTAAAGACCAATGAGAAAAACTATTAAGTACTTGGTGAAGGCCTAGGTCTTCATCAAGGCCTAGCCAGACATATTATAGTGTTCTGCCATACAATAAGTTAGATACTAGCCATATAAGATTACTGGACACTTAAAATATGGCCAATGCATATGAGGAACTGAATTTTTAAAAAAAATATATATTTTATTGATTTTCCACAGAGAGGAAGGGAGAGGGATAGAGAGCTAGAAACGTCGATGAGAGAGAAACATCGACTAGCTGCCTCCTGCATACCTCCCACTGGGGATGTGCTCGCAACCAATGTACATGCCCTTGACCAGAATCGAACCTGGGACCTTTCAGTCCGCAGACCGACGCTCTATCCACTGAGCCAAACCGGTTTCAGCAGGAACTGAATTTTTAATTTTTTAAGTATGTGAACCTATATTCTCAACTGTAAATTTTTAAAACCTAAACACATCCTCAAGTATTTCCAATAAAAAAAATTAAAGTCTATGCCTAGCTGGTGTGGCTCAATGGTTGACTATCGACCTATGACCTAAGAATCAGCTGTAGGAGGCAGCTGATCATTGTTTCTCTCTCATCATTGAGGTCTCTCTCTCTCTCCCTCTACCTTCATCTCTGAAATCAATAAAAATATATTTCAAAGAAGTAATTTCATTAATTACAGATAGAAATGTTTTAGATATATTGGGCGAAACAAAGCCCCCCCCCAAAAGAGAACATATTCACATTCTTATGATGAGATGCTTTTTTTTTTTTTCAACCACAACCCAAAGGGGATCTTTATGGAATATAAATTAAGAATGTTAGCCCTGGCCGGATAACTCAGTTGGTTAGAGCATCATCCCAATATGCCAAGTTTGCAGGTTTGATCTCCAGTTAGAGCACATATAAGAAGCACCCAATACATGCATAAATAAGTGGAACAACAAATCAATGTTTCTCTCTTTCCCTTCCTCTCTCTCTCTAAAATAAAAAATAAAAATTTAAAAAATTTGAGGATACGGAACTTCTGGAAAATATTTGCAAAATGCATGATGGATGAAAGTTAAATAAAATATATTATTAGAATAATTTCACTTGTTTCTTTTAGGCTACTAGAAAATTTAAAATTATATATGTGGCTCACATTATTTATCTGTTGGAAAGCACTGACATAAGGGAAGAGGAAGTTTTATTACATCTAAATGTATATGTAATTACAAAAAAAAAATCTTTGACATTCAAAAGCAGTAAAAACTGTGATTGTTGTACAAATGACATGGAGATGACACTGACACACAGATAACAGTATAAATATATATATATATATATATATATATATATATATATATATATATATATATATATAAAATATATTTTATTTATTTTTTACAGAGAGGCAGAGAGAGGGATAGAGAGTTAGAAACATCGATGAGAGAGAATCATCGATCAGCTGCCTCTTGCACACCCCCTACTGGAGGGTGTGCCCCCAACTGAGGTACATGCCCTTGACAGGAATCGAACCTGGGACCTTTCAGTCCACAGGCCAACGCTCTAGCCACTGAGCCAAACTGGTTTCGGCAACAGTATAAATATTTAAAGTAGATGTACAGGAACAACCATATATATATGAACATGGTGCCTTCTAGAAGACATAAAAACCTACCTTGCTTATTTCATTCACAATGAATCCTTCTGAAGCTGTAATCTCTGGGATACCATCGGGGCCAATTCCTTGACAAGTTAGGCTGCCATACAAAGTTGGTTTCCCTATATAGCACAAAAGAAGAATGTCTCAAAAAATAAGAAGAATTTAACATTTTTCTTTTTGAAGACCCAATTCAGGCAACTCTACTAGTATAGATGGTAGGATATTGATTAATGAAAGAAAAACATGAGGCGAAGTGGAAAGAATACTAGCCTAAGCGAAGCTAATTTGGGAGAACTATACTCAAAGGCTAAAAACTAGAGACAAAGATTTCGAGATATAATGTACTATTTGTAGAGAAAGCTACCAATGTGATCTAAACCTAAGTTTTACTGGCCATGAAATGGTATTCTTCCAGGATGAAAGGTGAAGATCAATGTGAATGTATGTGCTTATCCACAGTATCTCTATATATAAAAAGCTAATATGCAAAGTGTCACCTCAGGAATTCAACCAGGAGTTTGATTGCTCACTATGATGTGTGCTGAACACCAGAGGACGGCATGGAACATGGCAGGCGATCAGTGGCTGCAGTGGGGCTGAGGGAGGGAGGGAAGGATGAGATGGGAAGGCGGGGAATTGAGTAGTGGTGGCATGTGGGTGGCAAGGGAAGGAGGCAGGGAGGCAGGGAACCTGATTGGCCCTGATCACCAGCCAGGCCTAGGAACCCTACCCATGCAAAAATGTCATGCACCAGGCCTCTAGTATACATATAATACAGAGCAAAGAGCTAAGCTTCATTAATCTGAAAAAATGTACTTAAGTAAAACACTGCTTTTGCAGTAATATGGGCTAAATAAGATATTATTCTACACAAACATATGTAGATGGTAGAATGGAGTTAAAAACATTCTCTTCTAGTTCCTTTCTGCACTATATATATATATATATATATATATATATATATATATATATATATATATATATATTTCTATAAGAGCCCATAATACTCTGTTTTACATTTCTGACCTCCCACTGGACTGTTAAGTCCTAGAGTTCAGAAACTAGTTAGGTTGCTATAAGTTTTAAAATATATATATATTTTATTGATTTTTTTACAGAGAGGAAGAGAGAGGGATAGAGAGTTAGAAACATTGATGAGAGAGAAATATCAACCAGTTGCCTCTTGCACACCCCCTACTGGGGATGTGTCCACAACCAAGGTACATGGCCTTTACCGGAATCAAACCTGGGACCTTTCAGTCTCCAGACCGACGCTCTATCCATTGAACCAAACCGGATTTAGCGGTTGCTATAAATTATTCAGCAAATAACTACTGGTACAAAACTAAAATTCTGAGCGTAAGAGGAAAGTAAAAACCATCATGGATTCACAGATGGGGGGGCTTCCTAGAGAGGGCGAGTCTTTGAAAGAAAGACAGGAGTAGGCAGAAGATAAAGGAAAGGAAACTCCAAGTCAGGGAAGGGACATGTCAAGAACAAAAAAGAAAAAACAAGGAAAAAGGAGTCATCAATTAACATACTAGTTTGGTTACAACCATCACGGAAAAGGTAGCTGAAGGACATTAATATAGAAACTCACAATCTAGGGTAGAGGTTTGGATTAGAGAAGATCTAGTGAAGAAACTTTTGGTAAGGAAGTGGCATGAAATGCTAGTTCAGAAATATGCTGCAAAAATAGGATTGAGGAATTCTGTTTTCTTGTCCCATTCCATGAGTACTGTGCAAGGACTCATGGCCAGGGGAAAGTAGGATAGCTTTCTCCTCCTCTAAAGGGAATGCGTACAGACTTAAGCATATTACCTGGGGGGTGACAGCTCAGCCAGGCCTCCCCTTCATCCTTCCTGTGAAGAAAGACAAAGCCTCATTAGCCACTCAACACTGAAAAGGATGCCACTGATGCAAGGGGAGAAAAATAGCATAATTTTCAACTTGGCCATAGTACACAGACATGATCTAGTCTAACATCTCATCCCGGCATAAATTATTCTAAGACAAACTTTGTTTACTTGTTAAAGAAATATTTGTGGATTAAGTGTTTAATGCATATAATGGAATTTACTATTCATTAATAGCTGCACAGCTTTGAAAGATAAAGAATATATTAATTTCGCCGAAACCAGTTTGGCTTAGTGGTACAGTGTCGGTCTGTGGAATGAAAGGTCCCGGGTTCAATTCTGGTCAAGGGCATGTACCTTGGTTGCGGGCACATCCCCGGTAGGGGGTGTGCAAGAGGCAGCTGGTCGATGTTTCTCTCTCATCGAAGTTTCTAGCTCTCTATCTCTCTCCCTTCCTCTCTGTAAAATATCAATAAAATATATTTTTAAAAAAAGAATATATTAATTTCGATCATTGAGGGATTACTATAAGCCAGTCCCTGTGCAAGACACTTTGCATATAGCATTATTAATCTACACAATTTAATAAGATATCTTTTTTTTAATATATATTTTATTGATTTTTTACCGAGAGGAAGAGAGAGGGATAGAGTTAGAAACATCGATGAGACAGAATCATCGATCAGCTGCCTCTTGCACAACCCCTACAGGGGATGTGCCCGCAACCAAGGTACATGCCCTTGACCGGAATCGAACCCGGGACCCTAGAGCCCACAGGCTCTATCCACTGAGCCAGACCGGTTTCGGCTAATAAGATATCTTTTATTACTTCCATGTTAAAGATAGGAAAAAAAACAACAACAAACAACAGAAGCTCAGAGAAGTGACTTGCCCAAGGTCACCTACCTATGAAGCAGGAACTGAAACCTGACTAGTATAGGCCTGTGTTCCACCACCTTACAGACTTTTTTTCATGTTCTAGAATGCACCTTCCCAACCATTTAAATCAATATGTCACCTAGGGTACAGGGAAGGGGCATAGGCTTTAGCTTGCCAGGATCTCTCTATCACTTATTTGCTGCACAATCTTGGGCAAGTTTCTTCCTCTGATCCTGATCCTGCATTCTCTCACAAGCACTGAGTGGCCCTCAAATAAATGTTAGTGTTCTTCCTTTAGTATTTATCACCTATTCTGTGTTGCAGGAAGTAATGTGTTCTTTTAATTTAGCCCACTTGGTAAGGTGTACCAGTAAGTTTCTTAAACGCAGGAATGTTATTCATCTTCACCACTGTTTCAATTTGAAAAACCTTATTAGTAATAATAGTTGCCCTTCATGGTACTGCAGTACTCATCCCGACGCTACAGAAATAAATATGTTAAATAAGTGAACGGTTTGCTGTGCATTCCCCATTAAACTGTCAGCTCGAGGGCAGGAACCACCCCTTCCGTGTAGAGGACCCATCTGAACTGCATCTGAACAGCACCGTGCATCTATCTGGGTCGGCGTCTGGACCTGGTGGGTGCTACATGGTTTACTGAATACAATTGTCCAAAATGACAAACACACTCAACGACCCTGTGGTGGTGGCAAGGGCTGGGACTTTCGCAAATAGCTGACGATCAATAAATATCTGGGCCTCCTGCTTCCCAGCTGTCCAGTCTTTCTCTTCAACTCATTGATCCTCGTTCTGATGCTGGAATCTCACCACGCTCATGTGTCCCCTTAGCCTCAGGGTAGCTCTTCTGAGAATGAAAAAACAATGGCCATGTGGGTTTGAGACTTCTTTCTAGACCCAGTGCTCCCTCAACCGCTGATGCGGTAACTCCCATGGACATCCTGGGTCGAGCAGGGGTCTCAACGAAAAAAGCACCATCACTCCCCGCCTCTTTGGTCCCGGCTCTACGATTGGATTCACCTGAGGGCTTGAGCCCAGTCGCTCTGAATCCTCAAAGGCGCCGCCATCTTGACCACGCCTCCACCAACCCGCTCTTCCGCTCTTTCCCGGAAGTGGCTCCTCCGGAAGGGCTGCGGTCAGTGCGGAGGGCGGGCTCCACACCGAGAAGCCACCAATGAGAATGCGCGGTGGGACCTTCCCCGCCGTCCTCTTCACGCATGCGCGCGCGCTCCTCACGGAGGCTGGTTCCCGGCGGGAGGCTCGGAAGCGTTCCAGCTGCTGACGGACCGGACGCGCCGGGGCGCGCGTTCAGTCCTCTTGTCTTATCCGCCTGTTCGGTGAGCACTGCTGCAGCGTCTTTGCTCGGTGAAGCGTGTCAGGCACTGCGAGGGCGCAGAGCCGCCAGCATTCCTCTGCTTCACCATCTTCCCATGTCTCCTCAGTCCAGACCGGCTTCCCATTCCAGCAGCTACCGACCTTCCAGCCTGCCCTGCTCTCTGAGCCAGGGCCTTCCTCGTGTTCCTCCGAGGTAGACGGAAGCAGGGAGGTGGGGGGGGGGGGAAAGAGTAGGTAGCATTTCCTGAGAGTCCCGTGGTAGCCCAACCATTGGGCATCGTTACGTTAATGCTTACACTGATTCAGTGACTTACATGTTACCTTAAAGACGAAACTGAAAAAAGATGGCGTGGTAAAGCGTTGCCTGTATTCGAACCCGGGCTTTTTGGCTTAGGACTGAAGGCACTTTTCTTTCCCCTGTGTTTGCTCTAAGGTTTGCTCCTTGCCTTTAAAGAGCTCACAGTGGGTTAAGAAGAGGAAACACGCGCCGAAATAGGGACGACCATTATCGAACTCTTTGGGCGGGCCAGGCTCCTTTACCTGCGTTATCTCATTTAGTCTTTAACAGTCCTGTGGGAGTATATATATTTCATCTCCATTTTTCAAGAGAAATGATGAAGTGATTTGCTTAAAGTCACCCAATACATCAGTTTCCAACCCAAGTCTGTTTCAAAGCCCATTTTCACCTTCCTCAGGTTATACTGCCCCACAGCAAATGGGTTCTGTGTAGGGCTGTGGAGTCGCTTAAATCCTCTGGTCACGTCCCCATTGCCCTCTCAGCGCCCTGCCATGGCTCACAAGGCCTAGCTCTGATCAGATACTTTTTCATCTTGCTCGTTACATTTGTTTTATTTTCTCCTCATAATCTATTCTCCAGTCACACAAAACCTTACCTTCTTCCCGTGAGTCAAATCTCTTTTCAGTGGCCTTCCCCATTTCCTCCCTTCATTGACAGGAGTCTTCTTCCTTTCCATCTCTGGTTAATTCCTGTTCATTCTTCTTCAAGTGTCAGTTTACAAATCAGTTCCTTTATCCCTGTCTGGATTAGTTATCACTCCACGGTGCCCCGAATCCGAGCTGTCTGTACACAGAGTACAGTAAACTGCCTGTTTACTTGTCTAGACTGAAATTCCGTGAAGGCAGGAATTGTATCTCTGGTCACTCCTCTGTCCTCAGCTCTAGAATATGCCTGGTACATGATAGGTGCTCAATGATCATTTGTCAAATGAATCAGAGACACAGGGAAGGCATTAAGCAGTTCTAGTTTCTTTATAGCCTGACATGGTGAAATGTATACAAAGGCTGAGATAATTTCTTCTCAAGTCTTTCTCTTTTTTCTTTTTTTAATATATTTTATTGATTTTTAACAGAGAGGAAGGGAGAGGGATAGAAAGCTAGAAACGTCGATGAGAGAGAGACATCGACCAGCTGCCTCTTGCAAACCCCCTACCGGGGATGTGCCCGCAGCCAATGTACATGCCCTTGACCGGAATCGAACCCGGGACCTTTCAGTCCGCAGACCGACGCTCTATCCACTGAACCAAACCGGTTTCGGCCTCAAGTCTTTCTTAAGTTCTTTCTGTATGCTACCTTATTTATTTTTTTTTTAATTATTTTATTTTTTACAGATTGGAAGGGAGAGAGATAAAGAGTTAGAAACATCCATCAGCTGCCTCCTGCACACTTCCCACTGGGAATGTGCCCACAATCAAGGTACATGCCCTTGACCAGAATTAAACTGGGTACTCTTGAGTATGCAGGCTGATGCTCTATCCACTGAGCCAAACTGGTCAGGGCTGTATGCTACCTTCTACTCCGTGTTCTGAAGCAGATGATCTTGGGAAGAAGTTTGGGCAAATTCACCTCACATTAAGTACTCATACTCAGCTCACAGACTACTCTCTTGCCTTGGCCACTAACATACCATATGTTACAGCCACACAACTCTCTATTCCTCCCATTTGTCAAACCCTACACATTCTTGGGTATTTCCCCCGAGTATTAAACTTCGTTCTTCTCCAGCCATAGAATAACGCTGGTATTAGAAAAGAAGAGAGATTCTTTTGGGGTGAATCAGAGATAGCTTCTCCAGAAAGGTGACATTTTACCTAATTCAAATTCCATTAGCAGAATCTATTCCAGCTTATTGTTCTAGCATTCTCACATACTTTGTCTCATTCTATTTAGTTCAAACCATTTGTAGGCCTGCTCTCTGCCACACCTAGTGCTGAGGACATCAAGTTGAATCAGGCCCATTCTCTGTCCTCAAGTAGCTTAGTCTCCAAAGAGAAACATATGCATAAATACCGTGTTTCCCCGAAAATAAGACATCCTCCGAAAATAAGACCTACTTACAGGTTTCCTTCTGAGTGAAATATAAGGCATCCCCCGAAAATAAGGCCCTCCTAGGCTAAACGAGAGATTTGGTCCACTGATTCTGAAAGAAATGGAGTCACAAGAAATTCACGAGGAAATTCAGGAATTGGATTGTTATGATGATGTTCCAGAAGATGATGACATGATTGTCATTGTATAAATGAGTAAATTCTTGATACTGTAGGATTCACAGTTTGTCTGGTTTGTGTTGACAACTGCATACTACCGTACCGTATACAGGTAATAAATTTCCTTTATTTTCATTTAACAATAAATGTGTACCATATTCCTCTTCATGGAAAAATAAGACATCCCCTGAAAATAAGACCTAGCGCATCTTTGGGAGCAAAAATTAATATGACATTCTTATTTTCGGGGAAACAGAGTAGGCTATAACAGTGCAGTGGTCAGTGTTATCTATACTAATAAAAGGATAATATGCTAATTAGAACAGATGTCTTCCAGACAACCACCCAGACATCCTTTCCAACAAAACCAGCAGGGGCGGGGGGGAGGGGGGTGCTGAGGCCGAGGCCGAGGCAGGGGTGACCAGGCCAACAGGGGAGGACAGTTAGGGGGATCAGGCAGGCAGAGTGGTTAGGGCAGGCAGGCATGTGAAGGGTTAGGAGCCAGAGGTCCCAACTACCAGTTTAGGCCCTATCCCTGTGGACATCCCCTGAAGGGTCCCGGATTCGAGAGGGTGCAGGTTGGGCTGAAGGACCCTACCCCCCACCCTCGTGCATGAATTTCATGCACCAGGCCTCTAGTTTAATATAGAGGAATCCCATATATAATCATGTTCCTACGCTAACCTTATCTCCATTGCTGTCTAGAGATTCCTAAAGATGTCAACTCAAGGACATACTTGGGCCCGTCAGGTGAAGAAGGAGGGTGAGGAAGAGGACCCGCTGGACCAGATGATCTCCCGCTCTGGCTGTGCTGCCTCCCACTATGCAGTGCAGGAGTGCATGGCCCAGCACCAGGACTGGCGGCAGTGCCAGCCACAGGTGCAGGCCTTCAAGGACTGCATGAGTGAACATCAGGCAAGGCGGCGAGAAGAGCTGCAGAGGAGGAAAGAGCAAGACAGTGCCCACAGCTGAGCCCCAAACCATCTATCCCCAGAGGATGGCCTAGAGAAACGAGCACCCAGACAAATCCTAAACAGTGGAAGTGTGGGCCGAAAGGTATAAAACTCCGGATAGTCTTTGGGGTTGGGGCTGACAGCCAGGCAGCCATGGGCTTGGACATGACTGTCATAAAGAAAGACCTGTCATATTTTATTTGTTTAAAAATCTTTATTGTTGAAAGTATTACAGATGTTGTTCTTTTATCCGCCATTGATCCCTTCCACACTACTTTTACCCGCCCCACGTCCCCTGCCTTCATCACACCATTTTCCATGTCCAAGGATTATGCATATAAGTTCTTTGGTTAATATTTTTCCTCCTCCCTCCCCCCATGGCTGTCATATTTTTATGGTGAGAACCACACATCCTCACTATTTTTGTTCCACGAATATTAAATAGTGACCAATATCTGTCATGTAAAACAAAGAGTGAGGTTAAGGCATGTTCTTCTATCCTACATGTTGGGTCAGTGTGCCAAGTACTGAGCTAATTACATGGACATTGAATTTTAGAAGTAAATTCACAATCTAAAGGTAAATTGGTTACCTAATATGTCTTCATTTATTCAGTCATTGGTTCAACAATAGCCAGTTTTCCTCAGACCTCACATGCCAGGCACTGTTGGAAACCAATGTGATAAATAATATGATCTTTGCCTTTGTGTCTAGTTTGAGAGACAAAACAACACTGGAACAAGTAATTCCTAACAATGATATAAATGACTTTATCTTTCACAAGTTGTTCTGGATGTTTCATTTGATCTAATAGAAGGGAAAAAGCAAATGTGGAGGAAAAAAACCACTGAATGACTCTTACATGCTAAAGTCTATTGAATTAACAGATGTAGAGTCTGACCTCAACACACTCCCAACCAAACACACGCAATGTTGGCTTGACGTTCAAAAAGTACATTTAACATAAACACAGATTTTTCCTCTTTTGAAAATTAGAGAAGCTGTCAACACGGAGCTTATATTCCTACTTGACAACAATTTGCTGTAGCTAAATATGGTTTCTTTTAGGTGGTTGCATTCTCTGGCTCATAAATTGCCACCACTTCTCACTTTGTTTCCATGGAATTATATTGTTCATTCTGTTACTTCCCGTCTAGCCTTGTAAGGCACTGACCATAAAGGGACATATGCTGTCATCATCATCATCATCAGTAATATTTCTTGTGTATGTGTATCACATCGTATTTTATTTTATATCTATATAAATTAGAAGCACAAATCTAAAGTACAGTAGCACCTAAAACTACCTTTGAATGTTAGTAGGAGAGAAAGAGAAAAGAGGGGAGAAGACAAGAATACCGGTTTAAAGAACAATAAAATCCAATTTCAGCCTTCAAGCAGAAGGGGCTGGAGAGAGGGAGAGAAAGAGAGGGAGGGAGGGAGGGAGAAGAATCTGTGCTAAGTGCTGTGGGTCATCAGAAGGAGTACTGGGGACTGGGGTTTTCAGCAAGAATCTCAGAAAAGGGATTTAGTTGAGTTGAACCTTTAAAGATAAAGTAGATATTACCAATTTGTAACATAACAGGAAGGATTACCATCTGTAGCAAATAAAAAGTATCTAGAATTCAGTAAGAAAAAGCAAACAGCCTTAGCCAGCTTGGCTCATGAAGGGTCCCAGGTTCTATTCTGGCCAATGGCACATGCCTGGATTGTGGGCTCAATCCCCAATAGGGGGCATGCAGGAGGCAGCAGATCAATGATTCTCTCTCATCATTGATGTTTCTCTCTCCTCCCTCTCTGAAATCAATAAATATATTTTATAAAAAAGGCTAACAGGCCAGTTGAAAAATGAACAAAGTTAAATATACCTCCACAGCCCAGCCATTGTGGCTCAGTGGTTGAGCAATGACCCATGAACTAGGAGCTCGCCAGTTCAATTTTGGTCAAGGCACATGCTTGGAATGTGAGGGCATGTAGAAGGCAGTCAATTGATGTTTCTCTTTGAACAATTTCTATCTCCATCCCTCTTCCTCTCTAAAATCAATAAAAAGCATTTTAAAAATTAAAAATATACCCCCACAATAGGAAAATGTATTCTGCATCACTGATAGTAAGACAAATGCAGATTTTAAAAAGTTGTATTATCTGATCTCTTGGCAAAAATTGAAGTTTTTTAATGCTTTTAGCAGAGAGGATGGGTGAAAGAACCTCCAAACCAGCCATGGGAAGGTAGCAAGTTTTGGAGGATTACAGCTATAACTGAACTAATGCTAGATGAGTAACAATGTATTTAGGCAAAGGGTGCTTAACCCTTTACCTCAAGTAAATGAAGATAAGTCTATTTAATAGACACACTAAAAGAATTAAATGAGATAATAAGTAATAATAAAAATTGTTAGCATTTATTGAACTATTAATTTATACTTATGGAGCATTTAACCCAGACCTTCTGGTTCCAGAATCTGTGCTCTCATTCCCAGTGATATGCTTTCAAATCCCACTATACCACTTACTAGCTGGGTGATTTGGCGCAAATTACCATCTCAGGCTTTGCTTTTAAAAAAAAAATATATATATTTTATTGATTTTTTACAGAGAGGAACAGAGAAGGATAGAGAGTTAGAAACATCGATCAGCTGCCTCCTGCACACCTCCTACTGGGGATGTGCCCGCAACCAAGGTACATGCCCTTGACCGGAATCGAACCTGGGACCTTTCATTCCGCAGGCTGATGCTCTATCCACTGAGCCAAACCAGTCAGGGCTCAGGCTCTCTTTTTTTCTTTTATAAAAATATAGTTATAATGCCTTTCACATAGGTCTCACAACTAATAAATGTAGGCCTTCCTCATAGGATTGTTGAAAGAATGAGTTAATATTGGTATAGCAGGTCTTTAAATAAAGTAATTTCTTTCAATGTCATTTTGTTAAAATGATAAGAAATGATAGGAATTTAACTGTCTACATCAATTAGCCTATTACATAGTAAAATTCGTGTCATTATACATCGTTTTACTTAAAGTCAAAAAACCTACTGACATTAAGAACTTACTGCAAAGAGCTTAGAAACTGTCTCGTACTTAGTAAGTAATCACTAAATGTTAGCTATTATTGTCATTTTTCTTGAGTGCTAGTCACTATCCTGAGTTACATTATCTCATTTTAATCCCTCATAACACTCCATTAACTCACCTTTACAGAGGAGGAAATACAGGTCAGAGTGAGGATCAGACTCCAAGTGTGTCTTGATCTAGAGCCCATGCTGTTTTCTGCTCTGCTCTTTCACAAGCTTCTGGTGCCTGGTATGATGCTGAACACCGTAAGTAACCATATTTACTATGTAAATATTGCTGTACTTTTTTTTAGTGCTTTACAAAAGGAAATTAACCGGTGCAGGTTGCCCCCAGTGTTACAGATTAATGTTGTGGTGGTGTTTTTTGTCTCAGCTCTACAGCCCACAGCTATGGCCCTAGAGCTAAGATGGTCCATGCCTGTCCCTATACAATCTACACCTTTCCCTGCAGAGAGGCTTGGTGTCAAGGGATGAATAGAGAGACCTCTCAGCTGGCTATCCCCCATTGGGTAGGCCTAGGACAGACTCATGATTTGGCTCTTGCCTGCAAGGTCCTTGGCTGGGAACTTGGCCTGTGTTCAGTGGAAAGATGCATTGTACTGTGTTTTACTAGATGAGTAATAAGATACTCTTCCCACTTTCACTCCCTCAGGTACAATTGCCAGACTTTTCTTTCTTCAGAGCCTGGGTATTTTGTCTAAATAGCGAGCTGATTCCCTAAACCTGAAATGTCTCAAAATGAAAGTTATTCCGGGGGAGTTATAAGAACTAAATGAATCATTTTAGATTTCCGGGGATCTCAGACATTTGGAGATAAAAATGGCACAAAGAGATCAAAATACTACATGTGAAACAAGCATGAGACACATTGGCCACCCCCGTCTGCAGTGTTTTGCAGCAGGTTTAGTTTTAGACATCCCCAATGCATGCTTGGAGAGCTTTTCTTCACTTTACATTCTAGAAACCGTGGGAACCAGGGATCTCAGCATTGCTGTGGTGTCTGAATGGCCAAAATATCCAGACTTCATTTCTTTCTCTGCAACTAAAACACCCTTTCAAGATCCACAGTGGGCAATTTACAGCTCTGGTGGGGGAAATAAGGCATCCTCAGCCAGAGGAAAAGGACTAACAAAACTGAGGAATCTATTGACTGTAACTACCTGTAGTACAACTCCCCATATGACCCCAGGTCCTATTTGAAAATTACTGATTTACAAAGAACTCCATTTCTAACCATTGCAGTGTGTACTGAACCAGGAATTGAATGTCCTGGGGCCATCCTTGGCTGACCGTGGTTAACTGGGTAACCTTGGACAGTCTCTTTCCTTCCTACACCAGTTAGCTCATCTGTAAAATGAAGACCAAAACATATTATCCCAAAGGTTATGTATGGATAGAGCCAAAACTAAAACCCAGCTATTCTGATTCCCTAATCTGTTGACCTCTTTCTTCCCTCCTGCCTACCTCGCTAGTCTTTACAGCAGTACTAGGTAGGCTATAGTTTAACCCTGACTAAAGGTTTTCAAAGCAAAAGTATGCGGAAGGAATGAAGTATTGATACATGCAACAACAGAGATAAAACATTAGGGTAAATTAATATAAGACACAAAAGGCTACGTACTGAGTGATATTTAAATAGTACTAGCTTGACAGACCAAACTAATCTGTGGCAATAGAAATGAGATTAATGGTTGCTTCTGGGGAAAATGAAAGAATGTAAAGGAACACACCGGCCACAATATTTTTTCTTTTTCTTTATTTTTTATTAAGGTATTATATGAGTGCATATCTTTCCATTACCCCCTCCCCCCCAATATTCTTTATCTTGATATAAGTATAGTTTTCCTAGGTGGCTGCATTTTTAAAAAAATATATTTTATTGATTTTTTACAAAGAAGAAGACAGAGGGATAGAGAGTTAGAAACATCGATCAGCTGCCTCTTGCACACCCCCTACTGGAGATGTGCCCACAACCAAGGTTTCGGCTAGGTGGCTGCATTTTTAAGACTGATCAAATATACACTCAAAATCTGTGTTTCACTATATATGTTCTATCTTAATGGGAAAAAAATATTTTAAAAGTATGCTGAAGAAGTTTAGAAATTAAAGTAATCTAACATTTACTGATCACTTGCTAGTTTATTATGTACATTATCTCAATCTCAAAAAATAAGAGAATTACCTCCATCTACAGATTAGAAAACTGGTTTAATGAGATGAAAATAACTCACCTGAGGCCTCAAAACTAATAAATGTAGAAACTTTGGAATAGCCCAGGTTTGTCTACCTCTTTTTTTTTTTTTTTTTTAATATATTTTATTGATTTTGTACAGAGAGGAAGAGGGATAGAGAGCCAGAAACATTGATGAGAGAGAAACCTTGATCAGCTGCCTCCTGCACCCCCCCCCCCCACTGGGGACGTACTCGCAACCAAGGCACATGCCCCCGACTGGAATCGAACCCAGGACCCTTCAGTCTGCAGATCGACGCTCTATCCACTGAGCCAAACCGGTTTCGGCTGTCTACCTCTTTATAATAGATTCTCAGGAAAGGAGACATCATCCTAGAGGCAGGAAACATACACCCCCCTTTGATCTCATTGCCATTTGACCTTGGAAAAGTCCATTTCTCTCTGGCCTCAGTCTGGAGCAGGGATGGGGGACTTTTTTCTGCCAAGGGCCATTTAGATATTTAAGACATCACTCTTGGGCCATACAAAATTATCAGCTTAATCCAGCATGGCTCAGTTGTTGACCACCGACCTATGAATCAGGAGATCATGGTTCAGTTCCTGATCAGGGCATATGCCCGGGTTATGGGCTCAATCCCCAATGTGGGGTGTGTAGGAGGCAGCCAATCAATGATTTTCTCTCATCGTTGATGTTTCTATCTCTCTCTTCCTCTCTGAAATCAATTAAAAAAAAAAAAAAAAAGGGGTATTTTTTTAAAAAAGTGGTGGTTCAGCCCAACTGTTGTTGCTCAGTGCTTGATTGTTGACCTATGAACCAGGAGGTCAGAGTTGGATTCCTGATTGGGGCACATGCCTGGGTTGTAGGCTTGATCCCCTGATTCTCTCTCATCACTGATGTTTCTATCTCTCCCTCTAAAATCAATAAAAAAATATATATTTTAAAAAGCAGTGGTACATTTACACAATGAAATACTACTTGGCCATAAAAAGAAAGGAAATCTAACCTTTTGCAACAGCATAAATGGGCCTGGAAAGTATTATGCTAAGTGAAATAAGCCAGGCAGAGAAAGACAGATATCATATATCAATAGTTTCACTTATATATGGAATATAATGAGTAAACAAAATAGAAACAGACTCATAGATACAGAGAACAAACTGACAGCTGTCAGAGGGGAGGGGAGTTGGGTGTCTAGGTGAAATAGTTGAAGGGATGAAGAAGAAAAAAACAAATCTCATAGACACAACAGGATGGTGATTACGAGAGGGAAAGGACTTGGCAACAGGTAGAAGAGGGTAAAGGGGATAAATGACAATGAAGGGAGACGTTTTGGATGGTGGACGTACAGTACAATATACAGATGATGTATTATAGAATTGTACACTGAAAACAAAAAAATGTCAACACGATATATTCAATAAATTTTTAAAAAATATATATTTTATTGATTTTTTTACAGAGAGGAAAGGAGAGAGATAAGAGAGCTAGAAACGTCGATGAGAGAGAAACATCGACCAGCTGCCTCTTGCACACCCCCTACTGGGGATGTGCCCGCAACCCAGGTACATGCCCCTGACCGGAATCGAATCTGGGACCTTTCAGTCGACAGACCTATGCTCTACCACTGAGCCAAACCGGTTTCGGCTCAATAAATTTTTTTAAGTGTTAAGAATGCTCTGAGTTCCCACAGACTTGTAGGAGTATCTCAGAGAAGCAGTGGTATATAGGAGAGTGGGGTCTGTCACTATTAACTGTGTGACCAGAGGAAGTCACTTCATCTCTCTAAAATTCAAGTTTTTCCATCTATAAAATTGAGATACCAACAACCTCAAGGATAATTTGTATATAGTACATAGCATTTATAAAAGTTCAACAAATATGAGATATGTTCACACACACAGATACCCATCCACATTCACACTCATATGCACCCTAAAAACTGGTATAAGTTTTAGAGCTAATATAGTACCTACCCCAGGGTCTAGCTGAATAAATGATATGTTATCTACAGAAAAACGAATGCATTGATGCTCAGAATAGGAAAACACTGCAGTCCCTTAGCATCAGCATCACCTGGAAACTTATAAGAAATGCAAATTCTAGGTCCTTGCTCAATTTACTAAATCAAAAATTCTGGAGGTAGGATCTAGCAATTTGTGTTTTAAAAAGCCCTCCAGGTCATCTTCATGCACACTTAAGTTGGAGTACCAATGACTTAGATCAGGGTTTGACTGTTTTTATGAAGGGCCACATAAATGTTTTAGCTTTACAGTTTGTTACTACTACTCAACTCTGCCATTGTAGTGTAAAAACAGCCTAAATAATATATAAGTGAATGAGCATGGCTTTGTTTCAATAAACTTTTATTACAAAAACAGGCAATGAGGTTTGGAAACTAGATAGAGGTGGTGCTTGCACAACATTGTGAATGTAATTATTCACTTTCAATTGTTTAGTTTTGTGATATGTGAATTTCACCTCAATAAATTACTTAAAAAAACACACACACACCCATCAGCAGCAAATTTTTATTAGATGGAAGATACCTAGGGTTGGCTCAAAGGAAAGTGGCAACAATTGGCAAGCATTCCTCCACAGAGGAGAGGACACATTCCTGGCTGTGGGATGGATACTTCTATCTAAGGGTCAGGGTCACCTGCTTAACTTTGAGAGCTCTTCCCCTGGGCACTCAATATCACCAGTGCTGGCATGAAAGAGCCTGCAATGAGCTAGTTCAACTTGGCTATCAGTTCTTCCAGTTCTGGCCGAGCTTTGAATCTTCCCTTGAAGTCTTCTTCAGAGTGCTGGGAAGAAAAAATAAGTGGGAATCACTGCAGAACTTTCAATTACTCAAATATGCACAGCATCGAAAAAGGATCCCCCTACCACCTCAGGAGAGAATGCATCAGAATTCAACTAGCTTTATTGAGTATCTATTATGTACCAGACTTGTATTAGGTACCATGGATTCAAAGCTGAATTGGACTTCCTCCCTGCCTTATGAACATCCGGTTTGGTGACAGAAGACAGATTTATAGAGAACTAATGTCAAAACTCTATAAGTATCACAATAGAAGGACTTATAAAAAGAGAGAATGCCAAAATTCCCCATTAACAATAGGAAATAACAGGTGCAGGACTGGATTATTTCAAATCAGCATGACCATCACATTTTCTTTCTAAATACAGATCTACAATAATAAGCAAAGGATTAACAAGCGTGGACTCAGAACAAGGGAGCTGCATGAAGCAAATAGCATCAGTCTAAGATGACCTGATATTTCTGTGTCATAATAAGAATCATCTTGGCAACAAGGCCCAAATACTCAGTATTTAGGCTAAAGTTCCTAATGTTTTCCAAGTTCTCCATGGCAAACTTCCTTCTGACTGGTATTCTTTACTGAATATATGCAGTGAGGGTACAATTAAGTTTCAAAGATCCAAGAGCTTTTTCTATAAAATACATTTCCCAATTTGTGTTCTGATTGGTTATACTGTATGTGATCTTAAATGGTGCTCTTTCTGCTGTACAACTGCCTGAGGGGGAGAATTTTGAGGTGTGATGGACTTATGCCTAACATCAGGATGCTGTGATGGATTTCAGCTTGTGGTCCATAAAGCATCATTCTGAAGAGCCAGAATCACAGTAATACCAGCTGGACTAAATTATCCACATCTCTTTAATGTTTCTAAAGCCACGAGTCTAGATAGGGGGGGATTCTTCTCAAACTACCACCTACCTCCTTCACTGACAGTTTGACTCCTTCAGGAAGATTGCTTTGGATTATTTCCAAGAAAATCTCTGCAAATGTAGCACTCAAACCGCTTATCTGCAAAAGGAAAGATACTCTTAAAGAGAGAAGTTGAGCCCTAAATGGTTGCTCAGTGGTTAGATCGTTGGCCTGCAGACTGAAGAGTCTCTGGTTTGATTCCAGTCAAGGGCACATACTGTGATGGCAGGCTTGATCCCCGGCCCTAGTCAGTGCGTGTGGGAGGCAACCAGTTGATGTACCTCTCTCTGGGTTTTTGCTCCTCCCTTCCATTCTCTCTAAAAAAAAACCAATAGAGAAAATATCTTCGGGTGAGGATTAACAACAACAAAAAAAGAGGTGCTGAAAGCTAGGTGAGTGGGAGACATGGCATGGGCTCAACTGTCAGCTCTAGCAAAGCTAGACCACCGCCATGGGTGAAGGATTATCACCCAGAGATGGTTTCAGAGCCCAGACTCTACAGGATTTCTCTTGTTCTCTGCCAGGGTGTCTCCTTGCTGAGGAGGTCATGTCCAATATCTGCTCCTGTAGGCAATGGATGTCATAACTGGACCAAAGAAGTTATCAAATCCAGGATGACTTTCTGAGTCAACTCAACCCATTCAGACCAGGACCTGACTGGTGTCAGACGCTGTGCTGAGAATTCAGAGGTGGATCAGAAATGTGGTAGAAGGGTATGAAAGGGGCTATAGAAACCCACTAGAGAAGTACCTACCTAAATTAATCAGGGAGGTCAAAAAGCTTCTGAGTGGAGTCTTGAGAAAAACAGGAGTAAACTGGGAGAATTCAACAGTAGGGGGAGTTTTCAAGGCAGAGGAAGCAATATTCAGTAAAATGTGGAGGCACAGCACAGTACTAGGGAATTAAAGTTAGTTCCATGTGTAGCTGGAATGAATGGGATATGAAGAAAAGCAAGAGAATAATGAAGGCAGTTAGATGCTAATCTAAAGAGTTCAAATTTGATTCTATGGCCCTCAGTGGCAAGTTAGATCTGACACAAGATTTATCTCAAATAATTTATTTCTAATAATATTTAAAGAACCAAAGATTTTAAGTACTTTATTTTAAAAATTAACATAGATTTAAGGTATTACTGCCTTAACATTCATTACCTTGCTGACATGTTTCTTGAGTAGATATAAAAGAAGAGATATTCATTGGCCAATTGATATTTCTCTTTCTCTCTCTCTCTCTCTCTCTCTCTCTCTCTCTCTCTCTCTCTCCTCTTCCCCCTCTTTTGGCAATAAAAAGGATGGAAGTAATGATACATGCTAAGTGAAAACAGTATGCTAAGTGAAAGAAAATGGACATAAAGACCATATATTGTATAATTCTATTTAAATGAAATATCCAGAAGAGGTAAAACCATAAAGGCAGAAATTAGATTAGTGGTTGCTAGGAGTCAGAGGAATTGGGAAGAGGAATGGCTGCTAATGGGTTCAGAGTTTCTTTTGGGGTTGATGAAAATGTTCTAATATTGACTATGGTGATTGATGGTTACATAAATCTGAATATATTAAAACCCATTTAACTGTACATTTTAAGTGGGTAAATTGTATTGTATGGGAATAAGACTCTCAATAAAGTTGTAAAAAAATGGGGGTAATGTTAACTGTGAATTTTTAATAATAGCTCTGGGCACTTTCATGATAGTGTGGTTGTCACCCATCTGTCTCTGCAATAAAATGACAGAGAAGCACTGCTAGAGCTAGCAACTGAGGGGTTTTAAGCAGGAAAATGACATGATATCAAAGTAAAGCAAAGTTGATGAATCTAAAATATTTTTTGGGGGTAGAAACTTTAGAATGAATGGATATCAGAGACCAAAGAAGGATCAAGCATTAGGCTCAAAGGTGAAGAAGATTCTAGAGACCGAGGAACAGTTCCTCTACAATTAGTTTATAAGTACCGAGTGCAGGGCACCTGTGGAACATCCCCGTGGAGAAGTCCAGTAGACAAATGGATATCAGATTTGAAGCTCAACCTAGAGATCAAGACTGGAGATCTAGGCATTGTCGATATATAATGACAGTTACTAAGGTCAGGGGAACGAATGAGATTGCATAGAGGAAAAATATTACATAAGGAGAGATGGAGGAATCAAAAACGGAAACCTGCAGAACATCATCATTCAAGGGACAGGATAAAGGAAGAGACAGGCATGGTAGGAGGAAAAATGTACAGAGAGAAGAACCAAGAGAGGCAAATACATTTCAAGTTTCTCCCAGAATACTTACCTGAACCACTCGCTCATGGATGGTAAGAACTGCGTCCACAAACATTTTGCTGCCCTGCTCCGGTAGCTGCAACACCTCCATGGTTTTGGTGGGCATCGCATAACTGTGGGAAGAAAGAGGGTCCCCTTAAGCCAGCAGCATCACTTTAGTCAGGGTAGTCCCTGAGAACAGCCACTGGTGCATGCAGAGCTCCTGGAACCTAGAGCTGTTATTTGCAGCCAAGGCAAAGCAATAAGATCCTTGTAAGCCTCCTCCAGAAGTCTCTAAACTTCCTGAAATGACAGAGGGGTCCACTACTTTTCTGCATCCCCAATCTTGCCTAATATAACACTCTGAATAATACCTGATGATTAGTAAGTATTTGCTGCTACTAAAGAATAGCGAATTCTAAAAGAATTGGTAGGTATGCTTTGGAGGATAGCTTTGGGTATTTCCCCTCTTCTAGAGAAATGAGGCCTAAAACCCAAATGTTTTAGAGCAGGATTTCTCAACCTTAGCACTATCTTAGACCAGAAAATTCATTTTATTGTGGGGGGCTGGCCTACATATCCCTAAGATCTCCCTATTAGATGCCAGTAGTACCCCCTGCAAGTGGTGACAATCAAAATTATCTCCAGACATTGTTAAATTCCCCCTAGCTGAGAACCACTGTAGAGTCTGCTCGCTATAATCAGCTTCAGCAGATCTGCATGCTACAGTGGGAAGAGCATTGGACTTGGGGTCAAATGTTGGCCCTGCCACGTATTAGCAATATTTATTAAGGCGAGTCACTCCCCGCTCTGAGAAGAGGTCTTTATCAATAGATTATTGTGAGGATTAGGTATGATAGGATTGATGGCTGAACAAAAATATAGTTCACCAAACTAAAGATAAATGGAATAACAACAGAATTTTCATGCCATAAAAAGCTTCATTAATTAATAGCAGGAAGGCATGGTCCCCTATAGATAGATTGCTACAAAAGGAAGATTGGTATAATGGAAAATTGATTATAGAGACATGACAGTCAGTCCTAGATTTAAATGTTGGCTCTGCTACTTATTTGACCTTGGACAAATTAACTCAGCTTTCTGAGACTCAGATTCTTCAGCTCTAAAATGAGGATAATAATAACTAGTTATAGGCTTGTTGCAATGATTAAACTAATTATTATTTGCCTGATATGCTGTGCCTACAAATGCCAGTCCCCTTGGTCTGTGAGTAAATGGTAGGTATTGCAAATTCTTCCAGGCAGCCTCCCTAAATAACATCCCCTTATACTTTTCAGCCCAATCTCTGCTCTCCTCTTCCAATTCCAATTTGATAGTACCCAGGTATAAAATAAAATAACACATTCATAGAGTTGTTACAAAAGATCAAGTAAAATAACTATGTAAAAGCTTTCAGGAATGTAAAACATGCCATTTTTTCTTTTTGACATTCTGCAGATAAGACTAAAAGGAGTTGCCCATTCCTGCTACTGAGCATACATTTTATTTCTCAACACTTATTTTGCCAAGATTTCATTGATTTGTTTATTTATTTGTTCATGCACTTAATAAACACTTGCTGAGAGCCTCCTCTGTCCTAGGCACTCTGGTGGGCATCATGTAGCCTGTGCTTTAAAGGAGCTCACTAAGAGTGTTTTGGACAGACAGGTAAGTAGGAGAACATCTTCACCACAATAAGACAGAGACAATAACAGGGACGAACCAAATACTATAGGGACAAGAGGAAGAGAAGTGGGGGTCAGGGAAGGCTTCACAGATGAGGGAGTATTAGGATGTAAAGAATGAACAGAGGTGTTTGCCCCCAAAAGTGCAGCAGTTATCTCAAGGCAAGGAGGCATGAGAAGCTCTCAAAGAGAACCAACAGGAAAACCAGACATAGTTTGGTAAGAAAATACTGGGAACTCTGGTCCTTAAAGTAGAATGCCTTTGAGTAGTAAGAGTATAATTTTCCATTAGTTTCTGCACTTTTCAGATTTAATCAATAGTAAAAACAGAAGGGAAGAAATGAAATACAGTAACTGAATTTCAAGAGTCAACTTTTAATGATAAAATAATGCTACCTTTTGGGAATACTGCCTAAGACAGGGCAGAAGGGAGCTGGCTGGGGTGCTAGGGGACTTAGAATCTGTGGACTCTACTATATATAAGATATACCTCCATTTTATTTTATTTTATTTTTTTATATACCTCCATTTTAAACAATGTAAGTGGGCTTAAACAAAAAAAGTAAGAGTAGCCTTTCCAGAGAGGTGCTGAGTGATGCTGTTACTCTCCAAAGAGCACAGGGGCTAGGATAAGCTTTAGGCTTGGAAGCTGCTCCCAGATGAGTCATATTTCCATCATTCCAGGCATCTGCTCAGCAAGGGAGGCAGGCAGATTAAGGGCCTGCATGAGAAGCCCCTTCCTCTTCTCTCTTGGGTTAGCTGCAGCTATAGCAAAGCAGACCATTTATAGAACAAAAGCCAGCACTCTACTCCTTTGCCCAATTCCACCTCAAGGTCAAAGCACTCCCGCACTCCCAGAGGAAAATGGATCATGATGGAATGAAAATCAAAAGAAAAAATTATTTCATCTCTGAGAAGCTGGGCAGTGAGAATGCCTAACCATACAGTGGTCTGAAAACCTCAATCAATGCAGAGAGTGAGTTGCTGAAAATAAATGTCTCTTTATGCTCTGTGCTATATGGAGCAAAGTCAGGAAAAGGCACATATAAAAAAATCATTCAGTTTGCTGTTCTAGGAATCATGCCCATGCCTATTGGAATTCAGTCCAAATCTACGAATATTTATTCATTGCCTACTATGTGTCAGGTACTAGGCAAGGTCTTAGGATTATTGGACAAACTGCTGATGGAGCCAGAAACAATCCTTGCCTTATGGATCTTAAGAGTCTAATAAGGAAGACTAATAAAAGTCAAGTAATTACAAGGATAAGAAATGACTACTATGAGAGGGAAGTTATGTCACTTCTACTAAATATATAATATAGAAACTAACTTAATGAGTTTCTCTAAAGAAGTGACATTCAAGATGACATGTAAGGAAAAAGCAGGAGTTTAGGTGAAGGGGAAAGAATATTATAAGTTCTGGAGAGCAAATGCAAAGGTCCTTGGGTACGAAGGAACAAAAGCAAAGCTAGTGTGATTGGAGGGAAAGGGAGAGGGAAGTATGAGTTAAAGCATGAGAGGCAAGCCCAGACACCCTGGGGCACTTGGTATAAGCCGTGTGAGGACCTTGAATTTGATTTTAAGGGAATGGGAAACATGGGAGGAATTTGTCCATGTGAGTAACATTTTCCGAAACATCACAATGAAAGCTGTGTGGAGTACTAGTTAGGAGGAATTGAGAATTTGGAGGAGGAAAAAGTGGGTTCAAATCCAGATCTTGCCATTTATTAAATATATGTCTACAAGTAAACTTTAATAATTAAATAATAATAATAATAATAATAATAATAATAGCAGCAGCCAAGAGTTGCTGGGAACTGTTGTAAGCACTTTAAATATATCAACTCCTTTAATTTTACTATAGTCTTTTTAGGTAGGTACTTTAATTCCATTTCATAGATGAGGAAACTAAGACACAAAGAGGTTAAGTAGTAAACTGCCCAGTGTCAGACAATAAGACAATGGTAGCCCTGGCTCAAATAGCTCAGCTGGTTGAGTGTTGTCCCATGCACCTAACGGTAGCTGGTTCAATTCCCAGCCAAGGCACATGCCCAGATTTCAGGCTCAATACCCAGGAGGGGGCATATACTGGCCGCCAATTGATGTTTTTCTCTCTCTGCCCTCCCTCTCTCAAATCAATAAAAACATATTAAAAAGAAAGAAAGAAAGGAGAGGAGAGAAAAAAGGAAAAGAGAGGAGAGGGGAGAGGAGAGGGGAGGGGAGAGGAGAGGGGAGGAGAGAGGAGAGGAGAAAGGAGAGGAAAGGAAGAAAATAAAAGAAAAAAGGTAGAGCACAAGTAAAACCTAGATAGTTTGGCTCCAGAGTTGAGCTATGATTCACTATGTACAAAGTGCTTGTTTGAATTAAATAACAATATACAAAAAAAGTACTTCTCAGAGTGGCTGGCTGATGGTAGCTCAATGCTACTGCCTTCCTGCCTTTACCCAAATACAGCCAGAGTTTTTCACAGCTGGATTTTATTCTTTTTATTTTTTTTAATCCTCACCCGAGGATATTTTTCCATTGATTTTTAGAGAGAGTGGAAATGAGAGGGAAAGAGAGAAATGTTGATGTGAGAGAAGCATATCAATTGGTTGCCTCCTGTGTGAGCCCTGACCAGGGCCGGGCCGGGGAGGAGCCTGCAACCAAAGTACGTGCCCCTGACCAGAACTGTACCTAGGACCCTTCAGTCCGCAGGCTGACACTCTATCTACTGAGCCAAAACGGCTAGGCCTACAGCTGGATTTTAAAAACAGCACCTTTTAAAAAGTCCTGAAAATTTAAAACACTGTTCCAGAGAGTTGATTCATGTAGGTGGGATAACATTGTGTAAATGACATTTCATGTTTCTTTGCTACTACAAGCTCTGAGAAGCTACCCCTAATCCCTGCCAGCTGGGGGGGAAAAATCTCTTCATTAATTATTATTATTTAGAATGTAGCAATATGTCATTCATCTGCTAAGTGCTAGCATATACTATCTTATTTAATTTTCAGAACTCAAAGAAATAAAATTATCATCTCATTTATACAGAGGAGGTAACTGAGGTTCAGAATTTCCCAAGGTCATATTGCCAATAACTGGTAGAACTAGAATTTAAACCAGGCAGTTTCACTCCAGAATTGGTACTGTGTCGCTCAAAGTGTGGTCCAGAGACAAGTTGCTGGTGAGCAAACTGCTTGGCATCAGTCCAGGAAAAAGATAAGGAACATGCAACAGTCACTAAACACACTATTTAGTTCAGCCAACCCCCCCCCCCCTTTTTTTTTCCTCAACAGCAAGACTTTTTTGATGAAGGGAGCAAAGCATGAATGCACATTTTGGCATAAGCTTCTGATATCTTTGTGCAGTGCTACTTTGACAGCTATTGCTCTAAATTGTTTTACTATTCTGCTTCTTGAACTGGCATTGTACTTTAACTTTCACTTATCACCTTCTAGATTATGTTAAAAATGTATTTTTATTGATTTTTTACAGAGAGGAAGAGAGAGGGATAGAGAGTTAGAAACATCAATGAGAGAAAATCATCGATCAGCTGCCTCTTGCACACGCCCTACTGGGGATGTGCCCGCAATCAAGGTACATGCCCTTGACTGGAATCGAACCTGGGACCTTTCAGTCTGCAGGCCGACGCTCTATCCACTGAGCCAAACCAGTCTTGGCCCTTCTACATTATGTTAAAATATTTCTCTGTGAGCGTGTGTGCACTCACTATGTACATATACTCCCTGAAATCAGAAACATTCACCTTAGTATCCCCAGTTAAAATGCCTAGTACAGTGCTTAGCACACGAGCAAGAGAAGGCTCAATCAATAGGTTTTAATCAATTAATTGAAAGCACTGTCAATAACCTTTAGGAAATGTACTCCACACAACTGGATTGTACAGTCATATTGAAGAACCTGTCATTCTTTCAACAATGGCTTAATGTTCCCCATGTGGCAGACAGGCCCTGGTCTAGGTGCTGAAGAAATAAAGAACACAGTCCCCATCTAGTCAGTGGGAGAGGAGCTGACACGTCAATAGACGATTAGAGCCCAAAGCACGAAGTGACATGATAGAGGTGTGTGTCAAGTGCTGAAAGAACAACTGACTCTCTGGGGCATCAGAAAGAGATAAAGCATATCTTTAGGCCTAACACAATTGAAGTACTATCTGCTGTGAGAGCTAAAATCACACCTTATTTTATAATCTTCTAAATAGCACATTTAGCACAATTATTCTCTAACTTATAAAGGTTCAAAAGTTCACATATGTCCGAAATCAGTTTGGCTCAATGGATAGAGTGTCGGACTGCAGACTGAAAGGTCCTGGGTTCAATTCCGGTTAGGGGCATGTGCCTTGGTTGCAGGCACATCCCCAGTGGGGGGTGTGCAAGAGGCAGCTGATTGATGATTCTCTCTCATCGATATTTCTAACTCTTCTTCTCTGTAAAAAATCAATAAAATATATATTTTTAAAAAAAGTTCATTTTTGGCTTAATGACTTAAAATAAGACTCTATAGCTCAGCTGGTGGGGCTCAGCTGGTTGAGCATTGTCCCATGCGCCAGGAGGTTGCTGGTCCAATTCCCAGTCAGGCATATGCCCTGGTTGTGGGCTTGATTCCCAGAAGGGGGCATGAAGAAGGCAGCTGATCAATGTTTCTCTCTCATCGATGTTTCTCTCTTTCCCACTCTCTTTACCTGAAATCAGTTAAAACATATATTAAAAAAAAAAAAAAAAAAGACCCTATAGAATTAAAAATACTGGAGTCAGGCAGAACTAGGTTAAATCCAGACAATTTACTAGTTCTGTGACTTTTGGCTATTCTGAGACTTGGTTTCTTCATCTGCACAATGAGGATATATTAATATCTGTCAAGTGAGAAAGAGTATAATTTTCACCATATCCATATATTGTGCCGTGTACTACCTTGACTACCTTGTCACAATGTCAAACCACCCAAAGTATTATTTGTTAAATATTTTTCTTTAAGTCAGCACACTTAAAAATTAATTTAAAAAAGAATCTTGAGATGTGGAACAACTGGAACTTAAGAAGGTAACAAGATAATTCAATGGAAAAAGAAAATCTTTTTAACAAATGGTATTTTAACAAATTGGATATGTATATTAAAAAAACAACTTCGACCCATATCTCACACCATATATAAAAGTAACTCCAAATGGGTCACAGACCTAAAAGTAAAACTTAAAACTATAGAACTTCTACCAAAAAATATAGGAGAATATCTTCATGATATCTTGAGTTAGGCTAAGATTTCTTAGATCTGATACCAAAAGCATGAACAATTAGAGAAAAAACTGATAAATGAAAAACTTCATCAAACTAACTTCTACTCTCTAAAAGATTCAGATAAGAAGGTAACAAGATAAGCCATAGACAGGGAGAAAAATATTTGCAAAACATACTGAAAAAGAACTGGTATCCAAAAACAAATTGTAAAAACTTTAATAATCCTCCTATCTAATAAAAGAGTAATATGCAAATTGACCATCACTCCAACACACAAGATGGCAGCCCCATCATGTGGACACAAGATAGCCACCATAAGATACCCAACAGGGAAGGGCAGTTGGGGAGGACCAGGCCTGTAGGGGAGGGCAGTTGGGGGTGAACAGGCTGGCAAGGAAGGGCAGTCAGGGGTGACCAGGCCAGCAGGGGAGCAGTTAGGCAGTGATCAGGCTAGCAGGGAGTAGTTAAGGGGTAATCAGGCTAGCAGGCAGAAGAGTTTAGGGGCAATCAGGCAGGCAGGCAGGTGAACAGTTGGGGGTCAGCAGTCCTGGATTGTGAGAGGGATGTCCAACTGCCCATTTAATGGACACCCCTCAAGGAGTCCCAGATTGGAGGGTGCAGGCTGGTCTGAGGGATATCCCCCCTTTGCACGAATTTCGTGCACCGGGCCTCTAGTTCAGTAATAAAAAATAACCCAATTTTAAAAGTAGACAAAAAATTTGGACACATGATCAAAGATAATATACAAAAAGTAAATGAGCTTGTGAGAGGATGCTCAACATCATTTATTTATTAGGGAAGTGAAAATTAAAACCACTATGAGATACCTCTATGTATATATTAGAATACCTTTAAAAAAAATTGACAATATCAAGTACTGACCAAAATAAGAAGTTACTGGAACTCTCATATGTTGCTGGTGGGAATACAAAATGGTGTAGCTAGTTTGGAAACCAGTTTGGCAGTATCTTACAAAATTTAACATACATTCACTATACAATCCCAAAATCCAAATCTTAGGTAATTATCCCGGAGAAAAGAAGACATATGACCCACAAAACCTATATGCAAATTGACCATCACTCCAACACACAAGATGGCAGCCCCCATGTGGACACAAGATATGGCAGCTTTGTTAATGATTACCAACAAACTGGAAATAATCCAAAAGTACATCAACTGGTGAATTAAAATCACCATTTAATGGAATACCGCTTAGTAATGAATCACTTATGAAAACATGGATAAATTTTAAACACATTATGCTAAGTGAGAGGCCAGACAACAGCTACATATTGTATGATTCTACTTGATGTTCTGGAGAACCTAAAACAACAGGGACAGAAAATCAATTGGTAGTTGCCAGCGACTTGAAAGGGAAAAGGAAGGAGACTGACTATACTTGGGCACCAGGAAATTTTTGGGGTTAATAAAACTTTTCTATTTTGATTGTAGCAAAGTATATATTTAAAAAGAGTGAATTTTACCACATGTAAATTATATCTCAAAACCTCATTTATCAACAACAAAGCAGAGCATGCTACCCACACCAAGAATATTTCAAAGACAGCCTTCATACCTTTCCTCCACTTTAATGGAGAGATGGTTGCAGAGGTTGTGAACATATTGGGCATAACTCTCTGCCAGGGCCATGTCATATGCAGTCATGTGAATGTTCAAAACCCCATATTCATAATCTGTCCCCAAATTAATGGCTCTCAGTTCCACTGTTTTCTTACTCTTCTTGGGCTAAACGGAAAAACAAAAAGAGAAAGAAGATAAATGAAACTATTATATAAGAAACTAATTTTACAAAAGAAATTTTTAAATGAGTTCTTATTTTAAAATATTTTTTAAAATATATTTTATTGATTTTTACAGAGATGGAGAGGGATAGTTAGAAACATTGCTGAGAGGGAAACATCAATCAGCTGCCTCCTGCATATCCCCCACTAGGGATGTGCCCTCAACAAGGTACATGCCCTTGACTGGAATCGAACCTGGGACCCTTCAGTATGCAGGCTGACGCTCTATCCGTGAGCCAAACCAGTTAGGGCTAATTAGTCTTTCATATAAATTTGTTTATCACTTTCCTCTCAGGATACCATACCTACAAAATGAAGTTCTCCTGGAAAGGAATGGGCAGCTTTTCTTGCCTGTCTGGGCTGTGACATCAGCCAATTAAAGGCAAGGGAATATTGCTGGCATTACTTTAAGATGAATACAGTGACTGTCTTTGACAATTAACTTGTCTTGAGACTCAACTTCCATCAAGAAAGTTTCTCAACTAGAAATAATCAAACCTAAATGCCCATCAAGAGAGAAACTTGTTAAATAAATCATGGAACAACCATATACAAATACCTAAGTACTTGTTAAATAAATCATGGAATAACCATATACAAGTACAGCTGTAAAAAGCAAAAAGAAATTTCTCTATGTACTGATATGGAAAAGCCTTTAAAATAAATTAGTTAATAAAAGAAAACTATAGAATAACATGTTCAGAATATTATCATACATATAAAAAAAAAGGATAGGTATGCCATATATACAAAAAGAATAGGTGTGTGTGTGTGTGTGTGTGTGTGTGTAATTACATAGACATTTATTTGCTTGTATATCCAAAAAACATCTCTAAAAGGATGCACAAATATACTATATCATTGGCTGGTTACCAGTGAGGGAACTGGATGGCTGGGGCATAGAGGTAGAAAGGAGACTTTTTATACTACTTCCCTTATATCTGTACTAATAAAAAAGTAATATGCAAATTGGTCAGGATCCCTCACAGTAACAACCAAACAGCAGGCTGCATGTGATGACAGGGCCGGCAGGGGGGTTAGTGAGGGACGGCCAAACAACTAAACAGCAGGCTGTGTGGGGCGACCAAGCCGGCAGGAGTGGGCAATGAGTGGCGACCAAATGGCCGAACAGCAGGTTGCATGGGGCAATCAGGCTGGCCGGGGGGGGGCAGTGAAGGGTGACCAGACTGGCAGGGGTGGGAGGTAGTTGGGATTGTGAGAAGGATGTCCAACTGCCAGTTTAGACCCTATTCCGGGGATCAGGCCTTAACCAGCAGTCGGACGTCCCCCAAGGACTCCCAGATGGGAGGCTGGGCTGCAGGCCCCCACTCACCCCATGCATGAATTTCGTGCACTGGCCCTCTAGTATTTTTTATAATGTGAATCTTTCATCAATTCAAAATTAGAATCATTACTCGGCTGCCTTGTGCACACCCCCTACTGGGGATCAAGCCTGCAAACCAGACATGTGCCCTTGACAAGAATCAAACCCGGGACCCTTCAGTCTGCAGGCCAACACTCCACCCAGATTGACGCTCTATCCACTGAGCCAAACTGGCTAGGGCTATTTTCATTCTTATATTCCTCATATCTAACACAGGGCCTGGCAGGGAAAACATGCAGTGACTCAATATTTTGAATTTTAGAACAGGACAGCATTTAGAAATGATTTTGTCCCAGTTCGTCATCTTTGCAGGGGAAGAATATGAAACCCAGAGAGTTAAATAAGTCCCCCAGAGTCACACAGCCAGACAGGATAGATCCTAGGACTAAAGCCTAGATCTGACCCCCGCAATGCAGGGATTTTTCCACTGTAGCCTCTGCATTCCTGAAGTTCTTAACAGTGATGTCCACTCCAAGGTCCTACAGTTTGCAGTGAGACACTCTCCTCTAGAGACCAACCCTCAAGGAGTAGGAGCTTGGCTCCCTTCTTCAGAAGACACCACACCCGTGGCCAAATGCAGCAATCCGGGCTTTTTATCCTGACAGCCTGCACTGCAGTCGGATCTGTGAAGAATGCTGAGTAGGAATGCAATGGGGAGCGGCTGAAATTTTCCAGCACAGAGAGGAGGAGCTTTTTCTTAACCAGGGAAAATGCCAGGGCTTTTCAAAGGTGTCGCTTTAGGGGAACAAAAAAAGAAAGCTGACTCCAGTATCCCTCTTGGCATCTCTCTTGCTTTTCCGTGTTGGCCTAGATATGCCTGGAGCAATCCACACCATCAGGAGTTTATTGTGATCTTAGATTTCAGTTCTGTGCCAGGGCAAAGAATAACCAGAAAGAGCTTGACTGCACCAGACATCAGTCACTAGTTTTTATAATTTTATCTGAATAATGTTTTTCACATCCTTCCCTTTTCTAAATGCCTGAGTTCAGGCCTTCATGACTGCCATGATGTATATGACTGCAGCTGTGTTTTGGGGCGGCCACCCTGACTGCACATGAAGAAGAGCCAGGCAGGAAAAGAAGGGAGGTGAAAGGTGGCAGGGAAGATGGACTATTGCCCACCATCAGACTTTGGTGTTCCTGTGAATGACCTGGATTCACTGTGGGGTGGCTCAGGGAGGCCATTCTTAAATCCCTGTAGGATTGCACTATGATCTCCCAAACAAATCATGGGATAAATTACTAAACCAATTTTATAAAGAATTATTCACATTATTATCCTGTTTTACAGACAGAAAACAGATCCTCTGAAGGCACATTATTTGCCCAGATTACTGGGAAACTTTGCTGGGAAAGAGCAAATAAAGAAAGGAGTCTTATTAGAATTACAGGCAACTATAGGTAGGAAGGATCTTAGAACTGATTTAGTGTCTCCTTCCTCTCCTCCCTAATTTTGTACAGGGGGATGCTGAGGCACAGAAAGGGGAAATGATAGACTTAAAATTACAATAGTAAGGAAATGGCAAAGGAAATGAAGGAAATGCACAAATTTCGTGCACCAGGTCTCTAGTTTAATCATAAAGAGCAGCATGCTTCCCATGGAACAAACTACCTTGCTGCACCATGCTGATTACGCCCCTAAGGGGAAAAACCACCTCGGATGGGTACAGTTGAAAGGGCTACTAAGGACTATAGGCCTGTCAACTATAAAGTCAATAGTTGTAACTCAGTAAATGATATCTTTTGGTGTATGAGATGATGCTCCAACTAGCCGAGACACCCAGCCAGGGCTAATGAGTGGTATCTTAAAAAGGTTCATCTAGACCTGCCTACTTCTCAGGGTTTCATGTTACCTCATCCCCTAGTGTCCATTTGAAACACCAGAATTAAAAATTATTAATTTTTTAATCCTGGTATTTAAAAACTATTCCCAACTGCATTTCCAGGATCAATGTCTTCTCACCTTTGCCCAGAATGTTTCCCCTCCCTGCAAAGTGTCTGACTCTTTACCCCATACCCTTAATGTGAGCAAATCCTATTCATTTTTTAAGACTCAGTTCATGATCTTCCAGAAAGCCTACCCTGATTCTTCCGGTAAAGTTAGGCACTACTCCTCTGTGTTCCCACAGCCACCTCTTTATACACTACTATCATTTATCACATGTATTCAATTATTCAACAAATATTTACTGACCACTAGTGATGGGTCAGATAAGGGTTATCATTAGGGATATGATAGTAATATAGCCATAGTATCTGCTCACTGAAGCTTGCAATCTATCAGGAAAGGCATATACAGAACAGATAATGAAAAGAGATGAATGTTTCAAGGGAGGATAATAGAGTGCTATGGAATTATAAAAAGAGAAACTAATGCTATCATTATCACCACTTACAGGCTATTTGTACCAGACACTGTGCTAAGTATTTAAAATTTTATTATTTAATTTACTCCTCACAACAACATTGGGAAGTACTAGGTGTACCAGTAAACAATGGCGGATTTTGTAATCAAAGAAAACACGATATTTCAAGAAAAACATTAAAAGTGCTTTATTCAAAGTAATGTTCTTCACTAGCTACACATTTCCCTAATTTTGTGTACCAGTCCTCTAGTCCACACTAATAAAAGAGAAATATGCAAATTGATCTACCTTCATGACACCCACCAGCCAATCAGGAGTAAGTATGCAAATCAACTCAACAAAGATGGTAGGTTAATTTGCATACACAGGTGCCAAGTGGCTGGGGGCGGTAAGCTTGTGTTGTCAGCAGGGTGACCAACATAGGTGTTTCACACGGCCCCAGTTGCTCCGGGCTTCTGGGCAGCATAGGAAGGCAGGAAGGCCCATTCTTGCACGAATCTTCATGCATCAGACCTTTAGTATTATATAAATGGGAGTTCTCTGCATCTCAAAAACTATGAAAACATTTATGAGTTTCTCTGTTAACATTTGTTTTTATCAAGTAAAACTGATGGGAGAAAAATTTGAAGTTTAGAAAATTATATCCATTAACTTAATGCCTTTCTAAAGTGTAGATTACATTAATAGTAAACTTGAGAAGGGATTCAAGGATCTGAGGGCATAAGGTGTGAAAGACATTGAGATAATGTATGTGAAAGTACTTTGGAAATGGAATGGGATCATTACTATTATCACATCAAATATGAATCCTTCTAAAACTCTGACACTGTTGTTATGCAGCAGAACAGGCAAGGCAGAAGGAGATTTCAGTGGGCTGGAGATCAGGGTGCTCAATGGCACAGCTAAGTCAGGCTTTCACAGGAGTCTCTCTCTGTGCCTGGAAAATCCCTGGGAAACTTTTTTATGTTCTTTACAGCCCTGGTGTTTCCAGCTACCCCAGCAGCTGGATGTTCCTAGAGGAGTGTCTGTGCATTTCACATACTCATGGTAAGGATATAGGTGACACTTAATAAATGTTTGTTGAACTGAACTCCATAACACCTCCACTGACCCTTTCAGGGAGACTTGCTTCTTTATCTTTGTTCTCTTGATACTTAATTCATTCTACCTAGTAAAGTACTTACAATGTGTACTTAGTTACACTTTTGAGCACTATCTTTCCCAGCCTACTATCTATTTTTTTGTAGATAGAGACTGTGTCTCATTCACCTGTGAATCATCTGTGTTCAGCACAGTCCCTGGCACATAGTAGATGCTCCATAATGGTTTTTCTTTTCAATGAGTTACAAGAGGTATACTTCAGGGAAAACATGGATGCCAGTTTAAAATAACTATTCCTAAGCCAACTAGAAGGCTAGGCATGGGTTATAGGACTCTTAGCCAGTCCTATAACCCATCCCTAGCCATAGTCACTGGGCTGGCAAAACCCATCTTTCTGTTCCCAGGAAGCTAGGCCTGTCACCATAAAGTGATTCTGAGCTGCAGTTGTTTCCAGGACTGATGCCACACTTTCCTCTCAGAGCTAATCTATCTGAGGTGCTAAACAAAATAAACAGGTGTCAGAAATGGCAGATAGCTCCTCTATATCAACAGTAAAAATAACATTCATTAAGGTTCCCAGAGAAAAGGTATCAGGGGTCCTAGGGGCTATCCTATGGAAAGGAAGTAAGTTACCTATGTTACAAAAGATACACCGGGGCCAGAAGATAGAATATATAACAACTACAAATTAATAGCAATTTACATTGCCTGTTTGACCTTCTCACACCTTCCTCTTGACAATTCTCTGATTCTTGGGCTGCTATTGCCCCAAGATTGAAGGCAGGATAACAGCTGAGGGCAAGTATGTAAGTGGTCTTGGGAGAAATGACCTAGCACAATATAAATGTGAATGACTATATTATTTTTTATTTCTGGCAAATAAAAATCACTCCAAACACTCTAAAGCATTTACATGCAACAGAATAATGAAGGCCCTTAAGAGAATAATGAGATTTGCAGATATGCTCTAAAATGTGATCTCTCACTGCCTTGAGTCAAGCTGGGACTTACAAATGAAAATAAAAAAGTATCATTCCATAAAGGGGAAGTAGCATGTGCAAAGGCACAGAGGCCTGAGGCAGCATGGGGGCGTGAGAAATGTGCCTGAAGCACAGGATGCAAGAAGGAAAATCATTGAGGAAGAGGTTGGGTCCATGCTATGAGAGACTTGGAACCCCATTGTTTGCTGTCATCTCCCATGTTACCCCCCAAGAAGAAGCCTCATCTCCCCTATCACTTATTCCTCAGAGAAGCAACAAGGACAAGGGCACAGGGTGGAGGGATGGGAACCAATCAGGCCATGGAAGAAAAAAGGAGGTAAAACTAGTATTGCCCAGGAAAGCTGAGATGAGGTAGGTGTGCATTTTTCTTCCCAAGGTTCAGGGGTCTTCAGACTGAGTGTGGGACCTTTGGAAGGAGTGAAGAGATTATACCAGCAGAAATGGGACAAGGGCTAGGCACTTTGTGCATGAGAATTAATTCCCATCCCAGGGATGTGGGGCTCAAAAGATTAGAGGGCCCAGCCTGAGACCCAGTGAGGAAAAAACATATTTGTTTTTCCTAGGTTCTAGACTTAAGGAGAAAGGGGGCCACAAAGATGCCTTCGAGCTTTTCCAGTCCAGTGCCCTAGTGGGGTAAAGGAGCTGGAACTTGGGACAGAGCCTCTGCAAGATGAGAGCTTTCACTGTGTTGTCCTATGCAGGAAGCAAGCCTGCAGCAGCTTCCACCACTATCCAGCACTACTATGCCAGCCACCCCAGACAATGAATGACATCAGAGAAAAGCCTAAACTGCAAATAAAGGGAGCAGAACTCCCTTCAAGCAACCAAGGTCATCTGGGACCAGCCGTTTACAGATAGTGGGTTGTGTGTGCCAGCTCTGATTTCTAAAGCCTCAAGGCAGCTTCAATAACCACATTTCAGTTTAGCTCAATCAATATTTACTGCCCTCTATTTGATGCCAGATACTGTGTTGGACACTGAGGATACAGAAGAAATAAGGCATGGCCTCTACCCTATAGAGCTCACCATCTAGAAGATGGTTAAACAGATAATTAAAACAGAGCATTAGGTCCTAGGACAGAGGAAGGACAGGAACTCTGGAAGCTCATGGCAGGACAAGTAACCCAGTGCAGGGAATCCAGGAAGGTTTCTTAGAAGGGAAGATACATTTTTTCCTTCCTCACCCTGCTTCTCACTGAGATTTAAAGGTTGAGGATGTATTAACCAAGTGAAAAAGGGGAGAGAACAGCATGTGAGGCCTTAAAACAGTATGGTGATTTGGATGAAAAGCGAGAGGCCCAATACAGGTAAAGAAAGCATGGTCTCCATGAGATAGCATAAGGAGCTAGAGAAAAAGATGGGGACAGACAGCATTAAATATGACATTAAACTTCCTTTTATACCAAGCTAAGGAGTGTATTGGAGCATGACATATGCAGAAAATTAAGATGAAAGATCCCAAAACATTAAAAACACCCTTCTCCCCCCTCAAAAAAACAAAACAAAACCAGTTTCATTTCCTGACAACTATGCTAAGGTGTCACAACTCAGAAGGGGTGTAAATCACTCTTCTGATTTTTAATAGCACTTTATTTTATTTATTTTTAGAGAGAGAGGGAGAAACATCGATTTGTTGTTCCAATTATTTATGCATTCATTGGCTAGGTAATTCTTGTATGTGCCCTGAAGGGGGATCAAACTCACAACCTTGGTATATCAGTACAGTGCTCTAACCAACTGAGCTACCGGCCAGGGTATTTAATAGTACTTTATATATTCCTTTTAGCACTTATCATTTTTTGCTTGGGAACATAATCACCTACATCTTATCTCTAATGGTTTACCAGTTCCCTCTGAGCATGAACCAGATCTTGTTCATTCAACCTGTGAAGTTTTATTACAGCCCAGTTTACATAGGCAAGTTGTCCCCAAGAATGCCTAGTATTATACTTAGTAAACATTTTTTTAATATTTCATAGCATCATGGAGTTATAGGATATCAAAACTAAAAACTCTTAAAAGATATTTTAATCCTGAATTTCTCAACCTTTTGGAAGAGCCTGAAAAAAGCTACAGACTCTCTTCTCAGAAAAATTCACTCATAGAAAACATTTTACATAAAATTTCAGGGTCCACCATGCCCAGGGGATTAAGGTTAATTTATCCAAAGTCACAAAACTAATGAGTTGCAGAACCAAGCCTAGAACATAAGTGTCCTGGCTCACAACAAACAAACAGTTGGCCTGTTTCCTGCTGGGAGGCTGCCTGATACAAGCCTTGGACATGGCAATGTTCTCCTAGTGAAATTCCTTGTTATAGGATGATGCTTAAGAGAACATGACAAGGTTGGTGGCTTCAGAAGCCCAAGTACAGTGGTTTTCAACTTTTGCTAAAGGAGAGAGAGGCAATGGGTGATATGCATGTTACATGGGAACATTAAAATAAGCCCAAGAACCAAAAGTAATGTTGAAGACTCCTCAGAAGAACTGCAAAGTCTTCTTTACTGTTTACAGGAAGTGACAGAATCATGACTCAAAGCCACACCTTCTGACTTGCAGACCAGTGTTATGTTTACCCCACCAGAAAATCCTCTGCACATGCACAGGAATCTCACTACCCAGAAACAATCCTGCAGCTGAAGCCAGTGAAATAGGCTAAATAATCCTATCGTATATAATAAAGGGTAATATGCAAATCGACCAAACAGAGGAACGACCTGTCACTATGACATGCACTGACCACCAGGGGGTAGACGCTCAATGCAGGAGCTGCCATCTGGTGGTGAGTGCACTCCCACAGGGGGAGAGCTGCTCAGCCACAAGCCAGGCTGATGGCTGGCGAGTGCAGCAGCTCACCTCAGCACTAAGGATGTCTGACTGCCATGGGGAGCAGGCCTATGCCACAGTTGGGCACCCAGACTGCAAAAGGGCGCAGGCTGGACTAAGGGATCCCCTCACCCCCTGAATGCACAAATTTTGTGCACCAGGCCTCTAGTCTTATAATAATTAGAACTAATTCCCAATTATCTGTGATAGTGAATTCAAAGAACACATACTAATACATATTTTAAATCTTCAAATACTATAAAACTCAGCTAGTTGGTTGAAAACGGCAGTCCAACTCTACTAGCCACCATTCACTCAGCTAACCTGGATGTATCAATCCCATTGTGAGTTCCATACTGAGTTAAGTACCAGGAAGATACTTTTTTTTAAAGCATCACAAGTAATAAAACTAAATAATTTGCTTTTCACTATGATAACCTGGCCTAGGGAAGAGATTGGGACCCAGCGGAAACATCTCCACTCTGGATAATACTGAAACTCAGTAACTGGAGAGGACTGAGGGATGACCCTATTCTTTCTAGCTCCAATACTAGTTTACCTATGCAGATCTGATCTTTGCGTGTTTGCAAAAGCTGCACACTCTTCTGAAGGACCCCAGCCCCTTTACCTCTTGTGCTTGAATTAAGTGCTTGTATCTTCCAATGCCATGGGTGGGCCTTGACCTATAGTGCCGGCTGGTACTCAGCAGAATGCCACCTAAAAGAGAGAAAATAAGACTGGGGCTATTTGCTTTAAAGAACCATAGCTATTTTATTATCCTGGTCTAACCCTCAGTTTTCCCCACTGGACTATATCCAGTCCCCACTACCTATGTTTCTTTGAAAAATTCTCTCCTGCTAGAGCCACTGATGGTATAGGGACAAAGAAAATTCTCACAGGTTGTCATTTCCTCTTGTCCCTCAACAGGCAATAATTCTTTTGAAGTTTTCTACAGATTGTAGAGAAAGTGACAGGTAGCAAATATAACCAGGTACGAAGGCAATCAGAGATTTCCACAAAGTTTTTAAAATCATCTAGTTTTGCCGAAACCGGTTTGGCTCAGCAGTAGAGCGTCGTTCTGCGGACTGAAAGGTCCCAGGTTCGATTCTGGTCAAAGGCATGTACGTTGGTTGCGGGCACATCCCCGGTAGGGGGTGTGCAAGAGGCAGCTGGTCGATGTTTCTCTCTCATCGACGTTTCTAGCTCTCTCTCTCCCTTCCTCTCTGTAAAAAATCAATTTAAAATCATTTAGTTTTAGACACTCAATGTGTACTGGGCAAGGATGATGGGAAAGCAGATACTTATCTTATGGTGTACAAAATACTTTAATGGAGATGAGTGCAAGGTAGGGAGTGCCCAGCGAGACAAATAATTAACTCTGCTTTGGGGACAGCGGTGGGGAAGGGTGCAGGGGAATAGGTTCAGAAGATTTAAAAGCTGAGTCCTTGGAAGAAGAGTAAGAGTTTAATCACACGAGGAAAAAGGAGGTATTCTTGGGAGAGGTTCCCTAAGAGCACTGAGAATAACTGAGGTGTATTCTTAGCCACTGTCCCAATTCTGTCTCTCCGAATCTATAATAAGACAGTTGACCCTTTGAGTCTTCTGGTTCCAACTCTGCAAACTGGGACCCCCACCCAAGAAGCTGATATCCAAATCCTCAGACCAGAGCCTTGCAATTTAATCTTATCCAACAAGATTTCATCATGACCTCGAAAAAAAGCACTGAATTCTTCAAAGCATGTTCATTCACTTAATAAATATTTATTATTTCCCATTAGGGTAACCAGTGACAATTATATCACGTGAATGGCACACAGTAGAGTTATGCAGTGTGTAATCAACCCAATATCTATGGCAGGACCATTGGTATCACGCAGTGCCTTAGAAACTGGGGCTATAACAATAGACAAAGACACAGTCCCTACAATAGAGAACCTATCATCTAGTGAGGAAATGCAGTAAGATCAATGCAGGGCCATACGTAGGAGGGTCACTGAGGCTAGACTTGAGGTGTTGGGAAAGAATTGTTAGAGCAGGTGGCTTTTAAGTAAAACTTGAAGGATGACTATGAGTTAGTGAGGAGAGAACATAGTATGGAGAAGGTAAGAGCCAGAGAGAATTTCAAGGCAGAATAGGAGGACCAGGTTGGCAAGAGAGTTTACGGAAAAAGACATACTTCTGATGTACCAGGCACTGCGCTGAGAGTTAGGGACATAAAAGTAGACAAGGCTGCCCTAGCCGGTTTGATTCACTGAATAGAGCATGGACCTGCAGACTAAAGGGTTCCAGGTTCAATTCTGGTCAAGAGCATGTACCTTGGTTGCAGGCTCACTCCCTGGCCCCAGTGGGGCATGCGTGGGAGGCAACCAATTGATGTATCTCTTTCACACTGATGTTTCTCTCTCTATCTTCTCCCTCCCTTCCACTCTCTCTAAAAATCAATGGGAAAAAAATATCTTCAGTCCCCCTGGTTTGGCTCAGTGGACAGAGCGAGCGTCAGCCTGCTGATTGAAGGGTCCCAGCTTCGATGCTGGTCAAGGGCACATTCCTGGGTTGTGGGTTCGGTCCCCAGTTGAGAGCATGCAGGAAGCAGCCAATCAATGATTCTCTCTCATCATTGATGTTTCTATCTCTCTATCCCTCTCCCCTCCTCTCTGAAATCAATAAAAATGTTTTTTTTAAAAATACCTTTGAGGGAGGATTAACAACAGCAAAAAAGTAGACAAGGCCAACAAAATTCCACTTATGGAGCTGATAGTCTCGAAGGAGGAAGATATCTTTACTGGAATAGTCACAAAATAAATATAAAATTCCAAATTGAGATAAGTAATAAAAAGAAAAAGCACAGAGGGCTATGGCAATACAATCGGAGGATCTATTTTAGATTGGAGCATCAGAGAAGGCCTTTCTGAAAAAAAATGACATGTGAACTGAGACCAGAATTCAGAGGGAAAAAGTAATAGTGGTTATCCCCAGGGAGAGAAAGTGGCTAGAAAGCAGAAGGAGAGGGACATTTGCTGTATATTTTATAGTCTTTTGTAGCTTTTAAAACTTGTTCCATGCACATGTATTACCTATTCAAAACATAAATAAAATAAACTGAGACCTGAAAGGTAAGTAAGAGTTTATTAAGTGAGAAGATAGAGGATGAATGTTCAGGCAGAGGAAACAGCACGTGTAAAGGCTCCAACGTGGGACGCAGCTTTGGTTTTCAGTGTGGCTGACGCAGAGTGAGAGGGGCATGAGAGCATCCGAGACCAGAGCAATGGATCAGAATACCACACTGGGCCTTGTTAAGGGTTTGGATTTCAGACTGAACAGCCATAAGCAGGGAAATTATATGTCTGATGTGTTTTTAAAATACCATTTTGGTCGTTGTGTGGAAAAGGGAGTAGGGAGAGGGAGTGTGGATGGAAGGAATAGGAGATTCAAATGGTAGCCTTGGCTAAGTTATTGTTGGTGATCTCAAAACATCCCCCTCTCTATTCTATCCTTAGAGCTTACTAATTAATCTTTCTAAAACACAGACCTAATTACGTTATTCTCTTTCATTAATTCAACCATTTACTCATTTCACACACACAATTTTTTAAAAAGTATTTACTATGTGCAAAGCACTACAGGGGTAGGCAAAAGTAAGTTTACAGTCCTGAGAACTAACTGTAAACCTACACTTTCTGAGCACATACTATTTGCCAGGTCTATCAGGGACATGCAGTCTACTGAATGGAGAGACTGTCCTGTAATTAATTCTTGGCTGGGGCTACCCCAGTTATTCCTCCTGCATAGCCCTGCTAAATATGGTTGTTCTATTTTGAAGGAGAAATAATTAAGTGGGTTTAGTAAACAAGGACATTGAAGGACAGTTGGCTCTGGCATATATACAGGAAGGAGTGTGAGGTGGGAGAAGTCAATACATGATTACATCCAGTAATTGTGCTAACTGAAAGGTTTTCAAAGCCTCCTTTTGAAACCCTGGGGTTTTGTTCTCTTCAGTGAGAAGAATTGCCTTTTTCTCTCAGGAGGCTGCCATGTTAATGTGACAGCAGGAAACCCAGATTAATGACATGAAGCAGGGGCTGGTAGGGACGGGTTCAGTTGAACTTATCAAAATCAGAGGCTTTCAAACTTGTAAATTTTATAATTAAAACAACTGGCTAATTAAGCAGTTTAACCACTGGTAATTTGACCCAAACCTTTCATTTAAGGAGGAGAATGGTTAATTTACCAGTAGTTTGATTCAGCTTCATAATTAACCAGCTGCTCTAAATATAGGAATTGCCCCAAACTACATTGAAAATGCCTCCTGGCAAGGAATTCCAGTAGATGAGAGACCATGCAAGCATCTGTGGCACTTTTACCTGAGAAATGTAATCATCTCAAAATTCACTTTCAGTCCTGCTTTTTGAAACCACTTAAGGGTTTTGAGTTTCTGTGTACTTAAAAATGGTGACGGGCATCTGAGTTTTCTTTTTTACTTACACAAAAGGTTTAATACTACTTTTGGTTGCCATGAAACAACACTATCCTGGTTTTCTCCCGTTTTCAATCCTGTTTGCCATCTATTGCACTCTCTACCCAATTTTTTAATGTTGGAGTTTCCCAGGTGCCTGATCCTCGGACCTCTTCTCTATTTGTTCTTCTCAGGTAGTCCCATTCATTCCCATGACTTAAGATGGACACTATGATGACTTCCAAATTTACAGTTTCAATCCAAACCTATATTTACACTCAAGATCAATGTATCCAATGGGCTACTAATATATCCTCCTCACAAGCACTCAATTCAACCTGTTCAAAATCGGGCTCAGAATCTTCCCCTCCAAACTGTTTCTCTTAAGGCAATACATTCAAAATAATTACATAGATTATTTATTTATTTATTTATTTATTTATTATTTTGTGCACTAAGGGGGGAGGGTGCAGTCCCTCAGCCCGGCCTGTGCCCTCTCGTAGTCCGGGACCCCTTCAGGGATGTCCCACTGCCGGGAAGGAGGCCTAAGCTGGCAGTCAGACATCTCTCTCACAGTCTGGGACCCCTTGCTCCTTATGCCCGACTGCTCAATGCTCCTTCCCACTCGGCTCACTGCCATGGAGACGGGAGAGGCTCCCACCACCACCGCTGCACTCACCAGCATGAGCCCAGCTTTTGGCTGAGTGGCACTCCCCCTGTGGGAACACACTGACCACCAGGGGACAGTTCCTACTGCCATTCCTCTGCTCAGATACTCTTTAGAAAAATGACAGATTTCATTGAAAAACAATAATTGCTTTGAAATTTCTCATATAATAGACAAAGCAAAAGTGGTTAATAATTAGATTGAAACAGATTAAAATTTACTGAGTTAATCAGATTGAATAGACAGTCATTACAAAGTACTAAAAGAAAAGCCCTAGCCTGGCAGATGATAGACATGAAAAGTAAGTCTGGAATAGTAACACTATTCCTATCTAATAAAGAGGGAATATGCTAATTGACTGCCCTGCCCTCAAAGATGGCGGTGCCCACAGCCAATAAGGAGGGAATATGCTAATTGAATCTCCTCCCTCAAAGATGGTGGCATTCTCAGTTCCCTCAACTCCCCAGGGCTGGCCTGAGGTGCAGGCAAGCCTTGGATGGCAGCTGCCCAGCCACTAAGGGCTGCCTGAGGCTCAGGTAACCAGGACTGGCAAAGGTTTATGCTGCCAGCAGTAGCAGCAGCAGAGGTGAGATGGGGTGTTGTTTTCCCCTGATCACTGGGTCACCTCTTGCCCCTGAGGGCTTCCAGACTGTGAGAGGGGGCAGGCTGGGCTGAGGGACCCCCTTCAGTGCATGAATTTTCATGCACCGGGCCTCTAGTAATAGAAATAATAACAAAAACATCTAACTTTTTGAGCACTTTATGTGTTTTACCTCACTAAATCTTCAAATAATTCACTGTAGTTAGTACTATAATTATCCCCAAGTTTAAATTTTTATTTATTGAGTGATTCTAGAGATCGAAGAAGAGAGAGGGAAGGAGAGGGTAGTGGGGAGAAAGACACACACATTGATTTGTTGTTCCACTTATTGGTTGACTCCTATTTGTCCCCTGAACAAGGATTGAACCAACAACCCTGGTGCATTGGGACAATACTCCAACCAACTAAGTTACCTGGCCATGGCCTAATTATCCCCATTTTTTAAAAGCGAGGAAACGAAGTAATGGGAAAGTAGCCAAAGGTCACACAATAAATATGAGTTAGTGTTGGAATCTAAAGAAACAGTAGAGCTCTTGCTCCTAACCATTTATTTTTGTTCTTGTCCACTATCCTATTCCAGGGGAGGGCTTGGATTTGGGCCCAGCCACTCTATTCAAAGATATGTTAGGCATCCTTCTAGAAAAATTATTAGAGTGTTAGACACTTAAAGTAAGCAGACTACACCAGGGAAAAAATGCTTACCTGCAGAACAAATGGGATTCTCTCCTGAAATTTTGAACCTAAAAAGAGAGAGTATGTTGAATACAATTAGATACCCACTATTTATTTGCAGTTATCAAACTTGTATACTACTCATTAAGGATAAGTTAATGCCGAATATTTCCTCCTTTCCTCTTTTCCACAAATATTATTAAGTACCTACTATGTGCCAGCCAATGTGCTTAGGTCTTGAGGATACAAAAATACAAAGTAAATGTCTCTACCTATGGTCTAATTGGGAGAGAGATACTGTATGTAAACAAACGTGAACCACAGTGTAGAAGTGATCCAGAACAAAAACATGTACAAGATTGAGGGAACACAAAGGAAAGTGTGATCATTCCCACCAGGGAGGTGAAACTATTTGAGCTGAGCTTTAAAAATTAACTGTTCTGGATTATTTACCCTAACAGGTAAAGCATTCTAAGCAGGGGGATAACAGTGGTGTGTTTAGGGAACAGCAAGCAGCTGGATGCAAGTGCAATGTAAGCTGCAGGAAAGGGAACAGAGTGAGAGAGGTAGCAGGGAGCCGGGTTATAAAGAACCTTGTATGTTGTGCTAAGGAGTTTGGTCTTTATTCTGTGTAGGCAGTGGGAAGCTCCTGGCAGAGTTTAAGCACAGGAGTGATATGATCAAGATTAAGTTTTTTTGGGGGGGATCAATGGGGATTAAAGAAGACATATGTAAAACTTTAGACCATAAAAAAATGCATTAGAGGTAAAATAATAATAATAATAATAAAGTTTTGGAAAGTTAACCTTGGCAGTAGGTGAGAAATGAATGGGAAGTGGTGAGACTGAGGCAAGAGAACCAGTGAGGTGGCTCTTATGATAGCCTTGCATTATGAGAACATGCTCAGGGATGATGGAGAGGAAGGGACAGCAATGAGAGCTAGACTGGATACAGAAGCCAGTGAATGTGGAGGAGAATAAAATGGTTCTGTTTGGCCCTGGCCAGGTGGCCCCGTTGGTTGGAGTGTCATCTTGTACACCGAAAGGTGCAGGTTTGATCTCTGGTCAGGGCACAACGGGAGACAACCCATCAATGTTTCTCTCTCTCACATCAATGTTGTTTCTGTCTTTCTCCCACTTCCTCTCTCTAAAATCAGTAACAACAACAATAATAATAATAAAGTAAATAATTTAAAATAATTCTGTTTGGTTGACTAGGTAATCAGAGTATTTTAATTCAGTATCCTGCAAAGCTTTGATACTAAATTGTGGGACAAGTTAGAGACAAGATCTGTGATTAAATGCTGATTCCACCATTTCCAGACTGTGACCTTAGGCGAATTGTTTTGTGTCTCTGTAACACTGTTATCTCATCTCATGGGACTGAAAATGATCTTAAACTCTCTGAGCCAGTTTCCTCTTCTTTATTTTAAATGTATTGATTTTGGAAGGAGGGAGGGAAGGAGGGAGCGAGGAAGAGAGAGAGAAAGAGAGAGAGAGAGAAAGAGAGAGAGAGAGAGAGAGAGAGAGAGAGAGAGAGAGAGAGAGAGAGAGAGAGAGAGAGAAACATCAATGTCAGAGAGATACAGTGATTGGCCACCTCCTGCACACACCCCCACCTAGGGCTGGATCAGGCCTGCAGCCAGGTACATGCCTTGATCGGGAATCAAACCCAGATCCTTCAGTCCTCAGACTGATGCTCTCAACACTGAACAATACTGGCCAGAACCATTCATAGATTCTTGTATGTGCCCTGACTGGAGATTGAACCCAAAACATTGGCATACTGGGATGACACTAACCAACTGAGCTACCTGGCCAGGGCCAGATACCTCTTTTGTAAAATAACAATATTTATATATTTGTCATGTAGTGTTTTTTGTTAATGAGAGAACATGTAAAATGCCTAGCATGGTGCCATACTAAATGCATATTAAATAATTGACTGATTAATAGAAAAATAGATTAAGATGGAAAGGGAATATGAGGAAAAGGCTTCAATAAATGTAAGGGATTAAAGAAATCATCCAGGCTCATGTGGTCCAGGAAGATATTCAATTCATTGTTTTGCACAGTCCCTGGTTGTCTAGTGGTTAGGATTCGGCGCTCTCAATTCATTGTTTTGCATCATGTGACTGCCACACATAAGACATTCGGTGGATATCTGAAGAATAGAGAAATAAACTGCTAAATGCTCTTCATTATCATCCGGAGAAAAAACAACGGGGAGGTAGCATACTGTGTATACAGAAGAGTGAAAAAACAACTTGGGTTTGAATCTTAACTCCAACTCATATTAGCTGTGTCATCTTTGAGCAACTGATCTACCATTTTGAACCTCAGTTATTTATGCATAAAATTGTAATAATATCATCTGTCTCACCAGATAATTATGAAGAACTATTAATTCATTAAACAAATATTTATTAAATGCCTACTATGTGTCAGATACCATTCTAGATCCTTGGGATATAGCAGTAAACAAAACTAGCAAGTCTTTATCTATATGATGATTATATTCTAGTGGGCAGGGTGAGGAAGACAGATAATTTAAATAAATATACACATATATATAAAATGTGTCAGGAGGTAATACCTGCTATGAAAAAGAAAGCAAGGTAAGGGGATAGAGATGGATGGGAGGTTTAGTTAGGGAAGGCCTCCCTGATGAGATAACATTTGGGCACAGACCTGAATAAAGTCAGAGGACAAACCATATGGCTATCTGAGGGGAGAATGTGCAAAGAAACTTAGATGGGAGAGTGCTTAGGTCAAGGAATAGAAAGGGAGCCAGTGAGTAAGTAGTAGTATACAATGAGGGAACAGATTAGATAAAGTCCTACCATTGTAAGCCATGGTGGGACTGTAGAACTTATTTTAACTAAGATGGGGAAGTCTGAGAGAGAAGTATCATGAGCTAACTTGATTTTAAAAGAATCACTCTGATTTTAGTGTGAAGGACAGAAGACAAAAGTGAAGGCAGAGAGACCACTTAGAAGGCAGCATAATTGTAGTTAAAAAGATAAGGAGCTGGTCCCTAGTAGTTTAGCAAAACAGAAAGCTTGAAACCTGAAATTGGTTTAATTCTATAATATTTCAAAAGTTGAGCCAAAGGATTTGTTAAAGAATTGGATGTAGAGTGAGAGAAATAACAATGTCAAGGATCACTCCAAGGATTCTGGCCTAATGGAGTTGTCATTCACTGAGAATGGACAAAGAGCAAGATGGCATGCCCTAGCTGGTTTGGCTCACTGGATAGAGCGTCAGCCTGCAGACTGAAGAGTCCCAGGTTCGATTCCAGTCAAGGGCATATGCCTAGATTATGGGCTCAACCTCTAGAAGGGGGCATGCAGGAGGCAGCTGATGAATGATTCTCTCTCTCATCATTGATGTTTCTATCTCTCTCTCCCTCTCCTTCTCTGAAATACAAAAAAAGCAAGATGGCAGAGGTGTTCATGCTCAAGATGCTTAGTAGACATACAAGTGGAGATAATGAAAGAAAAATGCGGTGTTAACTACCTGGCAGAATGCAAATATTACTAACTAGTATATTTAACTATTATTATTAATATCCTTACCTTAAGAGAGGAAAGGCTTTCTTAAAAATGATATCGTTCTTCAAACACAGCACCTACAGCAAAATAGCCATGTTAGGACAGTCTTAAGCACTGATAAACTTCCAAGCATCTCTTCACAAAGAGGCTAGAACTCAGAACACAAACCAAAAGAACCCCAAGTCTCCTGCCAGGCAAAGAAGCTGTCCTATAGTTAATATTAAATATACAGGCAAACCAAGGTCATCTTTTTTTTTTTTTTTTTCTTATTTCACTCCCTACAGAAAAATGTTCAAAAAACAGAAACACCCCCCCCTTCCATGCTGCCCCCTGAGGGGCACTTTTTGTTTTTTACAGAAAAAACCTTATTTCCCCTAATTTGATCTATTTTTCTAACATCAATCAACAACTATGATGCTTCTGCCAAGCACAAGCACCAGGCAACAGACTTTCTTAACTTCTTCCCTAATTCTCAGAACACTTGAAAGCAATTTTACAGGTGAGGTAACTAAGGCTCACTGAGGTTATAGCCCAAGATATTAGATCTAATAAGTAGCTAAGAGGACTGTTTTACTCCAAAGGCTATGCCTCTATTACAGCACACAATTTCTCTCAATAGTAACAATAGTGATACCAACATGAACAAAACAACAATGAAAGGAGGCAGTAGAAATGGAAGCTTTTCTCGCTGAGACTCCCCCATTCCCCAGTTATTTCTATCTCAGTCTGTCCTATCGGGCACCCACTCAAAAGATCACTAGTACAGCTTTACTAAGGGAGTATTAACATAGAGGAAGTCTTTTTATAAAATAACTAGAAAATAAAAATAAATAAATATTAAATGTCTTTAAGATACATAAAGATAAAATCTGCCCCTCACCCATCCTAAACTGGGAACTCCTGTTGGGGGTTGGTGGCAGCAACCTTTTGTCAACAGTACCTTGGTTTAATGCTTCCCTCTGAAGTTATAACAAATGTCTCAGGTTCCTCCAGTCCCAAGATCTATCAACCATCACCCCAAGCAGAACAGAAATCCAGTGAACAGAATACATTCTTAAATGGGTCACTTCATACAGAGGAAGTATTGGATGGGAAGGAAGATCTAGATAAGACTGATTTTTCCTCACTTTAATTGTTCAGAGTCACTACAAATAGCAAAGGATGTAATTATCTAAAAGCCAGGCTTAAAGGCTGACAACTTTCTGGAAGACATTCAAACTGTGGTGTGAATGATGCTTCCTTTCAGCTCTGAGAAATGTGCTCCTCTCCCTGCAATGCTCAGCATTATTTATCAGGACCAAAGTAATCTATTTTGGGACTGCATCCACAAATACCCCTCCTCCCAGTGGGCAAATGAAGAGCAGCTCCAGCTCTGGAGCAAATGGAAGAGGAGGGCAGTCAAGCTAGTGAATGAATGAATGAGGACACAGCTGCCACAGTGGAATATAAAAATACTTGTCCCAGGAGCTTGGGAGCCAAGAACTGGAAAGATTTCACAGCTACCAAAAGAGCAAAGTCAGGGGGAAAACCTTATAGTTCAACAGAGGCCCAGTCCACGAATTTTCGTGCACTCAGTGGGGGTGGCCTGGCCTGCACCCTCTTGCAGTCCGAGAGCCCTCAGGGGTCTAAGCCACATTCTGGCCTCCCTCTGCAGGAGGCGACTGGTGGGCCAATCAGAGGACAGCACCGGCTGGTGAGCAGCCAGCCCTGCCCCCTATCATCCCTTCTCAGTCACTGACCCTCCCCCCCCATCGCCATCCCCTCCCTTTGCCTGCTGGCACCTGCCTGGGCTGGCCTGGCATCATTTCACTCGCCGGCCCCATCCCCACCCCCTCGCCAACAAGTCATTCTGTAGTTCAGTTGTTTTGCATATTAGGCTTTTATTCTATAGGATTAGAGGCCCAGTGCACGAAATTTGTGAAGGGGGGGCTTCAGCCCGGCCTGCACCCTCTCCAATCTGGGACCCCTCAGGAACATCCAACTATTGGTTTAGGTCTTACTGCACATCCCTCTCGCAATCCGGGATCTATGGCTCCTAACTGCTCACCTGCCTGCCTGCCTGATCGCTCCCTAACCACTCTGCCTGCCTGCTGCCCCTAACTGCTCCCCTGCCTGTCTGATTCCCCTAACTGCTCTCCCTTGCCAGCCTGATCGCACCTAATTGCCTCTGCCTCAGCCTGCCTACGTGGCTTTGTCTGGAAGGACGTTCAGAAGGTTGTCTGGAAGATGTCCAATGTAATTAGCATATTACCCTTTTATTAGTATAGATGCGCAGCCTTAGACACCAGAGCCTCAGGGTGGGTGGTGCCAGCAGTGGGTCAGAGGCCCATGAAGAAACAACTGAGAGGTGTTTTATGAAGATTAAGAGAATATATTTGTATATTAACAAATATTACTTAAAAGAGCGTTTTTACTACTACTTATTGAGTACATCCTTTGTGCTCAGCACTTTACACATATTATTTCAATTAATGTTTATACCAAAGATAAAGTAATTATTAAGATAATTGTCTGTTTTATAGAGGAAAATACAGAGGCTTAGGTTCAGTCGCTCAAAGTTATAAACTTGGTCAGAGGTGCCAAGAATTCAACCCCAAGTCTGACTGAATCCAAAGCCCATGATTGGCATCCTGTTTTATTCCAGTAAAGCTGGGCTTCTCACTCATCTAACATTTGAGATTATTATAAGCTAAAAATGTCTTAGGGCCCCAAAGAAAGGGAGTTTGAAGTACTATTCTTAGCTCTGTCAAGTAGATACCATGTAATGTCAACATTTATTCAATCACTTATTCATTCAATATTTATCAGGTACCAACTGTAGATGAATACATATAGACATGAAGAAAATACAGTTGCCTATCTTTAAATATTTCTAGTGAGGATGGCAGATGTACAAATTATTTATTATATTGCAATGTGAGCTCAGTATGATGGACTGTATAGATCACAAAAAAAGGAAGGATTGACAACTGGGAAGGTCAAGGAAAGCTTTCATTCTTCATTTCAAAGATTATTACCAAAGTAAGGAGATGTGAAATACTCAGAAAAGGAAAGGCAGTGGGGTCTTAGTTGAAAATCTAGGCTATTGTCTCAGTACTGTCACTTAAAAGGCTATTGTCTTATAAGCAAGTTCATTCATTCAAGCATTCAGGAAAACATTTGAGAACCTATTATGTACCAGAGAGTGCCAGTCACGTCCATATCCTCATCTCATACCTACTGGGATCATCTTATAATATTATGAAGATAAAAATAAATTATGCAGATGAAGCCATTTATTAATTATAGAATAATGTCAACATTCCTACTTGTATAGTCCTTCATACCTTACAAAGTAGTCTTACATTATCTTCTATAATCTCTTAGATTATAAACAACAATTTCATATAGTGGGCATCACGATACGCATTTTACAGATGTGAACCTGAAGCAAAGAGAAGTCAAATAACCTGCCTAAGGTCATACAACTAGCAAGAGAGAGAATCCCACTGGTTTTCTTTGTAACTGTCAAGTATTAACTAACACTCTCAGCCAGGCTGAGACAAGGATGGTCATAATACTGCACATGATTAAGTGTCAAAACATAATAGGTGTCAGAAAATAAACAGGCACGTTAGCTGGAGTAATCAGAAACATTTTGTGGAAAAGATGAGGTGAACTGGGCCTGAAGGATGGAGCATTTGGGTAGGTGGTGAGGGCACTTCAAGTGAGAAGACTCCACAAGATCAAGGATTAGGAATGAAGCATTTGGCAAATAAAGGACAAAGCAGCGGGCAGATGAAATAGTCTACGAAGGAGTATGGAAGAGGCAGAGGCATCAGACTATATGCCCTTAAGTGATGGCCTAAGGACAGATTTCCATGGGCTCGCCTGGAATGGTCAGAAACACATTCCTTGAAAAATGATCCCTTCCTTTCAGCATTCCTCAGAATCAAGGCAAATAGAGCAGGAGCATGGAGTCACCAATCTGACTGTCTTTAACTACAGAAGTTTGAAACTTTCTGATTTTTTTTCTATTCTCCTTTTACTAGATCTGGCCCAATTCACACAATTTGGCTAAAGTGAACAACAGCGAGTTATTTCACACAGAATGAAGTGAGGCTTGGGCCCATAAGGAAACAAAGCCAGAGAAATTCAGGGGCTGCCCCATTATAATTAATTACTAGTAGACACACAAGCAGCAATGAGCATACTAATCTGTGCATCATGGAAATATAGTCTCCACGATTAATACCTAAAATGAAAATGTTGACATAAATTACTGAAAAATAAGTTATTATTCTGGGAAGCATGATACAACTGCAAGAGCACAACTGAAATCTGTTCGATCTGTTAAGAGGTCGAGGGAAGAAGGCTAAGGAATGCCTTTATAGTGGTTCATATGGTTTTACTGCAGTCACTTAGGGTCTCATAAGTAAACATGCGTTTTATTATCACCCTCCCCTTACCGCCAAGTGGCCTCCCATCCCTATCAGTTCAACAAGTCAATAACGGTATTCTTAGAAAAAATTCTGGAACATGATGGATTCATACAAAACTAAAATGACCTGCTCTACGTCATACTGGGACCTATCCTGATGTGGTAACCCCCGTGGCGGGGGAACCTTCTCTTTTCGGGCCGCGGGGCGGCGAGGGTGGAATAGCGCGGCGCGCAGAATCGAGCGGTCGAGCGCAGCCGGAGCGGAGAGGCGGGAGCGCCACGCTCTGATTACAAGGCGCCGCGCGTGCTGCCGGGAAGCGCCTCGCTTTCGCCATTTTCCGTACCCGGATGTCCGCAGAGGCGGCGATATTCCGGGCCACCTCCCAGTCCTGCTCTCCCCACCGCCTCCCCCGCGCTCGGCGTGCGTGGGACCCACGTTACCTTCCCCAGAGTTCCGTTCATCCTTTGCAGTTGTGGCCTGTTCCTGTGCAAAAGGAAGATCAGCCCAAGCTGCTGCAGCCCCCGCGCGGCTCACAACGCAGACGGGCGGGCCCGGATCGGGTCCCGTAATGATATCCGACCGAGACTCACTCAGTCCCCCCTGCACCTTGGTTCCGGCGGCTTCTGAGACTCGTATCCAGAAATCCTCCGCAGACCCCGCCCTCCCTACAGCTCAAGTGTCACCTTCACCGCTTTCTCCGACAAGATTTAATTGCTCTCTCTTGTCGCCCAGATATGTGGCACACAATTCTGCTGTTTTTTCTACCATACTTTTATGGCTTCTGTCTCTTTCCCATATTTGATTCTTAGTTCCTCAAGGACTGGGATCCTGTCTGATTAATTCATTCAGGCGCCTAGCACAGGACATGGAGAGCAGACTTCTAACCTCTGTTTAAAAGCTTATTTATTCTCTCCACCACCAAAATAAATAAATAAAATAAAAGCTGATTAATCCTAAGTAAGCTTTTCTGACATTCACTTGCCTTGTATCCCTGAAAGGATACCTCAGTTGATTACATCAATGTGCCAATATGCCAAGAATGCTGGTTTGATCCCCGTCAGGTCATGTACAACAATCAACCAGTGAATGCATAAATAAGTGGAAAACAAATCAATGTTTCTTTCTCCCTCTCTAAAAAATAATAATAGTTGATAATAACTATTCTTTAGAATAGTGTTTCCCAAACTTTTGGCATATGTGTATCCCTTCTATAATTTTTGTAATGCTGAGTATCACTCGTAAAAAAAAAAAAAAAAAAAAAAAAAAGAGAGAGAGAGAGAGAGAAAATGGATGTATTAGGCACAGCTAAGCACGGTGCAGTGCATATCCCCACCAAACTCCAGTGCAACGTGTACCCCCACCAAACTCTTCCCGTATCCCTGGGGGTACGAGTACCACACTTTGGAAACATTGCTTTAGAATCACCACTATGGGCAATGCATTATGCTAGGTACTTAACTGTGAGTTTACCTCTTCAGATGGTCTCTTAGAAACTCTGCCTCAGTTTACTTATATAGCCCTTTGTAGCTCAGAATTTAAGCATAGGAAGGATTGATAAAGATATAGGATAAAAAATCTTGACAAGGTTTCTGACAAACCAAGCTTCTTATCACTGAAGCCCCAATCATACCGGTTTTTACACCTTGCTAAGAACAACAATAATAACAAAAACAGTAGTAGCAGCAGCAATAATAAAAATAAAAGCAACAATAAAAATAATTGCATATTTGTTATTTCACTTGATGTTCACCTTTTTTTTTCCACTTGATACGGCCTTTATGTGACCAAGTACTGCCTTCATACACAGTTTTTGTATCTATGATTGGAAATCTCCATTGCTTATAACTGTTTAGGACTTGGTCTACCTATTGATCTCTATGAGCCACTTAAAATATATATATATATTTGCCTGAGCCACTTTGGCTCAGTGGATAGAACATGGGACAGCAGACTGAGGGTCCCAGGTTTGATTCTGGTCAAGTTCAAGAGCATGTACTTTGTTTGCAAGCTCAATCCCTGGTTCTGGTCGGCAACTAATTGATGTGTCTCTCTCACGTTGATGTTTCTCTCTCTGTCTCTCTTCCTCCCTTCCACTATCTCTAAAAAAAAAAAAAAATCGGAAAAATATCCTCAGGTGAGGAATAACAAAAACAGTATATATTTAAGGTGCGTAATATGATGATTTGATATACATAGTGGAATGATTATTACAGTTAAGCTGGTTAAAATATCAACTTCTTACATAGTTTCCTATTTTGTGTGTGATGAGAACACCTAAAATCTAGTCTTAGCATTTCTGGTATTTAATACAGTATTTTTAACTAGAGTCATCATGCTGTACATTAGATTTCTAGACTTATTCATCCTATATAACTGGAACTTCGTAACCTTTGAACAACATTTCCTATTCTCCTAATCATCCCTCACCCCACACCAAGCCCTGATAACCACCACTCTATACTTTGCTTCTGTGAATTTGACTATTTTAGATTCTACATATAAATGAGATCATGGAGCATTTGTCTTTCTGTGCATAGCTTATTTCACTTAGCATGAGGTCCTCCTGGTTCATCCATGTTGTTGCAAATGACAGGTTTTTCTTTTTTAAAATTTAAAGAATAGATTATTGATTTTTAGAGAGAGAGGAGGGAGAAGAGAGGAATATCAGCTGCCTCCTGCATGCCACAATCCAGGCATGTATCCCGACCAGGAATCAAAACAGCAATCCCTTGGTGATGTCCAACCAACTGAGCCACAGTGGCTGGGCTGGTTTTCCTTTTTAAAGGCTGGTATAATCTCCCATTTTTATATCCTATATATAAGGAGGTAATATGCAAATTGTCCATCACTCCAACACCCAAGATGGCCGCCCCATGTGGTCAAAGATTGCCACCCCCATGAGGACACAAGATGGCCACCACAAGATTCCCGGCAGGGGAGGGAAGTTATGGGTGACCAAGTTGGTAGGGCCTGCAGGGGAGGGCAGTTGGGGGAGACCAGGCCTGCAGGGGAGGGCAGATGAGGGAGACCAGGCCAGCAGGGGAGGGCAGTTAGAGGCAATTGGGCCAGCAGGGGAGCAGTTAGGTGTCATCAGGCTGGCAGGCAGAAGTGGTTAGGGGCAATCAGGCAGGCAAGCAGGTGAGTGGTTGGGAGCCAGCAGTCCTGGATGTGAAAGGGATCTCATATTGCAGAGGGTGCAGGCTAGGCTGAGGACACACCTCTCCCCCCACCCCAGGTACAAATTTTATGCACCAGGCCTCTAGTATACTTTATATATATTTTATACTGCTTTCCATAACAGCTATACTAATTTACATTCCTACCAACAGGGTTCCCTTTTCTCCACATTCTTGCCAATACGTATTAAATGTTACCTTTCCTCTCAAATCCACTTCATAGGAATGATGTAATCCCTCCACACTGTAACTTGCACAGCACATTATTCATGCCTTCAACACAGTGTCTTGTAACTATTTGTTTACATAAACCTTATGAAACTTCATCATAAGTGTTAGGGGATAGGTATGTTTCCTCACTTTGTAGATGAAGGGAAGAAGATAGATGGCTTGCCTAAACTTAAACAACTGGTACATAACAAATACAGGGCCACACAAAAGATTTTTAGCTCTGGAAGTCCCTTCTTATGGTCAACACCACCAAAAAAACAAATTAGAAGCGCTGAGATTCTTCCATTGCCAACTCTAAGCCTCAAACCAACATTCTGTGAACTGGCGCTTACAGCAGCACACACAAATTTGTGTCATAAGCAACTTTCCTGAGGAATTGACAACGAAATCAGCCTTCCCTATTTAAGAATGGTAGCAAAATGCACAGAAGCACCAGCTTCTTCTTCAGTCCTGTAAATTTCTCCTCCCCCTCTAGGCAGATGTCTCCCAATCTTTGTTCATTCATCTTTGTACAGAAACTGATATTCTTTTTTAAATAATTGATTTTTTTCTATTTTACTTTTTATATATTTTAAATTCTTTATTGTAAATATTACATATGTCTCCTCTCCCCCCTTGACCTCTCCCAGACCACCCCCGCCCTCCAGCTCAGGCCTTCACCCCTCCCCACATTGTCTGTGTCCATTGATTATGCTTATATGCATGCATACAAGTCCTTTGGTTGATCCCTTACCCACCACCCCACTCTCCCCTGTCTTTCCTCTGTTTGACCAGAAGCTGGTATTTTTAAAGGAGTATTCTTCCCTTTTCTTCGTATTCCCAGCATTTGGCACAGGCCATAGAACATAATGAAGCGCCAATAAATGTTGAATGAAATAATGAATGAGTGAATATATAAAAGTTCCTAGATGTTATTATGGATTTTAGATTTTTCCAAGATCCTGCACCACAAATAAAAGCATGGAGGAACTCTGCCTTTCTGGTTTTATTTTTACAAGCCAGCCTTCTTTTAAAATTCTCTTAAAAAAACACCTGCTTCAATCTTCTGCACAACCACATCAGAGAAAGCCTTAGGGAACAAGTGAGAATAAAGGGAGGACCTTTAAAGGAATATGTTTGATCTCAAGTTAAACTTCCTTTAAAGTAATGCTTCTATGGTACCTATTATAAAAAGTTTCCCAAGGGTGACACAATAGCTCTCATTTATGGCTTAAGTGAAAACATATGTATTAAGCTAACTCTGATTGAAAACTATTTTAGCTTCAGGAGGATTTTTCTGCCTTTTTTTTTTTTTTTTTTTTTTGGTATGGTTTTAGTACAAAGAAAACCATACTTAAAAGAAAAAAAAATGATACAAGGCCATAGGTGGAAGAGAGCTGGCATCCTAGGAAAAGTCAGAAAGGAATGGTGCTGACTCCCCAGACTTTCCCAGGAGTTTTCTGCTTGTGCAGGGACGGCTGAGGGAGTGGGGATTACCTAGCCCTGGAGAGAAGGAGAAAGGGTGATGAAAGAAGCTGCAAGAGGAAAGCTCAAGTGGTTAGTGAGATCATAGAAGCCTGTAAGGAGGGGGGGAGAAATTGCACTCACCAAGCAGCAAGGTGTACAGCTCAGTTGAGAATCTTTCTAGAAGTCCAGAACCCATGTTCAGGTTCCTGGGGAAAGACCTACCGCACAAAGATCCTCCAGCATAAGGGCACTGAATCCTTGGGCACCTGAGAGGTTATCTTCTCTCCCTTGTTCTCATCCCTTTAATAGCTTACACCACCTTTTATAGCTTACGGCATGACGCAACGTAAAAACTTTTCTAATGAACTAGGAAGAATCCTTCGTGATTGTTGCTGCCCAAGCTCCAGATATCACAAGTGTATTGAAAATCAGAAACAGAGATATCACAGGTGTATTGAAAAATAGAAACAGAGCCCGGCCAATGTGGCTCAATGGTTGAGAGTCAACCCATGAACCAAAAGGTCATTGTCAATTCCCAGTCAGGGCAGGCTTGATCCCCAATAAGGGGTGTGCAGGAGGGCAGGAAGCAGTTGATGGATGTTTCTCTC